GTGTTTCGATGTGTTGAATGTCAGACATCGTCTTGCTATTTAATTACACGCTTTTTGTTGGCTTAATTGTACATACGTAATTATAAAGCTGCGCTATAATTCAGGATTATCTTAAAGTTACCTTATTTTTTGTGTGATCGATGTTTTTATCGTCTTCGAGCACACAGGTTTCACTGAAACTTCTGCCGCCGCCATACTTTGTTTACTTGTGTATTTTCCCGTGATGCTTCACGGTGATCTATTTTTACTGGAGTTATTTCGGCGGAAGATTTGATTGTAAATTCTTTTAAATTAAATGTTAAACAGTAAATGAGCTTTTAAAAGTGTAACTTTATGTTTTATGAATTTATTTAATTTATTTATGTTTTGTAATAATTTTACATACGATGTACGAGAGTGAGATTTCATTACGGGACGATGATTACATTTGATTGGCTGATTATTATTTACGGGATGGAATTATTAGTTATGATTGGTTATGAATTATTGCGGGTTTTGTTAATTCTATAAATACCCAGATGCTGAATATCGTTTGCTCTCTCGTTTTCTTTGTGACCTAGAGAAAGGTTGCCAGTTTTGTCCAGAGTAATTTAAGGTGTGTACTATTTCAGTATCTAAGTGACTGAAGTACATAATACGTAATGTTAGGTTAGGCTAAATTCATATTACTAGTAATTGTACTAGTTTTATTTATAATTACTAGTTGTGAACTAGTTATTTTTATCTTCTTTAGCCCAGTTTAGGAGTTAGGAAATATTTCTGCTGCGTGCTAGTAGTTGAACTAGTAGCGGGAATATTTATTTGTAAATTAATTATAAGTCATTTATAGAGAGCCTTTTCGTTTTATTTTGGTCGGGGGAATTTATACTTAAATTATAAATTACTGGAAATAGTGCCAGTTGCCCAGTTATATCAGTAGTTGTACTGATTTTGTCTTTTGTCCCGAGGGTTGAGACTTGTGTGAATTTCAAACATTGTTATTTATTTTCGCTGTTCATGTATTACTGAATAAAATTATAAAACTTTACATCGAAGTTTTTGTTCTCAACACAAGGCAGGCGTTCCGAAGCGTTACAATATTTTTAGATCTCAGATTCTAGGCTTTTACTGTTGCATTTATATAAAGAATTTAAAAGTATTGCAATTAGTGCTAATTAGTTCAGCTCCGTCATGCTATTTGGTAGCTAGGTAACACATGTTTCCTTATGCAGGCCCTATATATCATGGCATTGCTAGTTTTTTCTTATAGCCAATTCAGTGAAAACTGTTCCTAAATTGAAACCAACTGCAAATGAAAATCATTCTATGGTAAAAAAAAATGTCAGGAAAATAATATTTTTTTTCCGTGAAACAATGCAGGTGGTTGACTGGTTGTGTTCAAGGGGAGTAACTCCTCAAATTTGATGATACATTTCAAAAGATTCTGTAACGGTGCTTACTGTTTACTGTATCAGTTATTTTTCAGTGGCTGTCATTATAGGTTTATTTTACAGAGACAATTTAGTCAATATTGGAAAACACCTCCCAAAAGCTTACTCTATTCATAAACTAGGGCTAATTGTAACGGGGACCGTTACAGATGTTCCCCAAACGCTCCCCATGTCCCTTTTCGTGCCCTAGCTTTTCGTGTAAGACTTTTATAAATATACTAGGTATTTAAGGATTTCATTCAAAGATATTAAAGTTACAATGATATCAACTATATATCGTTTAACGTTTTGCATGGGCACACAAGTACATGTACATGCATATGCAAGATGATCATGGCATGTTGGTTAAGCGATTAACACATCTTTCTATCCCGCGAATAATAGAAAAAATACAGATATAAAGTTACCACATTTCAAGTATATATCATTCTTTGAAATACCTATTCACATTTAAATTCTATACTGATTTTAACCTCGGCCTCAAAGTTGGTTTTATTCCGACGACTAGGCAGTGTTAAAGTCGACTAAGGATATCACGCCGATAGCTAACCAATCAAGATGAACTTAGTCAATTGTAGTTCCATACATACAAAAGGGATTTTCCTTTAATCTGTTCAGATTTTATTTTATATATATTTTCTCTCTGGTCATTTTGACAACTCTGGTACCTGTGCCTAGTACATTTTATATACTATGTAAATAAATATATACATGCAAAGGTTTTTGACCAGAACTATTCATTTTTTCCAATGCATAGGAGGCTACTTTCTGGGGTTTACAAGAGATATTTATAAAGACATTCGTCTCAGCTAATGTGACCAATATTCTTTAACACCTTCTCCTTCTTATTAATATATTTTTCATGAATGCAAATACCTGATAATTTTTTTTTATGAAGGAGCGTACATGTATATTGATTTTGTATTTCTGGGGATTGCGTAATTCTAAAAAAATCAATTAAATTTCAAAGGTTAAATAAACAAAGGATGCTTGGTATTAAAATATTATTTCAAATCAGTAGAATTGAATGCTATTAACGACATCCGAATAAATACATGTAATCATAAAAGGCTTATATACCAACTTTGTTCATCTGTACTTTAATTTCAAACACGACAGGATTTGTAATTAATTAAATTGATAATTTCTATATACTTTGGAAACTCACATCAAATATTTTAATACTCTTTTCTCGAGCTCTTTTCTGCAGTTTCCTTGAAATGTTATGTGGGTCCGAGGTGTAATTTGAGCTTTACAGCGATTCTCTGCTTTGTGTGTGTGTGTGTGGGGGGGGGGGTGTATTTTTTCTTTCTACCTTGGGTTAAGATCAAAGGTTAAGGTCGATTTCAAGTTATAGGTCAAGGTCATTTTGGTAAATAGCTAATATTAACATTTTATTCAGGTTACTAGTGACCTTGACCTAAGTATCAAGGTCAAGGGTTAAAAGATCTGCTTCAGTATGTTACATGTCTTTGCATTTAGAAGTTCTTAATTCTGCATGAACATCAAAAGACTTAAGTATACTGTCGTTTAACACATTGTGTGTGCGCGCATGTGCATGACGTCCTTGCATATTTACTTTTGATGGTAGAATAATGTAGGCATTCATTATATCTATTCATATTAGAAATTTCACCCTGTATTATTGAGAACTAAAAAGTTTTAGGCATTTAAACTTTAAGCCAATCAGATTGCAGCACACGTGCATGTGCGTGCGTTCATGATTATTCTTATATATTATGCTGTAGGTCTTCATAATGTGTGACTATGTTCAAAATTTCAAAGGATTTTGTCAATAAACAAAAAAGATATAAAGACTTTAGTTTCAGCCAATCGGAACGAAGCGCACGTGCATGTGCGTGAGATCTTGCTATTTTGACCATGTCATCATGTCTATACTATGAATATATCCTTATATTATGAGTTTCAAAGCATTTCATCAAAAATTTAAAAGGTTACGGCTATATCTATCATATTGGTCATTTCACGCGTTACACGTGTGCGCACATGCACGCACGTGCGCGCAAAATGACCTTCGTTCCGCACATCTACATAACATACCTAGTGACCCTAAAAAGGTTTCACCTAGATCGGATGAGTAGTTTACGAGAACACTCGCGGACAAAAAAAGTACCGGAGAAGAAAATTCAGAAAAAAAGTAACTACCTGTAGTGCTAATTGTAACGGGGACCGTTACAGATGTTCCCAAAACGCTCCCCAACTCCGTTTTGGTGCCATATTCCCTGTAAGCTTCATAACATAAGACAAACTCTATGCATTTGAGACTTTAACAACGTTTACCCAGAAATGTACCATGTTAATTCAAATTTTAGCATTGCACACGTGCGCATGTGAATGCATGTGCGTAATGACCATATCATCTTGTCCACAATCTATATATTTCAATATACTAAATATTAAAGTATTTAATCCAAAAGTATTAAAAAATACGCTCATTCAAGTGTATTTTTGTTTTTCATTTCACGTGCACGCACGTGCATACATGAGCAAGGTGACCATACCTTATTGTAGAAGTCCATTACATCTATCTATGTTCTAAATCCCACCCCGTTTGGTTGGAAACCAAGGAAGTTATAGTTCTTTTAAGTTTCAGCCCATCAGATTGCAACCCAAGTACACGCACGTGTATGCATGTGCATGGTGACCATACCTTCTTGTAGAGGTCCATTATATCTATCTATGTTCCAAATCTCATCCTCTTTGGTTGAAAACCAAGGGAGTTATAGCTATTTAAAGTTTGAGCCAATCAGATTGCAGTGCACGTGCATGCACGTGTTTTCATGAAAATTGCTATATATCATGTTGTAGAATATCCTAATGCATGGCAAAGTTCAAACTTTCAAAGGATTTTGTTAAAAAACAAGAAAGATATTGAGACTTTAGTTTCAGCCAATCAGAGCGAAGCGCACGTGCATGCGCGTGAGATCTTGCTATTTTGACCATGTCATATTGTTTATGTTACTAATATATCCTAATATTATAAGTTTCAAAGCATTTCATCAAAAATGTTAAAAGTTACGCTTATATTCATTATATTTATCATTTCTCGTGTTGCACGTGCACGCTCTTGCAAGCACGTGCGCGCAAAATGACCTTGATTCCGCAAATCTACATAACATGTCTATTGACCCTAAAAACATTTCACCTTAGTTGGATGTCTACTTTACGAGATCATTCGCGGACAAAATTTTCCCAAGAAGAAAAATAATAATAATAGTAAGAATCAGAGTAAAAACAATATGTTCCCCAACTTCGTTTGGGGAACATAAAAACAATATGTTCCCAAACTCTGTTTGGGGAACATAATTACAGTAAATTTGTATTCTTCAAAACCCTGATGGGGCAGACCTGGGTACTGCTCTGATTGCTATATTGCAAATAAATGTGACTTAGTTAGGTTATTTTAAAAACATTATCCCCAAAAGCCACAGCATCAAATTGATATTCAGTTATAAATTGCAGTAAGTTTGAAACAAAAGATACTAGGCCTATACAGACTGCCTCTAAAAAATTCAAGTTCAATAAAATGATGAATAAAAATTCAGATACCTTTCAACTCTTTTTACTTCTCTTCCAAATTCCCTTTCAGTCTAATGAAAAAGAAAGTATAAAGCATTAATTTACATAAGAAATCTGTGAGGACAGTGGGCAGGTCATCATTCATGTTGATCAATGAGACAGAGGTTACTCACAGTTCGTGAAACCACACTCTTCTTTTTTGCTGAGTGTCGGTTAAACGGATTCCTGTAAAAAGATAAGTCTTTTTAAATAGAAATAGAATTGGAATATAAAAATCAACCCGTACACACACTACACAAAGGGTATCAAAATATATTTACCAACTCATCCCGACTGGGCGACTCTCCTAAAATTGTAAACAAAGCACTTTACTGACTAAGATGTTCACAATTGAAAAAATTGCACATGATAGGAGTCAAGATTTCCGGATAAAACTAAAAAAAATAAATTCCTGCCATTTGAAGTGTGAAAGTGAATTCCATACCAACGGTGACCCCTCCACTAAGATGGCACACAAGGAACATGACTTTTAAATTCTGTTAACTATTAAATCAACTTTTTGTTGTCCCAGAACCATTTTATGTTATTTTCTAACGAAACCTTTTTTTTCCGAGGAGATACACCCCTCATGAACTAGATTTCTCGAGATAGACCTTATTTTAGGTAACGTTCAATTATATCCTCTCATCATTTTTCTGACACTTTTGTAGTATAAGGGGTTGACCCCTATTTTTCTAGATTTGAATTCTTATATTCTTTTTAAAAAGTATTTTGAAAGCCGACTGGTTCCTTCGGAAAAGTTCCCAACTTTTTGTCACACTTGCAGTCAAAACAGAATAAAGTAGTGATGTAAGAATGTAAAAATAAAATTATATTAGTGATGTAAGAAAAAAAAAATTATGAACAAGGAGTTAGAACCACCCCCGGCCGAAATAGGATTTTCGAATTTGAAGACAGCCCCCCCCCCCCCCCCCCCCCCCCCAACCGGTCTATCAATATTTTTTTTCGGAGAGCTACAGTTCTGCAGCTGCATTATCAGTTAAAACTATTTTCATCTTGTTGACCCTTTCTGCATGCAAAATTAATATTGGCAAAAAATTAATTAATCACCGCGTTGTTATGGAAGATCGACCTGTGCATTTTGATAGAAATACTTAAAAAAGTATTGTATTTCTAATATACAAGAATTAGAGTGTAATAATAAACTATAAACTATTTTTTGCATCTTTATGATTAATCTAAATATGAAAAACTACTCTCTATAGGTTAAATTCAAATTTATTCATTATAAATAACACATTGTATGCATTGTTCACGAAAAAAATGGGTTCCATATATTTCAATATTTCACTTGAGTTTTACTTTTTTTGGTATTGATTAATTTTATATCTCGTGAATTATTGCTACTTTATCTGTTTATTGATTTCATACACAGTTTATTGGTAGTACATAGATTGTAATCGATTTACTCCACCGTGACGACTCTTGAATGGAAAATGACTTACCTGGCCGCTAGATGGCGGAATATACAGTTATATTTAGCTTTGGGATTCTCGCGGTCTTGTTTGACAGCCTATAGAATTTAAAGAAGAAATTGCACGGCTCAGGTAAACCGGTTTTGTTATTAATTCATTTAAATATGTAAAGCCAAACGAGAAAATAACTCAATCGTGAAAAGGGTCAACAATCCACACCCTGGTGCAGGTATTTCGTGCACAAAAGGTGGGGATACGGCGAGTGGTGGCAAATTGACAGATAGGACTTGTCAGGGGAACTTTAATACGGGTCGAGAGATCATTATCCCGCGGGAAGCTAGACCTGTTCATCACCTACATCAAAGGATACCACTATGGCTTCATTCCGGGCTCTCTCGAAAGAGGGCCATGCAGCCATGAGTATGCGAGACGGGTCGGACCGATGGATTCTGATTCAGAAAAACACATTCACAAACTGGGTGAACGAACAGCTCCGAGTAGCTGGGGTGGAGACGACGGATTTCGTCACGGAGCTGGAAAATGATTTTGATACAGGTGTCAAGCTTTGTTTTCTTGTGCAGGGACTGCAGGGTAAAAAAGTGGGGCGGATCATTAAAAAGCCCCTGAATCATCATCAACAACTGGAAAATGTTACCATAGCTCTCAATGCTATTGCCAATGACAACGTTAGACTGGTGAATATTGGTAAGATTTTATTATTTTGATTTGTTAATCACAATATGTTAATTTTTATATTTTCATGAGTAAGTAAATAATAACCATGTGATGTCAATGAATGGGAAGTGGGGTGGGGTGGGGGTCTGTATATTAGGCCTAAATTGTGTATTAAAAATTCTCAAATCATATGTTCTTGTCCTTTAAAGTACTGTCATATGCACAGATGTTCATGGACTGCTGAAATATTTTTTTGTAAGAAGGGGCATATTTGTAGCTAGTGTATTTGAAGAGATTAGTAATTTTAATTGGAAAAACTATTTCTTGGTATTTTTCATTTCTAACTCAGAATACTGTTTTGGTAATGTTATACATTATCAACACTGAATAATTTATGTACAAATAACACATTTTCTGATAGAGAAAAAAATTCAACAATTCTGAAATGTTGACAAACTGAAACAGCCAGGTGTGTGCTTGACACATACATATGGAGAAAACACAATTAGGTTTGTCCCCAGGGAAAGAGTGTTTGGGATGAAAAATGTGCACAGAGCTGAAATAGTGATTATTTAACCCAGCCCTACTAACCCTTGGGTCAACATTCATCATAAGTCCTACTGGACTACATCAAGCTAGGGGAATATCATAATTACTACACCTTTATAAATGGCTGGTTTTTTGCCTTAATTTAATAAAAGTATAATGTCAGAAAATACAGTTGTTATTGTGGAATATACATAGGGCTATTTGGATTAGGAAGTATATTGGCTATATATTTTAAAGGTCTCATTCTGTTACTACAATATAGCTTCCTAAAACTGATTTCATCAATACCTGTGATAAGGTATTGCAGTATCTGTCACAGGTGTATGTATTGTTAATATATTCAGCTGGAACACCATGCATGATACAATGTTTATTCTCTGAAATCAAAACTCCTGAGGGTTTTAAAAAATGGTGTCAATTTGTGATAAAATATCCTGTCATCCATACAAATTGCTGAAAAAATGTATTATTATTTTATAAATATCACTTTCTCTTTTAAATGTCCCATGATAACTTAAAAGCATTTTTAAATTATGAATCACTCCCCCATAAATGTGTATATTGAAAAAGATCTGAAAATTATTGTCTACAATATCAAATCCAAATCTTGGGTTTTTAAAAAAAGTATCAAGGTTCAAAGTAATATGAGAGAGAGAGAGAGAGAGAGAGGGAAAGTGAGAGAGAGAGGGTTTAAAAGGCAAAGAAAGGTTCCAAAAGGAATGTTTAAAGCAAAGACCTTTAAGACATTGAGCAAACATTGGAGTTGAGAGATATGCCATAATTTTCGTGGAGTTGCAAATCATTGCCATAAACTGAGGGTGCAATACTGAATTATTGATTTACTTATATTGATTGAATCTTCAGGAAAAAGACCTAGTGTTCAGCAGTGTACCACCTTTAATTAACATTCTTACCTGCTCCATGCATAGATGTAATCAGATTCATGCATTGCTAACTACAGGCAAAAATATAAACGAACAAATATCAATTTTCCATCTAGTATTCTGTGGAAAAGTGTGGTTATCTTTATATAATACTGCAATGAAAATGCATGACTACCAGTAAATATTAATAATGAAAAATGTAGTATATCTTTAATTGAATTACAAAAGCAGTATGAAATACAGTGTTAGCCTATATTTCCTTCAATGTTACAATATTGCTGCACTATTTGAAGTTGAACATAATTTTCATATCAAAAATCATTAAACTATATGAATTTTTTTTCTGTATGTAAAATGACACTTTGCAGTTGCAGCTAATGAAATGGTTTTATCATTTTCCAAAAATACTATGCTAAACCTAAATATCATCAACTTTTATACTAGCCTGAAGCATAATCATATACATATGTTGAAAATTTCAAATTCATTTTTGTCATTTTTTTTTAAAAAAATCCAGTTTACAAAGTATTCCAATAGTCTGTAATCCCAGTATGAAATAAATCTGAAGGGGGGTCTCAATTAAGGTGGCCTTCATACTTATTTCTTGAATAGACACCAAGGTTTTGTTATTACAAGTACTTCACAAAACGTGAACATATTTAAAACCAGTTTGATACACAGCCATTAAAGTGTCCTTGGGAAAATGAAGTATGTACTAGCTAATTGATAGATTTGTATGTACGTAATCCATTGAAGATTGAAAATTTTACCCAGCTTGGTCATACATACATCTAAAAGAAATTGCCTTTAGATAAAAACAAGTTTGGTGCCTATAAATACTACAGTATAAGTACATAGTAAATAATCTCAAATACTTGACATTTTTCAGGGAGTTTTTATGATTTTTTTTTTATCTCTTAAGAGTTCTTCTAACAGAAAAGGAACTAGGCTAAAGTGTAATCATTTTTCGATAAGAGACATAGATATTTTTTAAATTTACCTTTTTTTATTGTGAATGTTTTTTTGTGTTGATAGCATAAAAAGAAAAAACTGTATCTGAGGCTTTTATTAACAGGAGTAAAGAAATATGTACACATTCAGGAAATTCATATTTAAGCATGATATGCATATGACATGACATACTTAGCAAATGACATTAAATTATAAAAAATTTTTGCATAAAAATATTAAATTGAATTTTCACCATTTCCAGGTCCAGAGGATATTGTGAATGGAAACCTGAAGCTGATTTTGGGTTTAATATGGCACTTAATTCTGCGATACCAGATCGGAAAGACGAAATTCCCAACCAAGAAACTAATGCTGGCCTGGCTGCAGGCAGTCATTCCGGAGTGTGCAATCACAAACTTCACCACCGACTGGAACAGTGGAGTAGCTCTACAGTATGTGGAAAATAACATCACAAGTTACCTCCCTTTGCATTTTCATCGAAATTAATTTTGAATCTTCTGGAAATGGAAAGAAAATTTCTTAGTGGAGAATTTCTTGGATTTAGTTTGATGTTTGCTATCCAATGTATATCCAATAATCTTAAAAATGTATTATCTTCTGTTGTAAATTTTATTTAATTTTATATGGCCGTTTAGTTGCTTTAAGAGCTTGAGATTGACTGGAAAATTGGATGGAACTTTTTTTTAAATTCATTTTATTTTAAATTATGACTGTTGTAAGTATAATTTAAATTTAAATGATGTTTCGTTATCCTTGACAGTGCCTTGATAGACTACTGTAGACCTGGACTGTGCCCCAACTGGAGACAGATGAGTAGGAGTGATGGGTAAGGGGCAGGCACAAGGGGGGAGGGGGACAGATGAGTAGGAGTGATGGGTAAGGGGCAGGCACAAGGGGGGAGGGGGACAGATGAGTAGGAGTGATGGGTAAGGGGGAGGGGAGACCACTGGGAGGAAGGAGATCAGTGTATAGGGAGTATTCTGAGATGATTCTGAAAAAAATTAGGGCTTTTTTCTTTAGCGGGTTTGATCGAAATGAGGTACATTGCACAAAGTTTTACACTGGCTCGTATATTAAATTACCAAGTACTTCAAATTGCTGAAATATGTAACTTTTTTCGCAAACCTGTACTGAAGAAGAAAAATAAGCTCATTTATAAGATAATATGAAATTGTGTGGATAAGGCTTGTAACTTTCAAATTTTGCACTGAGATAAACAAAATTATTTCACCTGCACTTGATAAAATCCTATCCTACATATAATCTTATGTTTCGATTTAATGTTAAACCATGTGTTTTTCTGAATGTGATGTTTTACCAGGCTAAACAATTGTAAGAATGCTATGGAGCTGGCCAAAAGGGAGTTTGACATTCCTCTGGTGGTACGGCCCGAGGATCTGTCAAGCCCCGACCTTGACGAGCTGTCTGGCATGACCTATCTCTCCTACTTCATGAAAGTGGACTCTCCCGGTTACCATGCCACCATGAACATGGTTCGCAAACTGCTGAAATCGGGGACCATCAACAACTTTACGGTAAGTGGTATTATGTGGAATATTGTCATGTTAGTTGGAGACCAATTTCTGAAGATTTCTTGGGTCATTTTTACTCAGGGATAACAATAATTTGTTAATATAATACTGCATGTGTTCTTAAAATAGCGGGTTTTATATTTTAGTGGCTTTGGCGCAGACGATGATGCATTAATTCACGAATACCGCTAAGAATTCATTTATAAATAGAATATACGGCACGAACATGTGTAGCGCTAATTCATGATTACGCCAAAAACTCCATATCCATTGATTGCACTTAATTTTGAATACGCCAATTAAATTATGTACATGCATAGAATATTACATTTAGTTCAAAGATCTTCTATGTATATCATTTGATTCTGAAGAAGAGTAAGGAGGATTTGATTTTAATTTTGTGAATTCCAGTCGGACTGGTCTGATGGACGTCTGCTCTGTAATCTCTGTGTGTCGAGTGGTGCTACAATTCCTGGATGGCCCAATTTGAATGGCAGCCATGTTGAAGTACAGCAATTAGGTAAATTGAATACATGTACAGTGAAACTTTGTTCGAAGTAAGCTTGAAAACTGATGGACATAGTCAAAGTCATTTTGAAGTTTCAACTATTCTTTCTTTCATATATTTTAAACTTGTTCTCTCGAATCTTTGGATACCTCAATTTCGTGATAATGAAGTTTAGTTGGACTGTATGCTTGGAAGATTTTTGTAGATCCTTGATTTTTTCCCATACAGTTAGCTTACGATGCTTGGAAATGTTACTGTAAAAATTAGTTTCAGTTTTGAATCGGTCTGCATTTAAATACTGTAAACCAAAATTTATTCGTGTGCAATAAATTTTCTCGAGTTTCATGAGAGTCTCCCATCATGAATATTTCTCACCGCGAACAGATCCGTAAAGTCTGTGTCTATTAACAACAGATCAAAAAAGGGCTTCATCGCAAAAATTGAATCGTCGCGAACTAATTTACGTTCATAAAATAGTGAAATTAAGTTGTCACGAATTAAAAGTTGGTTTACAGTATTTCTTTCTAAAACACCCAAACTTTCACTTTCTGATTCTATAATATAAATTTATTTCTATGATTTTCAGGAATTGATGCTGCTAAGCGGATGGGAGTGGAGCCCATTCTAACAGCCAAAGAAATGTGTGATCCTGAGGTGGACCACATTGGTATCATGGCGTACGCCGCCTACTTCAGTCGATTCAAACCCTTCAGGGCACCTGCTGAAAAAGTGGTCATGGATGTTCAGCCGAAAAACTGCTATATTGGAATCATTGTAAGTAAAACTGTGAAATAAATGACCAAATCTAAATATTTTCCTTCACCAGGACAATATTCTCTACTTTCTGATTATTTTGTATGCCAATTAGTCATAAAATACATGGTGTATCGGTATTACAAAGCATCTCAATACCTCTTCAAGTTGAGTGATTTTCAAAGATTTGCAAGCATCATGTATATATATGGAACTAAACAAACATATTTGGTGTCTTGAACTCTGAGGTCTTTAATACCATGGATATGACTGCATGAAGAGATAAAATTGAAAGTTCCAAGCACCATTTCTTTAAGTATACCTATTATTACTCTCAATATCTCAAACCCTTGGGAAAATCTCAAAGCATATTTTCTTTGCATCATTGAGTTTGAGATGAGGTTTGGCTGTACTTATCGCTTTTAAAAGTATTTTGTTACTTGATCCTTCAATCATGTAATCTTGTCACCCAAGAAATAACATTTCATCTAAGAAATACCAATTCAAATTTAAGTTTAATAGTCATTTGTCACATAAATTCTGTCATGTTGATTTAACAGATATTTAAGGCCCTTCACCTGTCAGAATTACTTACTAAGACATCATCACCCAAATTATCTATCCATAAAACAATATTTTATCACCATTGTGGCAACCCGAGATGCCCTGTGGTTCTGTGAATTGACCACAATGGGTCAAATCAGCAGACCTGGGACCCTCTATTGTTATTACCCCGGTTTCTTATAAACAAACTGAGGGCTACCTGTTTTTAGAGATGTGTATTGATTGGTACAGGGTGTCCAGATGCTTACTCAAGCATTCAATAACCAGAACTTATAGGTGTGGAGGTTTAAAAAGTTTATAGATTTGATAGTGGATTTGGGATAGATTACACGAAGCTCCGAAAAAAAGAAAACACACATGAATTTGAAATTATTTTGACTTTTTTGGACTAATGCATCTAGTTCTTAATGCTTCAGTGAGGTATAACAGGTAATATTTTAAAATCTTGCTTTCAAATTTCTTTTTACAGGTATTTTATAAGATTTAATAGAATTTGTACTTATAGAGTGTAATTGTTATTCAGATTAGGCTATTGACAAATAATGTTTATTTATGCTTGGATTAAGGAAATATATATATATTAAATTGATGAAATTTGAGAGGATAAGATTTTTTTATATTATGTGTAATATCCCTTTAGAAAATAAATATATTTTATTTTTTTTTCGGTACAGTCCACATTCTCTGTGAGGATTGAGGATGACGACATCTCATCCAGTGCTATCCGAGCGGATCTGAAGGGTCCGGATTCCAACCCTCCCGTTACCTTCTCCTGGAGTGGTAGAGTAGGCACCGCCTCATTTACACCACTGGAAACCGGCATCCACAGGGTAAGGAACATTTCTTATGTGGTAAACTTTTTAATTAAGGAAGTATTAAAAACTAATATATGTACAGGAAATCATGTTTACTTGACTTATAGAGGACAATTGTTATATCTTGGACTGTTTTGAATTAGTTTTTTTTAATATTCATAATGGAATTTAAGACCACCCCTTTTAAACTCCCTTAAACATCCCCTAACTCCCTGTTTAACCTCCTTCCTTAACAATTAACAACAACCCCCTTCACCCCCCCCCCCCCCTTCAAAAAAAGGGAAAGAAATCAATTTCAAATCCTGTTTTTCAAAGTTTTATATTTTGACTTGTTATTTTAAAAGTTTCCAAAAATGCCTATTTTTATGTTTTAGCTGAATGTTTATTGTGAGAACCAGTTAATTGTGGGCTGTCCAATCTCATTCAAAGTTTTAGCAGACAGATCAAAAGTGACATTTTCTAGCGTTGATCACTGTGCAGTGGGAATGATTACAGAGCTCAAAGTAAGTCATATCTATTTTTAGTACCAAAGTTCACTTTCTTTTTAAAGATAAAAGGAGTGTTTGAATCAGGCTTGAATTCTTTTTATTTTTTCTTTTAGCAGTTTTATATTCGTAACTAATGAAAAAATGTAAAGTTGATGTATGATAAAAAAACAATGTGCACCTTTGGTTTCCATGGTAATGTAGGTAAATAATAAACCTTTGGTTTCCATGGTAACGTAGGTAAATTCCCAGTACGCTGGGCAAGGTGACGTCCAGGTAGAGGCTAGAGCCCCCGGGGGGAGAGTCCACAACTTACGCACAGTCTACAGAAATGGAGACTATGTCATTAACTTCACCCCCTCAGAAGTCGGTACGTATAGACATTCACCAAGAAAGAACTTTGTGGCACCTGATTGGTGGAAAAATAACCAATGAAATTTTGAGTTTATTTTTTCACTCGTCAAAATCTTGCAGATTTCTTTCTTGTGAGCAGTTATGTGTTAGTAGTAGAGTTAATAGGTGTATTGTTCTGTTTTTAACAAGATTTAGTTTTTTTCCTAAAATACTCCAAGAAAGAGTTAATGTGTACCGTATATTACATAGAGTAAGTAAAAAGAGAAATCCCTCTACTGAGCTTGTTTGTATTTTAAGCTGGACGGTACCAATGTCCAGTTCATAAAGCATATAAATCTTTGTATCTTAAATAAACACTCTAAACTTACTTGCACACAGAGCATCTATTTTGCCAAAAATAATAAGATTTCTTACAATGCCTTGGGAAATTGTACATTAAATAAACAAAAGCACTTGCATTGCTACATATTTTGCCTTCCCTCCATCATTTGGCTGTTTGCTTAAACAATTAAAAAAAAGCATTTTGAATGAAGAAGCTTTTTGGTAAAATGGCAATCTTGAATCAATTTATTAAACCAACATATAAAGCACAGAACTTGGAATCTTTTGCCAAGGTTCTTTGGATTTCATTTTGCCTATTTTCACCTGAATGAAAATGAAGCACATTGTAGGCAGTAAACAGGCTTTTTATTCATGTATTTTTGGACTTGGGTAAGTGACAGAAGGCGCTGCATGAACTGTCCGTAGTTCTAAACCTCCATTCTACTAACAGCTGCCTGTCGCATGCTTGGAAGCTGGTCATGTATCTCTGTATTTTCTGACAGAAAAAATTCTGAATGAGAATTTTATAGCGTTTTCCTGATCAAAGAGCTCTTGTTATTGGTATTTATGAAAGCATGCTGCAAAAAGATATTAGATTTATTTATATTTCTTAATTAAAAAAATATGTAAAATTTTCCTGAGAAATCTTTATTATGAGTATTTGTATTAGCATGCATTAAATAGTATAGATCTATAAATAGTCATATTCTTAGGCTATATTTCAAATATACAGGTCTTAGCTATACATATGCTGAAGTCCTTTGTATCTCTTGCCTGAAGCATTGAATATAGCATTGATCTACCTGCATAATTAGTTCTTTTGCTGTCTTGTTTTTGAGCTAAATCTTGCATCCAATTAAGCTACAAGAGTCTGCCTTTTTCCTCTTTCAAACTGAAGATCTGAGCTTCTTTTCTTCACATTCAAACTACATTTGAGCTACATTTCCCCCATTCAAGCTTAATTTCTAAGATACATTTCATCACAAGCTATCGGGTACATATGAGACATTGCTTCCTCAAAATCAAGCTCAGTGTCTAAGAAACTTTTCAGCACAATCAAGTTACATCTGAGCTATATTTCCTCAATGGAAGCATTACTTCTGAGTTTCTTTTCACCATAAACCTACATCTGAGCTACCTTTCCACATGTTCAAGCTTACAACATTTAAGCTTCATTTCTTTGACACATTGTTTAAGCTATGTTTTAAAGCTTCTTGAAGAAGAAATAAATGGACATAGAAGATTAAAAAAAAGCATGTTTCATTCTTCTGTATTTAGTTTGTGGAGTTTTGAACTCTTGCGGACTGAAACATGGCTGATAACAGGGTTCCTTTTTCCCTGTTTTATTTTTTGAATTTGTCCCATTTTCAATTATCATAAGTGAGAGTAGGCCGAAAGGGGCAAAAATAGTCCTTTGTACAATAATAAATTTACCCTTCTCACTGAATGCAAATTTGCTAAGTTGTTGACACACACACACTTTTAAATTAAAAACTGTTTCCCGGCCTCTTTAAAAGATCAAGTTTTATGAATATGAAGACAAATTCAACAATAGTTTATCAGCAAGTCTGTGCCCATTGATATGAAAACCAGACAAGAGATTTTCAATGTTTTCTACCCATAATTTATATATAATAATGCACCAATTATTTTATGGAAGAATGAAAAAAAGAAGTCCATTGCAAAGTGTAGCTATACTCATGGCCACCAATCTTATGCTCAGATTGCTTATGGCTGCAGTGTACTGCTTAGTGTGCAGTTAAGCAGTGAAAAGGAGATGTATTCATATATTTGTATTTATTTATCTAGATGTTTTTTTGTCAGGCTACACACTAGCTTAATCTGTCTCACCACTCAATGAGTGTGATGCTGTAATTATATATTATCTTTGTTGGTTAAAGGCAGCTTCAAAGAAGAATATATAATTATCTACTATAATTACGTTTTGTTTCTGACATCATTTCTAGACCAGAAATTTAGAGTTTTATAGATGTGTCATTGTACATTAGGCATTAGATCTTCACTTTTAAAAGCTTTGATTTTTTAACATTTAAAAAAAAATATTATTTATACTGATCCATTGTAATTATAAAGAATGTGAGAAGATAAACTAAAGTTTTGGCCTTTGACAGGTGTCTGGCAGATATCTGTCCACTATGAAGGGGATCACATCAATGGAAGTCCATTCAACATCAAAGTGTTTGATCCCAATGCTGTCCGAGTCTTTGAATTGGAAGGAGGAACTGTGGGAATGGGACTCAACTTTATGGGTAGGATTTTTTAGTCCTCTTAAAATGGCAAGAAATTAAGACATTGATTGCATTTGAATTTCAAGTTTTTGTACACATAAGAATGATTTTAGAACTTAGGGTACACAATAAAAAAGCTTTTTAAAATGTGAAAGTTGGAAGATGCTCTGCTTAAAGAGATAAGTTTAAAATGATAATCCACTGTTTTTAACAATTTCCTCTTTAACAATGTAATGATATTACAGAATTCTAGTTTTAGTTGGAATAGGGTTGTTCTACCTTAAAAGAAATTTAAGGAGGTATGCAAATAAACAGAAAACTGCACATCAATGATTCAATGTTATCACCCTTTTTTTCAGTGGACACATCAGAGGCTGGTGAGGGAGACCTAAGGGTGACAGTGACCCACAATTACCAGCAGGTCCCAGCATACATCACTCACCAGAGGGCAGGCTTGTACAGAGTAGACTTCACACCAGAGGGCGCCGGCACTTACAAAGTCAATGTCTTCTATAATGATATTGAAGTCAGGGGTATGAAAAATTCTACAAAAAGTTATATTTCACTCAGGGTCAGATATATTATTGTGCAGTTCATTTTGTTTTTGTACATAAGGAAAACTTAACTATTTTAAAGCTCTGTGACTGTCTGACTGGGTCATATAAAAAACAAATGCTTACTACAGTAAAACCCAATTATAAGGAACTCATTTATAAAGAATTTTTAAAAAAATTTATGAATCCAATTGGCAAATTTTCACTGTATTCTGATCTGAAGAAAGTCGGTATTAAGGAAGTAAATTTTGAAGTCCTAGTGATTTTGTTATAAACAGGTTTTGCTGTATTTACATGTATATGTATATATTTGTCTTTGCAAATAGATAAGGATTAATCTTAATCAATTACTGTAAAATCTTATATTTTTCAGGGGTCAAATTTTTGTGGTTTGAAGAAAATGTATTGGCTCATGGAGATTTGAATTCATGGTTGAAGAATTGTTTAGTAGTTATACATGTGAAAAATTGCATTTCGTGGAGAATATAAATTCGTGGGTCTCTTCATACCACGAAAACCACGAAAATTAAACCCCTATGAAAATTAGTGATTTCACAGTAAGCAATTGCAGTCAGTTGAATTATGAATTAATGTAATTGCTGAATTATTTGCAAGTTCTCCGTACACCCTAGACATTGATATTTGTTATAATTATAAGGATTGCTGATTTATTTGTAGGTTCTCCAAAAACCCTGGACATTGTGGACTCGGGACAATTTGATTATGAATTAACGATTGCTGATTTATTTGTAGGTTCTCCATACACCCTGGACATCGTGGACTCGGGTCGAGTTACGGTCAGTGGCGACGGACTCAGTCTGGTCCCGGTCAACAGGACGGCCAGATTCGAGGTGGACACGCAAGGGTCATCCTCTGGCAAGGTCGACGTAGAAATCACAGGTAAGAATTTCATAGTCACTCTCCGGCAACATACTTATAGATATTTCTCCAAGGTTTTATTTAAACTTTAATGTAAAAAAAAACAATTTTTGTGTATATTTTAGATAAATTTCTTTCATGCTTTTTTTGTTCTTGTTTTTTCTTTTTTTTTTTGATAAATTTTATTTATTATGTTCTATATTCCATTTATTTTTCCTCCATGATCCCCCCTATTTATTATAAACTGATCTGCTGCATGCCTTTTGCTTGTGCTTTATGCATGTTCTATGTCAGTTTGGGTCAAACAGGGACATGACCTACCAGTGATAAAGAAAGGGCTAATAACCCTAAAATGCTTTCATGCCTGAGTTGCGGAATCTTATTTTTTTCAACACATTTCCTACCTGTTGCTAAAAGTTTTAAGAAAAAATTTTTTGTAGCTTGTATTTATTTATTTATATCTGCTTCTATTGTGAAAACAATCAAAATTTATGCATTAATTGCTTTTCAAAATTCACTGATTTGTCTCATTAAATTCAAGAAAGTCATGTCTTGGTGTTTGAATAAGGTATTATTAATGAATATTTATGAATGTATTATTTATGGAAATATTATTTATGAATATGTATAGCATGCATATGTTTTTCTTTAATTTCTGTCTTCTGTCTTGTGAATGTGTAGATGGATGCAAGAGAATTGATTGATATGTGGATTGAGTGGTCATTTAGGACCAATCAGAATTAGAGTTCTGGAATTATAATGAATATGCAAATGAACTAGAATACTTAATAGGCAGATGACCTGCATGTGTTCATTAAATTGATATGTGTGAAAAATATGAATAATCATATTATAGTCAGATTCAATGATTCTGTTGATGCATTAGATAATGCAATATTATTAATTTTTCTCGTAAACCTAATACAATAGATTTTATCTATCAATAATACTGCATGTAATGATTAAACAATTAAATATCAAAGAAAATTTGCTTCATCTTATTAAATTAATCAGTATAACCGAATGCGGAATTTAAACCAAAGTATGATATGTACAGTACATTGTAGTAAAGAAATAGGGGGTCGCGGTGTATACACTATCGGTAACTCGCGCTTTTAACAACTCGATGAGCATGACCCGCCTGATCTCTTCAGTTATGCACTTACACAACTTTATACCATTCTCACTCTTTTGATTGGTCGATTATTTATTAGAGAAGGTAAGTTATTATATATTTATTTTTATTTGTCACTGTATACTTCAGTTATTAAATGGAGATCTGTTGGAAAAAAAGGGGGAATACAAAGGGACTTAATTTGGTTGTGGAAAATCTGTCTTCTTGTTCGGTTTGGGAAATTTGTGAAATTTATAGCCTTTTCCTTTGTTGAATATAATCATATGTAATATATATTTTTGGTTCATGTATTTTTTTTATCTTTTCAGTTTTTAAAATGTAATCCTCGTATGCTTTTTAACAAAATTGCTGATTTTCAAAGAGTCCCATATTTTTCAGCTCCCTCTGGTAAAAATGTTATAAAGAAGATAGAGACAAAGGGAAATGGAAAATTTGATGTGGAATACACTCCTTTTGAGACAGGTAATCAGAAAATAATTAATCCATTTAAATTAACTTAAAATCATAAAGCTTGTCAAGATTGTTTTTAATACTACGTAAAGAAAAGCTTGCTGAATATTCTATACGTGTAATGAAATCTTGCAATACTTTCAAAATAGATGTTTCATGAATTGATTATTAATTGTATTTCTTTTTTATTTTAATTAATTTTAAAGTAGTTTTGATTTTATTTTTTTTTAATAGAAAAAATTTGAAACAAATTTTTAGTAAATCATAAATCATCCCTGATAATTTTCTGTTTTCCAATGCAATCTAACACCTGTTGTAGGTGACCATCAGATAATGGTTTACTTCTGTGACCAGCCGGTCAAGGGAGGGCCGTTCTCCTGCAAGGTGTACGATGCTGGACAGGTCATTGTGTCACACATGCCCTCACACGCCACGGTCAATCAACCCGTGTCATTCAACAGTTAGTGACAATTTTTAATAAGTTAAAAAATATTGCTATAATCTTAAATCATTTAAAAAAGGCAATTACTTGGAGAAAAGATGGTGAAAAAGAGAGGAGAGTTCTTTCTTTAACTCTTATTTTCATGTTACTCTATTTAGTATACATTAAATGTTTGTAAATTTACTCTAAGAACTATCAGATAATTGCTTTCTCAATCTCTCAGATTTCCTCCCTTCATTTTACCAAAAAAATCCAAACTTTTCAAAGTTCTTTTAAAATAAGATTGGTACATGGTGAGAAATATATTTGAGTTTGAAGAGTTACTGCCCTTGGTAACAGATTCCAATTCTTTTTTGTAGTTGATGCTTCAGAGGCTGGCTCAGGGAACATAGAAATCATGGTCAACAAAGGTCGCATTGCCTGCAATGTCCAGAACCTGGGCAGTTACAAATTCCTGGCTTCCTTTGTTCCCACTAAAGTAGAGAAACACACCATAGAAATGAAGTTTAATAATCTACCAGTTATAGGTAAGTTTGTAAATTTATGCACTCTTTATCAGATTTCTGTGCAGTTTTGTTTAAAATTTAACACACATTTAGTGATTTAACATTCTGCTGGTAATTTTTAAACTTTAAACACTGGATTGTCAAATTTTCTCTGCAAATTTTGTTTTAAATTTGATACAAAGGGTGGCTCAAAGCAATTTTTAAGGTATCACTCAATGCACAGGTGTTCCTTAAAGGTACTTGGACACAGATTTGAAGTTATTATTTTCTCTATAATATTACGACTTATATATTTTAATAGCATTTCACACAAAAATTAATAAAAAATCTTATTTCGTTTAAAAGATATTGAAATTTCAAATTTTTCGGCGGGTTTGATTGACATATCCTTGCACTCTCACAAATTTAATTTTATTCTTAATCCTTAGGAAAAGTGGCAATCTCGTTTTGTATAAATGAAAAATATTAATACTATAATCCAGAAAATTCAGAGTAGACACGTTCGAAAGCAAAAGAAACACACAATATATTGTCAGTCCGTGCAGTTGTGGTAAGCAGACTGTGACGATTGAACGCACCCGGTGAATTCTAAATATAAACAATAACAGAACTCGAGCCCTGTTTACAAAAACTGTGTACATAACACGAGTTTGCTCGATTTGCTAAACTCTGTACGCATTCAGAATGACGAAACTTGTGAAAGTGTTTTGCTTTCTAACATTTCTACTCTGAATAAAATTATTTTTCTTGATAAAAGTTTTGATATTTCTCATTAAAACACATCAAAATTGACACTTTTCCTAAGGATTAAGAATAAAGTTAAAATTTGTGAAAGTGCAAGGATGTGTCAATCAAACCTGCCAAAAAATTTAAAGTTTTAATAACTTTTAAATGAAATAAGATTTTTAATTAATTTTTATGTGAAATGCTATTAAAATATATAATTCGTGATATTATACAGAAAAAATGAGAAAATATTAACTTCAAATCTGTGTCCAAGTACCTTTAAACATAAAACTGTAGACCAACTTTTATTGTTGTGTGAGAAATATCCACAAGTTTTACAACCTTTTTTGCTGTGGAAAAAATTATTTTAAAAAGATCTTTAATTTATTCAGAATGTGTTTTGGTTGCAAAAATCTATGACTGTGGATGGATTTCAACCTAATCGTGAGAATAATGTTGGTTTACAGTTTAATTCAAAGAAACATATTCACGTTGTCAATACACAACCCAGAAATCATGATCTCTTTGCTTTGCAGGATCTCCATGGATTGTTCAAGTGACAGACCCCAAGTCTATCTCCGTCACGGGCGGGGGCATAGACTTCGTTCTCTGTAATAGGAAAACAAACTTTGTTGTGAATTGTGACACAAATATGTCCGAAAATATCAGTGTGTCGATCACAGGTAACCACAGCAACGGAATAGAAAAAACCCACCATCAGTATAAAAATATCTTGTCTCTCTGTCATTTCAGTTTCTGTAGAAGCAGAGTATATATTGTCTCCTTCTGTTTTATAATTATTTTGTTTTCACCACTAATTGTACACCTGTCACATAGTTATCTACTTGGATTGTTACATGTATGTGATTAAGCAGAATTGTCATACATTAATGCTAAAGTGTGAAAAATAAATTGCATGTTTTAAATGTACGAAAGAGATGTTAGAACTTTTGTTAATTAATTGGTCATTTAATCAGAATGCACAGAGAAAAGTTACAAGTATGTGAGTGAAAAAACAAAAATGTTATGTGTAAGTGTTGAATTTTCTCCCTTATTTTCTGCACACACATGGCATGCAGCAGAGAGCATTACTTCGCCCTTGTAGATTTTTGTTTTTTAATCTAGATACACATTTTACTGCCTTTTTCTGCTTTTAGATTTCTTTTTATGTATTTTGTTTTAATATTTTAACCCTACCTTTAGATATATAATCTGCTTTTTATTGGCTGTTTATTTTTTGGTTTTTTTTTCCCTGTCATATTCTGCATTAACATTACATGTAAATAGACATGTACCCCTAGACTGCGTATAGTTAATGAACTTTAGTCAGGCTAATCCTCATTTTACAACTTAATTACCAATTTGAATGTTACCCAGAGCTTTCTCCCTTTTGTACCAAAATATTAGAGGAAATATGAATTCAAAATGACAAAGTTCTATTTTTATCTTACTGTAGGTCCCAGTGGTCGTTCTGTACCATGTGACATTTCTAGTGGGTCACAAGGTCAAATAGTAGAATATGTACCAACAGAAGTGGGTAAGTTGATTTATCCATTACAGCACTGGTAAGACTGTTATTGCTAAAGAAAAGTTTTTCTTTTTTTAAATCGCAAAAATATTTTTTTTTTGTGAATAACTGTACTTCCAGAATGAAAGCTTTAAAGTTTACAAATGTTTTGACAGAGATTAAAAACAAAAATCTAGGAAGTTACAGATGAGGGTGTGGTAATTAAAAGTGGATGCTATGCCCTGGGGAACTTACATGTTTGTTTTAAAAGTGATTTCATTTTCTGTTGATGTTTACAGGTGACCATAAGATTTTCATAAAATACAGAGACACAGAGATAGAGGGAAGCCCCTTCACAGCGAAAGCTTACGACACATCAGCCATTACTGTTACTCCTCTACAAGATGGAATGGTCGGGTCACCAGTGGAATTCACAAGTCAGTAGTATTTCTTTGTGGTAAAAAAAAAAAATTAATGTTAAGTGCTACTCAGAAAAAGCAAGTATTGTCAGAGAATGAAATTTGGTACATTTACTTATTTTATTCAAAACCTACAGCTCTCATATCTGTTGGTTAAACTTTAAGTGGCAAAAAATCTTTATTTTGAAAAATTTTGGTGGACAAATTGCTATTTTGAGTTACATTAAATGAATGTGAAGCCCTCATAGGAAGGTATATACAAGACCCAAAAAGTTGGAGGGGGGATTTCCATAATACTCTAAATTTGCATATCATGGAAATATTTTCCCGAGTTTATCCCAGATTATTTGTAGATAATAATTTGATTTACATTTGGCTTGACCTTTTTTATTTCTCAGTTGATGTGACAAGAGCAGGGGAAGGTCAGCTAGAAATCATGGTCAACAACGGAAACCTCCGAAACACAGTAGAGTTGGAGCGTGCAGGTGTATACAGAATAACCTTCACCCCCGAGGAGGCGGGGCGACAATACGTCAACATAAACTTCAACAGTGAAGGGCTGCCAGGTATTTATTTACTTCAATGTCAAGGGGTTTTCCAGGTGAATATCAAACGTATAACAAGATGCTTAGGGGGGGATCAGCAAGAAAACACACATTAAAAAGAGGGAGAGCTGTTTTATTAATTACAGGTAATTAGCTAAGGTATTTACAAAACAGGAGATTTTTATTTTGTCTTGAGTAATATTATTTGAAATGTTGATTTCTTGCTCTCCAGGGTCCCCCTTCTCCTGTTTGGCGATGGATGCTGCCGGGGCAACCATTTCTGGTCTGAAGACGGCACTTCCTGCCAACAAACTAACCACCTTCACCATAGAAACGCCATCGTCAGCGACAGAGTTCAGTGCAGTGGTAGACATCACAAGTGAGAATGCAATGAATCGTGCAAAGATTTTTTTCTTATCTTTTAAATCATTTAGATGATAATTAATGTTTTAATTAAAACTAAATTTAGGAAAAGGATTTTCATCAGTCTGAAGTATAATATATAGAATATCATGCATGAAATATATAAATATGCACCATGATAGAGGAATTGCAATTTGTAGCATATACATGTATAATTATGCATAAAAAATATTTTGAAGGGAAATCTACTATTTATCTAGCATGAGTACTTGTGGATTATGTATAATAAAAGGTACTAATACTTTTACTAACTTGTGCCTAAATGTTGGCATATGGACTGAATGTCAAGCATGAATGAGCAGTATTAGATAATATGTAGAGAGAGCTATACTTCCTAAGTTACTTCCCTTTAGTGAAAAAAAGAGTTGAACGTTTTAGATTTATATTTAAAACTTGATAAAGGAAGTTTTATTGTAAATTAGGCTGAAATAAATTACTTATTTGTGGAATAATAAAAATTCTGATCTTTTTAACCACTAAAATAAATCCCAGCACTTATGGTGAAAAGCACAGCAAAACCCTGACCATTATTCTATCAACCCTTGTTAAGCTGTAAAAAGTTGCGGTTTAAATAAAAATTGTACTGTGTATTCAAAGTGTTGGTTCGGTTTTTTGCATGAAGAATGCTGGAGTTGCGTAGTGCATGGCAGTAGATACAGGTGAGTGCATGTCAACAGAATTATAATATCCCAATATCAATAGCAGCAATTCAGGCACAGTCATACCTCAATATCTTGAATTCAATGGGATCAAGAGAAAAACACTGAGATATTTGAGGCTTTGAAATATCAAAGGTAAATTACTTAAAAAAATAAGTGGTTGGGACTTCCAATTCACTTCAGCATATCCATGGTACTCAACATATCAGAATTCAAGATATGGCAGTTGGACTGTATATATTGAGATTTATTTAGGTGTTTGTTCACTAGACTATATAATCCATGTTTGTGATTGTCATTGCTTTAATTGGTATGAGGCAGATCCATTAATCTCGGAATTGACTTGTAGGTCCATCAGGAGAGAAGATTCCTGCGAAGACGACCCACACGGCTGTAGATGGGATGCATGTTGAATTCACTCCAAGGGAAGTAGGTAGGTGACAGATTTTTACTGTTGATCACCGTTTATTTTGACCTAATTGTGGGAGAACATCTTCTCAATGACATGAAAATATCAGTCTTGCTTACATTTGTATTACTAGAAGTCCTGCAAAACAAATTTCCAAATTAAAAAGATTATTTTCTTGCTTCAAAAGTATAAATAAAATTGAAAAAAAATAAAAACATTTGGATATTATTTGCTTGTGTCTATAACAATTTACCCTTTCCTGATTGATTAATTTGTGTCATTTTTCAGGGCAGTACACCATCCAGGTATTCTGTGGTAAGGATGACCTCTGTGGAGGCCCTCAGTATGTCAATGTGTTCAACCCGAAGAGTGTCATCATCAACAACATGCCCTTCCACACCTTTGTCGGGGAAACCTGTACATTCTTAGGTATTGTTTTGCTTTTTCAGTCACAAAATACTGAATGCAGTTAAATATTGCCCCATTTTAATTTCACCCAATTCACCCTACTCACGTGTGGGTGAATTTTAAACAAGGTGAATTCACAAGGATACAGTATAATTTCTTAAACATAAAAATGACTAGGAGATTATAAAATGGGGCAAAATAATTATTTGCAAGTGTGAAAGAACGAATATAACACATCCTGAAAATAACCCGGCCCATATACAGTATCTGAGAAATAATGTCCAAATGTATGCAGATAAAATAAAAAAAAAATTCTTTTCCTTATCACAGTTGATGCGTCCAAGGCTGGCGGGGGTATTTTGGAGGTAGCTATTCTGGCCAATAAGAATCACGTCCCCCACACGCTGGAGGATCTTGGGAAGGGGGTGTATGAGGTCAGTTTTGTGGGACAGGAAGCCGTGCGACACAGAGTTCATCTGACATTTAACGAGATTTACATCCCAGGTAAGATTTATGCAGATAAGCCAAAAAGTATTTTTGTGTTTTATTTTAAGTAGCTTATAATAATGATGTTTAAGCATGACTTTACTCTACATCTATTTAAAATTGATATCAAGCGTATCTGGAACATTATGGGACATTGTGAAAAATTCAAGATTAAGATTTTAGAGTTTGAGATAATTAAGTTTAGATTCCAAAAAAACATCTTAAATTTTTGATCAACAGCATATTTCAACATAACCCAGGTATTTATCATATCCCTGGTATATAACATACCCCTTGAATATTAATTGACATAACAGTGGTATTTGGTAAACCCCTTTTTGACATGTCCCTGATAATTGACATGATCATGGGAATACTTTTAAAGGTTCCCTTTCTCTCTTCTGTAGGGAGTCCATTCTGGATTGAGGTTTTGGATGAGTTGGAGTTTGTCATGGATGAATTCAGTCACCAGCAGTTCTTCTCTGTCTACCAGTCAGCAGGGTTTACATTTCATGGCCCCAGTGGCCTGAGTGAGAAATTCACTGTCTCCATTGAAGGTATATTCCAAGGCCTGAATTTGGTATGCTGTTGAGGTGCAAGCATTGTTTCCAGTCCTTAGAAGCTGACTAGAGGAAAATTATAGATCTGTGCATGAATTCTTAAGTAGAGCATGACACAATCAAGATGCAGTGGAGCATGACATATGGAACGCCATCACTGCCTTATAGCATAAAACTATGCATTCATTATGTCAATCTATCATTACGTGATGTGAACATATCTTTACGTTATATCATTTTTTTATGGGGTGATGTAAAAATATCTTTACATCATGTCAGTGCTGCATTACATGAAGTAAACACATTCTTCCATTATGTCGGCACTTTATAACTTGAAGACCAAAGTTCATTATGTGAAGTGAAAATATGTTTACATTGTGTTAAAACTTAATTACGTGAAATGAATGTTTATTTATATTATTTCATTTCTTTAATATGTGAGGTCAAAATTGCATTACGTCAAGTTAATTGCGTTTTACAAGTGTTCCGTGGTTAAATTTATCATTACATTTAGTCAAAGTCCATTCCCTTTTGTGAGTGTATATTTCTATTATAACAAAGCATTATTACGTAATGTTAATGTATCTTTATTTTAGGCCGAGGTCATCACAATGTGAGGTGAAAACATCTTACCTTTATGTCAGTGCTTTATTACTTTATGTAAAAAGGTTTTTAACATAATGTGAACATATATTATGGAGACAGTCGCGGCGTTCCATATTATATCAACACTTTATTACGTTATGTCAAAACTCCATTCCTTTATGTGGATATTTAATAAGAATATGTTAACTCTTTCTTATGTGATTTAAAACTATCTTTACATTGTGTTAATTCTTTATCATGTTGATTACAAATGTTCATTACGCGCTGTAAAATACATTTACATTATGTCAAAGTCGATAACCGTGTTTTCAGGACTGGGAAGGGGATGGGGGGGGGGTCCTGATTAATTAGGACGAATTACGGACACATTATATGAGGGGGGGGGAGGGGTCTGACTTCCTCTTTTTTCCGACATAACTTTATCATAGAAAATGTTCATTGAAATACAGTCCCACTTTTTGCTGAAGTATAAGGGTAATGTAGTATATTTGGAATTTTTTAAAGGACTGATCGAAGTTGGACCCCCCCCCTCCTTTCACCCGAAATAGGATTTTCGAGTTTGGATTTTTTTTTTTGCTTTTTCTTGTACGTTATTTTTTTATGGCTGACAAACCTCCCCCAGCTTTCAAAAACGATGCAATGTCCACTGGAATTAGTAATTTTTCAACCATTCCAGGACCAGAATTCTGTTACAAAAATCTACGTTTTCACTTAAATTAACACGGGCTCATATCAGTTGCGATCTTGGGTTCTTGAAAAGAGTAGCTATAGGGGGACAATATGGTGTCTAAGTTTGGGACCAGGGGGTGAAAGCCCGAAAGCTCTCAGGCTTTAGATTTTTTTTAATAAAACGTTTCAACTTATTTCAGTTATACTTTATGTAAAACTAATGCAATGTCCTACAAAGTAAAATCAATTGATTAATTTCATGCATATTTTGGTCACTAAAGATGGGAGGGCGGGATCCTCCCTTTCCCCACCGACCCACCAGTGCACGTATGAAATACGATGTATTTACACTTTTTTTTTTAAAAAAGGGGGGTTAAAGACTGATGAAAAGCTTAGGACAGTGTTTTGTAGTTAGATCAGAAGTTTCGGACTTTTCAAATCGTCAATAAAGATTCCATGGGAACATGATCCTATTTTTAATTTAACCTGATATTTAATTAAGGATTAATTAAGTCTTGTGTATAATTTAATATTTGATACGTTTAATTTAAATCATTTGCAAGTTTAACATATGTGCATGTAATATTGAAAACACAAAACGAACTTTTAGGCTTAACCTAAACCTTACGTCACATAATAAAGAGTTGAAATATTCTAAAATATACTGACAAGAGGCTAAGCATTTTAGACACAGTGTAGAGATACAATGGCATAACATAATAATGATTTGTCAAAAAGTTAGGGAAAATTGACATCATGTAATAGATTCCCGGCGTCATGTAGCATATTGATGACACAATATAGTAAAGAATTGGCCACATGTGACAATTTTTTTCACATCATATATGAAATTCTGACATCGTGTTATAGCGACTTGATATGAATTAAAGATAAATTCACATCATGTAATGAACTACTTAGACCAAATAGTAGAGAGTGCACATAATGTAATAATGAGTTGAAATTATATAATAACATCTTCACACCACGTAAAATTGTTTTGACTTAATGTCATAAAGAGCTGATATAATGCAATGGAAGATTGGCGCAATGTAATTGAAGTGCGAGTTAATGCAATAAAGACTTAACATACTGTAATGGAAAGTTGACATAACGTAATAGTAGTGTGTGTTAATGTCATAAAGAGTTGACATAATGTAATGGAAAGTTGACATAACGCAATAGTACTGTAAGTAAATGTCACAATGTGTTGACATAATGTAATGGAAAGTTGACACAATGCAATTGTAGTGTTCTGCTATAAGGCAGTGACGGCGTTCCATAATGACACAATCCAGTTTCAATAGAGCATGACATAGTCAAGATGCGATAGAGCATGACACAATCAAGCATGACCTGAGGGAAAGAGAAGCATGACATAGCAAAAGGGAAATCTGCTTAAGAGCTGCAGCTTTGAAAGTTTAAAAAAAGCTTTTTGCTTCAATGTTGGACCATAGAGTCTGCTTTTGTTCACACTGGTTAAGATTATGCACTGTTTTAAATGGATTAAAAACGTTAAACTTGACTTCCATTTAACTATTTTAATTGAGGCTGTTGCTACATTGTTTGATTGCTTTGTTAGCATTCAAAATAATTCTTCTGAATCTAATTAAATTGTTATTACAAAATTGAATAAAGTATCAAGATTTTAATTTTTGTATTTTTCAAACAGTTTTGGAATTTTTGGCTTGAAAGGCTTTTGTCTAGTGCTGTTCTGGAAAAAGCCGAACTTAAGGTCTTTGTACTCATCTGATGCCCAAGGACTATAAATTTCCAGTTGACATTTGATTAAAAGTTTAAATCATTAAGAGCTGCATGCAGATTTGTAGATGCAATATTTGCATGAAGGCAGAACTTAACTCCACAATCTAAATACCGATAAAATAAAATTCCTGCTGCATTGGTGATGGTGCTTTGTTGAATATGGTACACTTGAGCATGTAAAACAAGAACTCTCTCTGAAAGACTCCATCACACTGTGAGTATTCAGCACTATATTATACATATACATGTAATTATATATTCCATGTTATATCACATTGTATGCATGTAAAATATTGCTTTATAATTAGCGCATAAATAGCAAAATTAATGAAAAAGAAATATATCGGATGAATTTTAAATTAGCTAAGTGTTGTGTCTTTTCTTATTTTCTGAAATTTTTAAATCAGGTCCCTCTGGAAGGAAAGTGGATGCTAAGATTCGAGAAACCAGTGCTAAGACTTATTGTATTGAGTTTGAACCCAATGAAGTCGGCAGCCATCTTGTTGAGGTGTACTTTAATGGAGTGATGTTGAAGAACTTTCCCTATGTGATCAAAGTGTATGATGTCAATCATGTGAGAGTGACCAGACCTGATAAAGCCATGGTGGATGAATCTGTCCGACTCCTTAGTATGATTTTTTTTTGGCTTTGAAAATTTGATGTAGCTAGTGTTCTAGCTTAAATTTTTATTTGGTAGTTGATTTAGCTGCTGTGTATGCAGTGTAATTTGTGTCCCTTGCCAATTTTTAACCAAATTAAGTTAAAAAATAAGAAAGTTTGTCCAAATTTGCCCAAAATCCAAATGTGTGTTCTAATGAGATATATGTTTTATTCCAATGAACCTCATTTTAAATCTACTTGTTGAAGGAATTTGTGAACAAATAAGGTAAAAATAAAAGGTAGGCATTTTCCAGGGTTCTGAAAATATGTAAATTCAGACATTGAATTATTTCAGTTGATGTTAGTCGATCAGGGGAAGGGGAACTTGAAATGATCGTGGAATGTGATGAAGAAACCATACCAAGTGAAATGAAGGAGACAGAGAGAGGAAGGATTGAGGCTTTCTTTATTCCCAGAAAACCAGGGCTCCACAAAATAAGCATGACATTCAATGGAGATAAAGTTCCAGGTATCAGGACATATTCTTTCTTGCCATTTTTGGAGTTTGAGTTTTTGACACTGTTAAACCTTGTGAATTCTGTTGTGTAAAGCATTACATATTTTAACATTTACTTGCCATAGGATTATTAATATATATAAGTTTCCAGAAAAATAAATCAGAATGTTACAAATTGATGAAATTCCAAAGTCAGATTTGTTTATTAAAGTCATCATCAGTTTTACTTTAATAATAATTTCAAATAAGAGAACACATGGACAGTTAAGAAAATTGTGAGTAATTAAGTAAACCATGAATTCAATTTAGTTACAAAGGTCTTCGATTTCTCTTCCATAGGATCACCTTTCATGGTAGATGTAGAAGGACAAATTGTGAAAGAAACGGCCATTATGGCAAAGTCAGAAGTCCAAAAAATGAACATACAGTCTCGGAATTTCCGAATCAACCAACAACAATGGATTCTTCTCCAGGCTTTCGGTTCCGGAGTTGAAGACTTTAGCCATTTTCAGATCAGCATTATAGGTTCCATTTTTGTGTCATGTATAGCATGAAGATTCTGGGATATGGACATATAATAAGTGCATGAAAACCAATAAAAATGTAGTAAAATTCTTTGAAAATTTTCCTCCTGTCTGTGTTGATTTGTGAGAGTGGAGAAGGGATGTGAGTGACTGTCATGCTTTGTGTGTGATACCCTGAGTTCTCCATGTTGTCCTCTGTCTTCTCTTCCTCTGTGTTTATAACTGCCATATTTATCCAGGATAGGTTACAGTATAGTTGTATTGAGTCTCTTTGCTGTGTGTAGGAGTGTTTTTATAATGTTTTCTGTTGTGTTTTGTTTTTAGCTCCAAATGGAAACAGGATCCCGGCCAGAATCATGTCTCAGGCAGACGGCAGCTTTAAGGTGGAGTGGACCCCAACATCTACAGGTAATAAAATGTATTTCTATTCTTTTTTTGTTCAGAAGATTTTAAATATTTATACATGTACAGTCCAACCTTTTTTTTCTCATACTCAATGGGACTGAGAAAAAAACTTAAAGATATCTGAAAGCGTGAGATATCAGGGGCAAAATGTTTAAAGAATAAGTGGTTGGGATTTCCAGTGGACTCTGACATACTGATGGTGTTCAAGATTGTATCATCATTTGAGATACCATAGTTGAACTGTACATTTATAATTCTATTTTAGAGAGGTTAATTTGTTTCACATTAGAATCTCCAAAAAATGATGGTTGTTTTTCCTGAACTGAAGTCATGAATAGCCATATTTAGCTCTTCTGAGCCAAAGGCTCAAAGAGCTAATGCTATGGCCATTTGTGCGGTGTGCGGTGTGCGTCGTGCGGTGTGCGTTAACTTTTTAGAATATGGGCCATAACTGAAGAACCCCTTGGCCAATCAGTGTCAAATTTGTCACAGGGTATCCTTGGCCCAAGGGCTACCATTTATACTAAAATAAGGGTTGGGACCCTAAAACAAGGGGAGATAATCAGGAAAACAAAACCAAAAGTACTGGTTGCTAAAAAATCTTCTTCTCCAGAACCACCAGGCAGATTTTCACCAAACTTACACACAAGGATCAGGATATGTTGAAGATTAAAAATTGTTCGAGGCATGACCCTGGGGCAAAGGGCGTGGTCTCAAGGTCACTTCAAAGTTGACCTAAATTTACCATTAATAAAAACTTTTATATTTTGCTTACTATAAGGACTAGGATCATCAAATCTTGTAAGTTGATGCATCTTAGGACTTCACATCATGTTAACTCAAAAGTAGGTCACGATGACCTACTTTTTTAATTTTGCGGGCATTTGTTTTCAAATTGATTTTAAGGCATATTTTGGACAGTTTTAGGCGTATGATCATAAAACTTAGTCAGTTGATGCATCTTGGGTCCTTGAACAACGTCAATTTAAAAGTAGGTTACCGTGACCTACTTTTTGAACTTTATGACTTATCCTTTATAAAACATTTAATCCCATAATTTCAGGCACTGAAAGGGTTAGAATCATCAAACCTTGTAAGTTGCTGCATCTTGGGACCTTAAAACATATTTAAGAAAAAGTAGGTCACTGTGACCTACTTTTTGAATTTGGCAGGCAATTGTTTTCAAATTGTTTAAAAGGCATATTTTGATTACCTTCAGACCTACGATCATCAAACTTGGTCAGGAGATGCATCTTGAACTCTGAAAAATGTCGACCAAAATGTAGGTCACGGTGACCTACTTTTGACATTTTATGGCTAGTTTTAAGTGTCTTAGGTATTTATTGGCGTAGAATCATCAAACTTTGTCAGGTGATGCAACTGGGGTTTTCGGAGAGAGACGACCAAAAATTAGGTCACCTACTTTTGACATTTTATGGCTATATTTCAGTATCTTAGGTATTTATTGGCTTAGAATCATCAAACTTTGTGAGTTGATGGATTTTAGGTTTTCGGAGAGTGTCAACCAAAAATTAGGTCACGGTGACCTACTTTTGACATTTTATGGCTATATTTAAGTATCTCGGGTACTTATTGGTTTAGAATCATCATACTTTGTCAGTTGATGCAAGAATGTCGACCAAAAGTAGGTCATGGTGACCTACTTTTGAATATCTCAGGTATTTATTGGCATAGAATTATCAAACTTGGTCAGCAGATGCATCTTGGGACTTCTAAAAAATGTCAACCAAAATTTAGGTCACGATGACCTACTTTCGACATTTTATGGCTATATTTAAGTATCTCCAGTACTTATTGGCTTAGACTCATCAAACTTTGTTAGTTGATGCATCTTTGGTTTTCCAAGAATGTCGACCAAAAAGTAGGTCACAGTGACCTACTTTTGACATTTTATGGCTATATTTACAGCGAAATACGAAATGGCGGTTAAATTTTCAGTAGCCTGGTGGATAGCTCAATAGGGTATTTAATTTGGTCTAACAAGTATCACATTAGGTTTGAATCTAGGTCACAAGGTTACTCAGGTGTATCATTAGATTTTACAGGTAAATGTGAGTTGATTTCAATGTTGTATGAAGCCACATGTATGTGCCAAAGTGTTATGCAGTAAATACATGCAATACTTTTCTTTAATTGCAAATACTTTTTGCAGAATTAGTGAATGACAACCCCCTTTTCCATTCTTACAAAAGGTGTTGTTAACAAAGTCAGGACATAGTTAGCTCCCCACTTTTCCCACTTAATGGATTATACATAAACAGGCACATAAACTGAATAATATCATAAATACTTGGAATGATATAAATAGCACATATAAAATGTATTAAATTAATTATGATGAACATTTCTACACCCTTCAAATTTCTCTATTCATATCTGTTACTCTCTGAAAAAACTGAAATTTGAATTGATAAAGGGCTTGTTTTACAAAAGAAATTATGGCTAAGACTAGATGCTCTTGCTATTTATTCTATTCTTTACCATATTCAATTCTTATTTTATTCTTTCATATTTTAAAAAATAACATAGAGGCAAATATTAAAAGCATCACAATTACAGATTTCTTCACTGCTAGGAGAGTTAAAAACTTTTAGTTTATATATATTAATTATTTTTAAACCTATATTAATAAATCTAGCAAAACTATAAAATCAAAAATCATGGATAATGAGATTTTGACATACAACAAATAATGAACTCAAAGTTTTGGAAAACCCAATGTATTTGAATGCTGAATTAAGCAATGTTAAGCAGTTTAATCTAAGACATGGGTGCTGGTGCTATTGTTTACTAACATTTGTCTAAAAGAGAAATTTTACCCTGTAATATGAAATTACTTGTATGTTAATTATGAAAATAGATTACAATGGGTTTTTATAATGGAAGTGACAAGACTTGATAGCAATTAGGAAAGATTAGGAAAGATAGTGTGCAGAGGATATATGCATTATTGAAGCGCTGGAATACAATTTTACTGAAAAAAATATTTCAATTAAAGAAAATTATTTACTGCATAAAACTTTAGCACATACATGTGGCTTCATACAACATTGAAATGAACTCACATTTACCTGTAAAAACCAATGATACACCTGAGTAACCTTGTGACCTAGATTCAAACCTAATGTGATACTTGTTAGACCAAATTAAATACCCTATTGAGCTATCCAGCAGGCTATTGAAAATTTAACCGCCATTTCGTATTTCGCTGTAAGTATCTCCGGTACTTATTGGTTTAGAATCATCATACTTTGTCAGTTGATGCATCTTGGGTTTTCCGAGAATGTCGACCAAAAAGTAGGTCACAGTGACCTACTTTTGAATATCTCAGGTATTTATTGGCTTAGAATTATCAAACTTAGTCAGCAGATGCATCTTGGGACTCTGAAAAATGTTGACTAAAATGTAGGTCACGATGACCTACTTTCGACATTTTATGGCTATATTTAAGTATCTTAGGTATTTATTGGCTTAGAATAATCAAACTTTGTCAGTTGATGCATTTTGGGTTTTTCAAGAATGTAGACCAAAAAGTAGTCCTAATTTGCTAAGAACCATCAAACTTTATCAGGTGATGCAACTTGGGTCTTAGGATACTTAGGGTTAGAGGCTTCAAATACAAGTGATAGGTTGTACAATTTATCAGAAGAGCGTTTCAAGGCCCTTGGGCCTCTTGTTTCCTATCTTTAGGGCGCCATACAGTGGAGGTGCAGTATGCGGGACGACAGATTGATGGCAGTCCGTTCTATGTGGATGTATTTGACCTGGCCATGATCAGAGTTGAACATTTCAAACAGGGTGGAATTGGACAAACAGCTTCCTTTGACAGTAAGTTACCTTTTATTTCGTTTTTTTTTATAGAAATCATTTTATCCTCATTCTTTCAAGAATTAAGCTGGCTTGATTATAAAAGAACACATAACAAATACCACAAAATCAGGAATTTTCATTGGGTATAATCTTTGTGGGAGCGAAAGGAAAACTGGGTTCATGGGGATTTGAATTTGTGGATGAAGAATTTTTGAGGGTTGGTAATACATGTACTAGTGACATTTTACATGTTGTGGTGGACATGAATTCATTCTTTTCTTTATACCTCAAAAACAAAAAAAATCCCCACAAAAAATTGTGATTTCACTGTACCTTGTGTATTTTGTGTACATTCTAAGAATCAGGTAAATTAACATTTAATAATTTTACATTTTCAGTTGACTTCAGTCAAGTGGGTGTTCAGGACTACAGTGTGGTTATTAGGAGCCCCACAGGAAACATTATAGACTATAATTCTACCAGCTCTTACTCTGATGTGAGGAAGGAGATCACTTACGTACCAACAGAGGCAGGACAGCACGAGATCTACATCAACTACTGCGGGTTTGAACTTCCAGGTAAAAGTTTTTGTTATTTTAGTTAATCTAATGTGTTGGACAACTTCTGACTGGCACCTGGATAAATAGTTATCCCCTCAATTACAACCATTAGCAGTCATGATGAAGGAGGCTTCTGCATTATACATGAGATGTTGATACAAAGACTGAAAATGGTCACTGTAAATTGAGTTGCCATCACTGTAACTACAAAAATTTAAGTTCCAAAGGCATTCTCAAAGTTTTCGTAAAATCAGATTGTATTATTTAGTATAAAGTATCAAAAATCCTTGTTATATGACTTTTCTTTGGATGCCAACACATTTAAAGTAAAACTAATGACCTTGACATTGAAGTTTGACTTGCTTTTGAAAAGCTTTATCCCAACTTTCATCTTGGCAATAACTTATGAATTGTAGGTGCTAAAGGCTCTCATATTTCAGGTGTATTGCAAGTGATAAACCTTTCTTTGGGTACCAACATTTTTTACCTCATGACCTTGACCTTAAATTTTGACATACTTTTGATCATGAAAGACTACTAGTGTGCCCCAGCCATGGCATCTGAATAGAAAGTGCTAGGGATTTCAAAATTTACTTGTGTAAATCCTTGTGGCAAGCCATTTTTGCAGGTTTCAACATTTTTTGAGCTTCTTTGCTATTTGATATAAATTTATTTTGAGATGGACTAATTTGATTGAAAAAAAACAGGAAACATCCATAAAGGTTTTTAGCTCACCTGAGCTGAAAGCTCAGGTGAGCTTTTTTGATCACCCGTTGTCCGTCGTCCGTCCGTCCGTCCGTCTGTAAACTCTTCACATTTTCAACTTCTTCTCAAGAACCACTGGACCAATTTTAATCCAACTTAGTACAACGTATCCTTAGGTGAAGGGGAATTTAAATTATTAAAATCAAGGGCCAAGACCCCTTCCAAGGGGAGATAATCAAGAAAATACAAAAATAGGGTGGGGTCATTAAAAAATCTTCTTCTCAAGAACCACTGGGCCAGAAAAGCTGAAACTTATATGAAAGCATCCTGGGGTAGTGTAGATATTAAATTGTTAAAATCATGACCCCCTGGGGTAGGGCGGGGACACAATAGGGAATCCAAGTTTTACATAGAAATATATAGAACAAATCTTTAAAAATCTTCTTCTCAAGAACCACTGGGCCAGGAGAGCTGAAACTTATATGGAAGCATCCTTGGATAGTGTAATATTAAATTGTTAAAATCAGTAGGGTGGGGCCACAATAGGAAATCCAAGTTTTACATAGAAATATATAGAACAAATCTTTTATAATCTTCTCAAGAACTACTGGGCCAAGAAAGCTGAAACTTTTGTGGAATCATCCTGGGGTAGTGTACATATTAAATTGTTAAATCCAAGAACCCCGGGGGTAGGGCGGGGCCACAATAGGAAATCCAAGTTTTACATAGAAATATATAGAGCAAATCTTTGAAAATCTTCTTCTCAAGAACCACTGGGCCAGGAGAGCTGAAACTTATGTGGGAGCATCCTTGGGTAGTGTAGATATTAAATTGTTAAAATCATGACCCCCGGAGGTAGGGCGGGGCCACAATAGGGAATCCAAGTTTTACATAGAAATGTATAGAGCAAATCTTTAAAAATCTTCTTTCAAGAACCACTGAACCAGGAAAGCTGAAACTTATATGGAAGCATTCTTGGGTAGTGTAGATATAAAATTGTTAAAATCATGACCCCCTGGGGTAGGGCGGGGCCACAATAGGGAATCCAAATTTTACATAGAAATATATAGAACAAATCTTTAAAAATCTTCTTCTCAAGAAATTCTGGGCCAGGGAAGCTGAAACTTTTGTGGAAGCATCCTTGGGTAGTGTTGCTATTAAATTGTTAAAATCATGACCCCGGGGGTAGGGCAGGGCCACAATAGGGAATCCAAGTTTTACATAGAAATATATAGAACAAATCTTTAAAAATCTTCTTCTTAGAAACCACTGGGCCAGGAAAGCTGAAACTTATGTGGGAGCATCCTTGGGTAGTGTAGATATTAAATTATTAAAATCATGACCCCCAGGGGTAGGGCGGGGCCACAATAGGGAATCGAAGTTTTACATAGAAATATATATAGAACAAATCTTTTAAAAAGATCTGCATCACCTAAATTACTCAGGTGAGCGATGTGGCCCATGGACCTCTTGTTATATTTTTCCTGCACGGTCCAATTGGAATTATTTTAGTGTTACCAACAAGAATAAATGTAGCAGTTATACCTGACAAATAGTACGTGTCATTAATTGAACATAAAGAGCCACCTTAAAAGCTTTCCATTGATGAATTATTTGATAAAGTCCAGGTTTGATTCTATCATAGTTCTTTTAAGGTTAGTTCTCAACTTAGCTACATGTAGGAAAAAAACAACATCGTCTGTGCATGCTGACTCATCATCAAAAGTTTACCGACTGAACACATCTGGTATATGACAGAATAATGGCAGACTTAATATCACCAAAGTCTATTGACCAATGATACACTCAAATATGATGTACAGGCAATATGTCACCATTAGATGGGTTCCCTAGATAACTACTAATGTGAATTGATGTTAAATTGATTGTGGTGTCTGAATGTCCCCTTAAGAGCTGTCCCATCCATTACATGGTTCAGTTGACCCACCCCTGTACAATACATCCTCCCACTAGACCACTGTACTCACTCCCAGGTTAACAATGGCAGACAGTAGGTATAATCTTATAATTTTTTTATGTTTAATTCGAAATTGATTGATTTGAAAAGCTTATGTCTGTTTGTCTTATATAATAATTTGATGATGATGGGAGTAATTTTTGTTATTCAGGTATTTGAATTTTTTTCTGGTCTGTCTCTTACTTTGCATACATGTATATAAACTGATTCTTTTCACTTCTGACATGTTTTGACATTTTTTTTAAGAAGGCATTTAACAAAGCCTGGAAATTTTAATACTTTGAAGGGTTTTTTTTTTCATTACACTTTAATGTCATTGCTACCTGTTCAGTCATAAGTATTTAACCTGATTTCATGTTAATTAATTGAGAGTACATGACTTACACTTAATTCAGGGGATTCCATAAAATGATTTAAAAATTAGAATCACCTCACTAACTGGCCAGGTCAGTGATAATGAACTTCAACCATCAATCTGTCCAACTAAATTCAACTAGAGCCATTACGAACATTAAAAATTAGCATTGAAATGTCTTGAACCCTATAATTGCCACTGCTTTGATCACTTTGTCATTAGCTTGGACAGTAGGAAGATTTTAGACAACTACGGAGGGAGCAACCTTCATAGGATACATATTGATGTAGTTATTACAAGCTAATTCAGAGAATCACTTAATACGGAAAAAAAAAGAACATGCACGGATCTTGGGGGGGGGGGGGGGGTGGTTTGACACTTGGTGGGGTGACACTTTAAGAAGGGCGGGTGGGGCTATAGGGAGTTATGGTGTAAAATTTCATTGCAAAATTTTAAAACATCTTGGGAGATTGCTTGGCAATGAAAGTTTTACACACAGACAGAATGTAGAATGTACGACCTTGACCTTTGACTTCAAAACAAAAAGGGGTCTTCCTTAGGAGTTGTGATTTAAAATTTCACTGTAAAAGCTCAAAGGCTTCTCCAGATACCGCACAGAAAGAAAGAGTTAAAACAGACAGAATTTATTACCTTGACCTTTGACTTTTTGACCACAAAATCAAAAGGGGTCTTTTTAGGTCATAGGGAGTTGATATGCAAAATTTCATTGCAAAAACTCTTCTTAAAAAGTCTTTTTTGGCTACATTAAATTGGTGAACATATCAATGATCAAGCAGCATCCAGTGTCTATTTTAAAGTAAATACAAGCCATACCAGGTCCAAATTCTGCCTGAAACAGAAGGTATGGGACAAATTCTGTTTGCAACATTTGGGCCAGGCATCTTATTGTAAATAGATGAACAAGATTGACTACCCAAGATTACCAGGTAGATTTTCTAAACTGTATTGTCCTTCTCCTGTTGGTTACAATACTGCAATGAGTTATATATGAATCTATTGGGGTTATAGTTACCTGGACAGAATTTTATAAAGGAGCTTCGGTTTGGTTCATATTATAGTAATGTAAAATCATATTATGAATAATGTTCGTAAATAGCTAGTGTACACAGGACGTATTTGCACTATAGATACTGAATTTACTACATCTTGACATCATTTCAGTCATTAATAGTGCTTCTTTAAGTTTAAAAAAGTAGGCATTAAAACTGATTCAGAAGAATTTTCTCTGTTCCAAGCACTGTATCAAATGCACTTAGTGTCACATCATTATCTTATAGCTAACAAGGCTGACAACAAGAGCAGTTAAAAGGGACCGTTTTTGTTATAGATGGTGCTTCAAATTTTTCAGTATTCCATTCAGGCTTTTGTGTACATATTTGCCTTTCTTTGGTTACACATTCTGCAGCCCACACAAACTGGTTCCCTCTCTCAGAAGAATTATACTAGGCGGGCTGAGCCCATTGACAAATATTACCCAGTATCAATAGGTGTGGGGGAGACTGATATTTTCAAAATACCGATAGAATTAAAGTCAATAATTTGCTGGGTACACTGTGTTTGCAAAGCTTAGGTGGCCATGAAATAGTATCGTTGATTTTCACAATGATTTCCTTTAAAATATTATTTCAAAATTCATTAAATTCAAAAAATTTTAACTGCATAAGCTAATTTGAAAATGCCTTAAGTATACAATTATTAAATGAAAATATGTGTTCAGTTTAATTCATTAGTACGTACAACTATCTAGCGTTAAAGTTTTTAATAATTAAAGGATTTTATAGTAATATTCCATGAAGTGATTTTACAATTTATTGTGGGAGAATGCTTGTTATGCATGCATGGTTGGATATTATAATCCATATCATCCATTTATAGATTAACTTAAACCTTGAAATCGTGCAGAAGTTTTAGTGAAAATTATTAATAGTGATGTTTGAATATGGTAATTGATCTTCAATGTCCCATCACGACTCATCATCTCCATACAGTCTCTACTCATTTATAGTTATGGAATGTTTACACCACTCTCGGAATTAATTTCTCTCCCGAGATACTCCCTGTTTGCTAATGATGACAAAATATTAATCCATGCTTAAGTCAACAGGAGCTGCGGGACATCTTGTGAATGCGAGGTTTTAAATATCCACCGTGTCTCAATAACAGACACAGAAATCATTATAGGCTTTCAAATCAAGTCGGAGGTTTTTATTAATATTAATGATTTTAATCTGTACAACCTTGGTGCTATGTAAAGCAATATAAGCCAAAACTTATTGCTGCAGCCTTCACAGAGAATATTCCAAAGGCAATGGATCCCTTAAATTTCTGTCTTTATTAAAAGTTGTTTGTTGAAAGGACCTGAAATCTAAGCAAAATATTGATTCTCTGTGGTTACTTTTCAGCGAATATACAATAGTGTTGTTTACGGGATGTTTTATAACAATGAAAACTTCTGTTGCACTGTTTCATTTTGGATAAAGAAATATTCATAGAGGTGTGGATTTACTTTCATGAATTATGCTGATTTTATTTAACTTCAATCAGTATATTTGTACATGAATGAATCTTAGCCTACAGTGTTAAACCCTTCCAACGGAATTTTAAAATTTAGCCAATGTGTGGGAGTCTAGAGACTTAAATGTGCGATTTAGACTTCTGAAGTTTTATAAAAGAGAATGTGTGTGCAGCTCTTTGAGCACAATTGGATTTACAAATGTAGTAATAATCAGATGTTGGAATCGGTGAAATTTAAAACAGGTTTTGAATGAATGTGATGTGTTAGGCTCCTAGTCAATTAAAACCTCAGATAGTGTACTGTGGATGTGCATTTTGAAAGTTCTGACTGTACAGTCATAGAATGGATTTTCTGATTTGTGCATGCTAATGTTGGAATGCAAAATTAAATTTTTGGAGGTAGTGAATGGAAAGCATTGATCACATTAAAGCAACAAAGTAACTGGATGAACATTTTAAGTAGATCTTTAAAACTGGATCATTATATCAAAGTTGGATTAAAAATAGTTCACTCTTGAAGAATCTATCAGGATTAGATCAGATTTCCTTGCATGGCAGACTAGAAGATTGTTTTGAACCTTGTGCATTCAGCCATGGGGTAATCCTAATCAATGGTCATTGAAGTACTGTTCTCTTTATCAATGTTAAACTTCTATGTTTGGCATATTGTATCATAAAGCCTTATCATGTTGCACTGAATAGGACAAGATAAGAACTTCTGATAATCATATGATTTACAGGTCATGCCTAAAACAAAAAAAATCTGTTGCAGTATTAAGTTTATTAGTCTGAATTAGTGGACGTTTTACTCTTGATTTGAACAAGTATAACTGTTAAGTGATTGAGTAAGATTCTCAAAATGGAAGTAGAGACTGATTCTAAGGAAGTTATAGAGATCAGTGTGGATAGTGTGCTTGGAGAACTGCAGAGTGTCCTCAAAGGGAAGATCCCAGAATCAGACTCCTCCAGCGAATCAGAGGAGGATGTTCCTACAGCGAAAGGTCCTCAAAGCCCTCAGGAGGAGAAAGAGGGTCATGTGTGCAATAATAAAACCGATGAAGAGAAAATGGTGGAAAATTCCCCTGTTAGTCCTAAGAGTTTTATGGATAGGCCTATCATTTTCAAGTCTTCCATTAAGAAGGACCCAGGGTCAAAGCTTCACGACCAGTTGGTCAAAGAACTGGGGTCAGTGTTGAAGAAGAGAAATAAGGAAAATGATTTTGGCCCAGTTAAAGAAGAGGAGAAAAAGGTGAAGGATGTCATGACAAACAACAACAGAAGACCTGGACCTCTTAAATTGAATAACAGTGTGTTTGCAAACAAAGCTTTACTGGCACATTTGGAGAATCACCTTAAAAAGTCCTTACACAAGACTGATGTTGCTGGAAAATCAAGGACCAGCATAAAGGACTCTAGTTTTAATAATGACTCCTCCAATCTCCCTAATATTATGGAATCTTCCATTTCTGGTGCTGCACAGTTTGGGGTGAAGTTAAGACATACACAAAGGACATCAGAGGGGGATGGAGTTGAGATAAATGGGGAGCTCTCTCCAAACTCTTCACATACATCTCCTCAGAAATCTAGTCAGTCTGAAGTTTTACTCCAGGCAAGAGCCTCTCTTACTAGTACTCCACAACCAAGTGTGCTATCCCAGAATTCATTGACTTCTAAAACTGAGAAAGTGGTGGTACTGCCTCAAAATTCAAGGACGACTAAAACTGATAAAGTGGTAGTACCATTGAAGAATGAAGTGGTTGCTACCAGTGTGAGTAGACACATTGTTTCCCAGTCAAGTAAAGCAATAAGTGTGGTTTCTAAACAGACTTCACAGTCCGGTGGAAGTGTCTATCATGTATCATCACTGAAGAGAGATGGGAAGCATTTGACTCAAATATCCATAGGTGGTAAGAATTGTGACTCAAGTTAAAATCCATACTGGGCAGGGTGAACGAAAAAGTCATTTGTAAAAGTTTCAGAGATATGTTCGTTTCTCAGTTATTCCCACCCCCTATCCCTTTTAGTGAAGTATGTTGGTTGAAAGTTGCCACCCCCTCCCCCATCCATCCCCACCCCCACCCCCAAAGAGAATTAGAAAAAAAAATCAATGTTAAAGAAAAGTGAAATCCATAAATATTGGATTACTTTTGAGAACATTTTGTGCTGAAAATTAAATTTTCATATTTTGATGTTTTGAAATTTTCATGTTATTGCCATTGAAATATACTTTTGTGGTCTGAGAGGCATTTACTCCTTGGTGAATTGGTATTTGCAATTGATTGTCTTTGTTATTCTGACCTTTCTGGGACAGACTAGGGTAATTATAATGAGGCACTGTTCACAGATAAAGTTAACATGGTGAGTAGTTTTCACATATCCCAGAGTTCCACACATTATTCTCTGACCTGTGTGCCAGTGTTGACTTCTTTTTGTTCCTATGAATATGAACAGGATGTTTGACTATGGATATAGAGGTAAAAAGTGGATGTATTACAGATTACATGACACCTCAGGTATTCATTCTTTTTTGAAGATGATTCATCTTTTTAATCAGATTTTTAGGTCTAATAGTGAAACTTTACTGTGCATAAGACATGCAGACCTTTAGTACATTTTATATCCCTGCATGACCTTTCCATTTGCCCACAAACCAAATAGCAGGTATTGTCTGACAAAACGAGGGGTAGAGTAAACTTAAAGTGAAGCTCAGCATATGTGATATATACAGTTCACATCTCAGAAGATGTTGAATCCAATTTGAAAAGTGTTTTTTTTGGGGGGGGGGGAGGGGTATGGTGATTATATGAAATTTAACAATTGTCTTTGATTTCATAGAAACATGACACTAAATTACTTATTTTTTTGCTGTATTGTAGGCTGTCCGGTCATTCACACCATTGATGAGGGAGGTCTGCCCTCGGCCTCCGGCCCCGGTCTGTACAAAGGTCAGGAAGACAAGGAAGCTGTGTTCTATGTGGATGTGGGCAAGAGGAGTGGAGATCTGGACATCAAGGTGGAAGGTAGGTGGAGAATTAAACAGATAATCTTGCTATCTTCAAGAGATAGAGATATAGACTTTCAACTCCCTTCCACATATCCATGGTATTTGAGATAGTTAAGGTAAGGTTTGCGTTTACAGGGAGATAACTCTTGCGAATCACCAAAGCGTTTGAAACAGGCGAATTTAAACCAGCGATGCTAAGCATCTCGGTAACGAATTTCCTCTGTCATACTTGATGTTTGTTGTCACTTATTGTTAGGACTAAAAACAAAGGACGTTTTCGGGAGAAAGTCTTATAAAAAATCAAAGCATAGGAATCTTAGAAGCCTTTGAGATTAGCGTGATGCATGTGGATGGACCAATAAAGGAGGACTTGTTTATTTTCGATACGGAACGTGGCAAGTTGCACGGCCGTTCCGATCAGAAGAAAGTCATTGGCGCATTGTGCTGTTGTGTGTTTATCGCTTCACCACTACACTAAAATTTTAAGTGAGAATTGGAAAGAAAAAAGAAAAGACCTGAGAGTATCCTGTAAAGTATTATGCTATATGCAGTCCGAACAGGGAAGAAAACACGGTGCATTTGACCATGTCCAATGATGATGTCGACAGTTTGATTGTTGACAGTATTTTCATCAGGTAATTATTTAACTATTCATTTTACTGAAAGTTATGAATTATCTACTGACTACGGATTTTAAAACGATGAATAAACGGTACAAGAGGATGTCAGGATGTAACTAATATCCCAACATTGCCAAAAAATAAAAATGCATTCATTTAAGAAATTATGAAAAATAAAATCCTTGCTTTTTACGCCTAATATTTGTAACATTATTGGAACAGGTATTCAATTGTTACCTTTTTAAATGAGGTTTGATTTTAATTAATATCTCATTTTCTAATTAATAAAAAAAGAGATACAGATTGTGCATGACAAAAACATTAATTTTCTTGATCAAGCATTTGCATTTCACTAATTCAATCTGTAAATTTTACAATAATTTCACATTGATTCTTTATTGATTAATATATTGTAAATTTATTCATTTCATTAAGTGAATGAAATTCCTTATGCAATTCCAAAAATGCAATTCCTTAAATGTTATTGTAAAAATGAACACATATGATTTCAGATCATGGGTCATTAATTGGAATAGATAAGAACAAAAAAAAACTTCAGTGTTTCCTTAAAAGATTTGTGCCATCAATCAAAGTAGAGGTCATCCCATATCAGCTCAAGAATATTAAAGAAAGTTGGATGGATCAAGCTAAGATGTTGAACCAGACATGGCAAAATCAATGGAGATTTGGAGAAGAACTTCTGACTTGTTATACCCAATGCATATTTTTATATGTCTATAGATTACAGAAGAAAAGTTAATGTTTAACAACATCCTATCTAGTATATACATGCTGTTTTCCATATATTTAGAAAATATGTGTATGTGATGATTGCAGTGCATGCTCTGTTTGTCCATCTTTGAATTTGTTTTCAATAAAATAAATGTATACATCATAGGTATTATTGAAGGTTGCTTTTGTCTATACTTACATGTAACAAGTTTTTTAAAAGGGTTTGTAAAATTGCAAGGACATTAATACATGAACAATTAAGATAAATATTTTTATTCATTAAATTTTGTTCTTACCAGGACCTAATATGCTCAAATAAGTATTTCTGAAAACTGATGAGTTGTGTACATAAAGCTGCAGTGAACATGTATAATTATATCTACTGTAACAGTTTAAAACATGACACTTGGAAATTGTAAGGTTGTTAATTTGGTAGGAGTGATAAGACTAGTTTAGTAATGTACTAAAATTAAAATCTTTCACAAGTACATGTAGTTTATTTTAAAATTGTTTACATTTATGATCTTTTAATTTTCTTCTTTATTTTGATTTTAAAAAGGAGAAAATTTTGTTATATTTAAATTATTATTTCATGGATATCAAGGAGATACAGTGCAGTATATTATCACTGTAGCATTGTTTCTTTTTTCCTGTTCTTGACAAATATTTATGACAGTGTTATGTCATTTTGCAGATTTGCCTTTTCTCTGAAATCAGAAGTACTCTGTAAACTCATAAAGTATGAATTGATGTCACTTAGAATTCATCTTTATTTTGTTCTGTCTGATATTTCAATTTAGTCAGGACATTAATCCAATGATTGAGCTAATGTCCATGAAATGTAGAAATAGGCCATCTTTAAAAAATGTTTGGTTGTCGGCCTCTCCAGACCGACTGACTAAAATGACCAGACTGAAAACTTTTTTTCAATGCAGGGCCATATTTTTTTTCTTTTTAGTTTTCTTATCCCCCTTAAAAAAATGTTGTTGAAGATTTTCTCACCTACCGACCCAATAATTTTACCCTGAGTCAAGAGAGGGCAAACAAACATTACTTTAAAGGTAGCATTTTACTCTTCGAAGTAAAGAAATCATTTATTTATAAAAACAGCAGCTTCGTGGATGCAATTTACAACATTTCACTCAAAAAATGGCATAAATGTATAATGACAGTCACCAGCCATAACTGAATAAAGATATTTTGCTACAAAGATGTCTAGAAGTTACTACATGTTGGAATAACTAAATCAGCATGAGGTCAAATTCATAGGCTTTTAATTGGTTTAGTTGCAACATGTTCTGAAGTATGTTTATATACATATACATGTACTTCTAAAGGTGTTGCAGTATAATTCATGGACAATTTCATCAGAATATTCAGATGTAAAGATTGCCATAAATACTAGAATTCTTCCATGGAATAAATTTTTAGACCATCATGTGGCACAGGAGGAGTTTTATTTTGAACATATTTGGCCAATTTATGCCTAAAAACAATATAAAAAATAACATTCAGTCTTTAACATTCACCATGACAAGGTGATATCTTGTCTTTAAAAGTGTAGAAAAAGCCTCATTTTTATGTTCCGAACCCATAATATAGCCCGTTTCCATGGAAATTATATTGGGGACATACATATTTTTTTAGTTCAAATTAATGAAAATGATCAAATTAATAACTTCATGGATTTTGATGGAATCGGTAGATATGTAAAACGTTGATTTTTATATTTTGTTGCCATGGCAACGGTTTCACTTTATAAAGGAAAATTGAAAAATCTTCTTTTTTACCCAAATTTTCACATTTTTGATAAAGGAAAATTAAAAGTTTAAATAATAGAAGCATGAATTATACTAATTCAGGTCATTTTACTTATAAAAGTTTGATAATTTATAAAATAATTCAATTTTTTCAATGAAAATAATATTCGAGGTGAAATATGAAATACGTTAAATTTGGCGTCTTTTACTAAAAAATTGGGACGGGCAATATCTTTGAAAATCATATTAAATGATGAAGCTAATCTCCCTGAATAAATTGATATATAGCATGTGTGCATATTAAAAAAAATATGAGTTGGAGGGAGACGCAAACCTTACCTTAAGTGTGAGATACTGAAGTTTATCTGTGCTGAAATTCAATTCTAATACAATGTAAGTTCAAAGAAACTTGCATAGAAAGATGAATTGATTTGGGAGGGATGTTAACATATGGTCATGAAAAAGACTTCTTATAATATAATACATAAAACAAAAGGGTTCTAATGTAAAAATAAAATATACTTGTATGTTTTATTTGCATTGCAAAGCAATGCCTATAGAATCTTGCATCTATCTTTAGGCCTAATGATATTGCTATCTATTATCTATTTTGTTCCTAGGACCTAACTCTATTGCCAAGACAACAGTAGAGAGAGCTGGGGAGAAATTCATTGTGAACTATACACCAGTAGAGGTGGGCATCTTCAACATCGGTATTCTGTGGAACGGAACTCCTATTCCAGGTAAAATAAAAAAAATCACTGTTGGCTTTACTTGTATACATGACTGTACACTATTTATTTTGAGGGGTAAGTTTTTGCTTCGAAAAAAAAAAATATCGTTTTATAGGTGTAAAGTATGGATCCATTTCATTTAAGATAAAGTGTTCTAATTTGTACTTTTCATACAATAATCCTTTTTTATGAGGAGTTAAAATAGAAAAAGATAAATTGTCAATTTACAAGATTTTATGCGATTGTTTCCCAATTTTCAACAGTCTCGAGCACTTTAGGGAAAAATTATGTTGAGCCACCTATTCATTTACACACCCCATAAAAGTACATTTTTCATCTGAAAGGTCGATTACTTGATCAACATTTTTGACAGATAGTTTCCCTGACAACTTCAGAATGTGAAAATATAAGATATGATATCCGATTACACAATCTATGAACTTATAAGATAGGATTAAATCATTGAAATTTTTTTCACAAGCTCAAATCTTAAAGTGGAAAGTTTGATAACTTTCAAAGCTTTACAAATGGATGATACTATTTCAGGAAGTCCATTCCACCCTAAGGTGTTTGATCCCCGTAAGGTGCGGATCTCTGGTGGGTGGGCCCAGTATATGGATGGTAACGAGCGCGTTGGTCTGGTGGTGGGGGAGGAGAAGAGACTGGTATTTGACATCTCTCAGGCCGGCCCAGGTAAGTAAAAAAAATCATGTCCAGGGGACTGTGTCATTTGTTTTAAAGGGAAGATTTATGTGCAATTCAAATTTTTTACAATAAATTTTTGTTTACTGTAGAAGTACTTTTTTCCGCGTGGTATTTTCCGCGGAAATTTGTCCAAGCATACTTAATATAAATGTAAGGCATTTAGTGACAGTCTAAGAAATCCACATAATTTTCTACCCGCAGATTAAACAGAAATTGAAATTCTGCGGAATTATGACCCCGTTGAAAAAAGTATGTCTACAGTACCTTAATATTAAATTATTTAGGAAAAATTTTACATGCAGTTGGATAGCATGTTATTTTTTTTAAGAAAAGATATTTTGTGGGAATTTTTTTTTTGCTGTGATATATTGCAGGTCATCATTAAGAATTCAAAGATACATTTACATGTAATTAATTTACTGTTTTGCTCATTAATGTATACAGCGTATATGAGTCAGAATATTAAATTACTAAAGGTCTACATGACTTTGATTTCAGGATCTCTAAGGGCTGAGGTAGTTGGACCTGGCTCTACAGTCCCCGCTACTGTCACAGACAGCTATGGTCAGACATTAGTGGCATTTGTTCCCAGGGAGGAAGGTAAAAAGACCCCCACCACACCCAACCCCCCAATTTTTTTCTGAGTATAAGATTGATGAAATTAGAAGAATTATGGTATACAATGTTTGCATTTTGACCTCACTTTAGTGTTTTGTTAAAAACTGCCACCATCAATGATCTGATGAAATTTTTAGGCAGTTTTATTTCCACTCTTCATGACAGGAGTATAAAGTAACTATATTTTTTTCAAGACAAATATTTTTAAATAGTCCCTTAGCCATTTTCCTATTTCATACTTGCGTGCCATGTCTTTACATGTACATATACTTACACAGGCAAAGAAATAACCCTGTTTTGAAATTTCTAGGAAACCATTACATTCATCTCTACTGGTCGGATGTGGCCCTCCCGAATTCTCCGTTCCTCGGCTACGCCGTCCCAGCATTCTCTGATGCCAACAAGGTCATCCTGACTGGGCGGGGCTTGAAGGAGGCTACCGTCCGCGAGGAGGCGGAGTTTGTGATTGACGGATCTCAGGCTGGACCAGGTAAAGGATTTTTATTGGGATATTTATTATTTGAAGCCGTAGAGATTTTTTTCCAAATTCAGTACTCGATAGTTCATTATACCTGTACCTGGTACTAGTATGTCATTTATTAACTGAAAAAGCATGTCATATTTATAAATGAAACCCTTATAAAGACTTTCAATCTATGGTGATTTTTTTTCATAGAATTAATATTTTAAGTTTTTTTTTAATTAGGGTCAGAGTGCATGATATGTTATTCAAATTTCTATACAATGGTTTATGGATTGGTTAAGGATTTACTATTTTATTGTATTATTAATACTTATAACTTGCATATATGGTATATTTTAACTAGGGTATTCAGTATGTAGAAATGCCTGTGAATGCTCCACATAAAATGCAGACACTGCATGAGGAAAAATATATTAAAATTTGGTTCAGTCTATAGCATTTCTGGTAGCATTTTGCATGTGAGTAGTTAATATCAACAACCAAGCAGTAAGTAAAAACACTCTCATGGGGAATTTGTTTGGTTTATTTTTTTTTTATTTGTAGAAGGTGGCTAATTTTCCAATGCTTTTTGTTGTGTATTCTCTGCTAAAAATACAAATGTGAATAAAATTTTTATCAAAATGCATCTCCATAGATACAATTTTGTTGTTATAATATAAATGTATAGGTAGAAATAACTGTAAGAAAAAAGAACTAAATCAAAGATACAACTATTAGTAGATTTTTTTGATGTTGAAAATGCACACTCCCTTTATGTTGTGCATTCTGTACAGAAATATCAACAACCAAACAGTAAGTAAAAACACTCTCATGGGGAATTTGTTTGGTTTAATTTTTTTTTATTTGTAGAAGGTGGTCTTTATTGCCGTGGTTAATAAAAATAGAAATTTCTGTTTCCCATTGCTTTTTGTTGTGTATTCTCTGCAAACCTCTACAAATGCAGTCAAGGGAATAAAATTTTTATCATCAATCATCTTTATAGATTATTTTGTTGTTGTCCATTTAATAGTATTTTTAGGTAGAAATAAAAAAAAAATGTGTAGTATTTAATAAGAAAAGCATATGATCTGGTTCATCTGTTTGATTTTTTTTAGAACTAAATCAAAGATACAACTATTAGTAGATTTTTTTGATGTTGTACAATGCACACTTTGGTTTAACTATAGAGTAAATAAAAAGTTGCACTCACTTGTGAAATTTGTTCTCTCCGTTTTTAAGTAGATTTGTTTTACAGAATAGTGAATAACCAAGTTTTAGCATGATGAAAAACCAATTCTGAGAGTCATTGATAGTTAAATGTTTAAAATTTCTTCATAACCATGCATCTATAAATTTTTATCAGATAAGGTTCAAGATCATAAATAAATACTGCATGGGTATTTTTTTTTTTTGTCTTTGAAAGGAAAGGATCCCAATTGTTTCAAGAAATGGGACAGTCCTCCCTATTTAATATTTTTAAAAAATTAAGGTGCAATATGTAGAAGATTCAAACTTATTTAATCCAAATTAGCCTAGGATTTGGAGTTAGCATTGCAGCTTCAGTGAGAGTTGGAAAGAGGACCTTTCTCATTCAACATGAATTTTTATTTAAATTAATTTTATTCTAAAACCCTATTAAGTGGTTTAAATGAATTTGCTTTAATTTAAATTTTGACCTGATCCAGCTTATAAAACTACACATGTACATATGAACACATGTGTATGCCTTAATTTTGTAAATAGAAAAAAAAAAGATTTTTGAGATTTTTGCTAGTTTTAGTCAGCTTTTAAACACATATGTGCACAATAAACCTAATGCTTTGCTAACCCCCTACCCCACCCCCTATGAGTTAACACATCTACAAAAAAAATTGAAAAAGAATCTGAGCTGTAAAAACAAAAATTAAAATCATATTCATCATACATGTATAATCTATAAATTAAGTTGGTTGGTTGACCCAGAAGAAAGGGAATGTACAAGTACTAGATGCTTCATTTCAAGTAAAAAAATATAATTATATTAAATGCAGTGTTCATGCTTTCTTTCCTTCTAAATCAGGTGCCCCAGAAGTGACCTTGACTGGAGTAAGAGCAGAGATCAATGTCAAGGTCGTCAATTTAGGCGGTGGCAAACACAGGTGTACCTATGTCCCAGTGGTGCCAGGGGCATATCTCCTCAACATCACATGGAATGGCCGACAGCTCAGGGGGTCACCGTACAAAGTCAATGTCATGGGAACGTTCTACCCCAATAAGGTCAACGTGTCAGGTGAAGGTCTCCGAGGAGGAATTCTGGGTAGAAGTATGGACGTGGCAATAGACACGAGGAAAGCTGGCCCAGGTACCTTAATGTTTATTTCTGAGTCTCAAAATTTACAGTATTAATTTGATAAATTTCAATGACTCCAAAAACCTTTATTTTGGTAGAGGACTAAGCAAATAAGCACCACATCAAGATTTGTCTGGTTGACAGCTGTATGGTTGTGTTTTTTGTCTGTTTGATGACTAAAAGATTGTGTCTTTGTTTGTGTAGGCGAGTTAACAGCATACTGCATGGGTCCTTCTAAAGCTTCATACTGTGAGCTACAAGACAACCATGATGGAACATTTATACTAAAAATCAAACCACAGGAACCAGGCAAACATGTCCTACAGGTCAAATATGGAGGAGAACATGTCAATGGTAAGTGTCAAACTCAGTGTTAAAATTTTAATTATGTCCCTTTTCTTGTTCTCTAAAGGAATGGTAAACTTAAAATTGCGTTTTATAATTAAAAAACAAATTCTTTGTAGGAAGCCCATTTGTGTTGAAAGTTAATGCACAACCTGATGCTAGCAAAGTCAGAGTTACGGGCCCTGGTGTGGAACATGGTATCCTAGCAACATACCAGAGTCGATTTATCGTGGAGACAAGAGGAGCCGGAGCAGGACAATTAACTGTCAGGATAAGAGGTCCCAAAGGTAAATACAAGGAAACATTTACCCGGATTCTATTACAGAAGTTGTGTCATATGTTTATTTAACAAGTTTCAATTGACCAAAGAGGATAGGTAAAATAAGGAAATGATTGAATATTCCAAAGATTTCAGGAAACTTTTATCTAGTATCATTGCAAAATTTTCCTGTCTGTATAAATGAAGGAAAATTTTTGAATATACAAAATAGAAGTATGGGTTTATCTTTTGTATAAAAGAACAATGTTCTCAAGAATTGCAGATTTTTTTTAGGCCCTGAATAAAATATTTGTTATATTAAACACAACAGTTATTTCAAGGAGAATCAGTGTCCTGGTGTTATAAAATAACATCTTTTTAGTATACAATCCCAGGGGAAAAAAAAACAAGGCTGTAATTTTGTTGAGGAATCTAATCCAAAAATTAAATAAAATTCAATCGTGCATTTAACAGAATCTAATCTAGTATATTAATCCAGTATATTAAAACTTCTCTCCTGTTTTTTTTTCCTGTAACAGGTGGATTCCAGGTGGAGATGTACCGTGACAGTCAGCGTGATCGTACGATCCTGTGTCGGTACGATCCCACCGAGACCGGACTCTACATCATCAGTGTCCGTTGGTCCGGAGTCGACGTCCCCGGGTCTCCGTTCCAAATCCACATAGTGGACACGCAGCAGGAATTAGAGCAAATCCTTCACGACCAATCCTTCTCTCATAGCTCCGTAACTCCACGATCTTACGCTCAGTGGAGGGAAGAGATCTAAACAGGTGTGGATCTAAAGAGGTGTGGACAATATTAATATGGACAGTAGAGACCAGATCATACCACTACAGCATAATATTGTGAGATTATACAGAAAGTTGTATTAGGTTTATACTTGATCTGAATTTTAAATATTGAATTTTTGATATACAGTTAAAAAGTATATGTGATATATATTTAATATATATACATAGAGATATAAGTGGACTGTTTCTACATGATAAAAAGTCTTCATTGTACGTACGCAATTTTCACATTCCAGATTCATAATATTGTTTAAAAATCAAAAAAACTAGTGCTACACATATGATATTACTCATTGATTTTTAGGAATTTTCATTTTTTATTCCCCATGCAAGTGTTAAATGTATTTATATACCCCCTCACCTGGGCTCAGGTATGTGTCTAGGATGGGTCTAAGATATTACCATAGATAATCTCTAAACTGTGTCACTGTAATCTACTTCCTTGTTCAGATGCTAAATATCCATACATATCAGATGAGTAATGCAACCTTTATGATATTCTTATGTCCTGTAAACATATCAAAGTGCATTTACTTGTCCTCTATATATTCATATTATGTTTTCTAAAATGAAATATATATTCTATATACATAAGCATATTGCTATTTACCAAATTTTTTTCTTGTTATAGCATTACTTTTTTCATATTCAATAAAGAAATGAGATTTTATTTCCTTATTTTTTATTTATATTTGCAAAGGACTTAAAACTGCCGATTTTGAAAGTGGGGGGGGGGGCCAGCCAGATAAAAATTTTTTTTTACTTACCTGAAAAATTTGACAAGCAAGGAAAAAAAAGGAAAATTTCAAAGAATATAGCCATTTTTTCAGTACTATATTTCCTTCATATTATGGAAATTGTAGAGTTCAGCCTGTGTTTTACAGTATTCAGATGTATAATTTTACTAAATTATGCAAATTTATACAAAGAGGGTATTATTCAGGGTATCCTCCTTTTCAGCTATCTTTCAGTAAGATATGACACAGTAGGTGCTTGAAGATCAAGTGCATGGAAGAATCACTTCCCCCTCAAACACTTCTGAAAAATAGATTTTCACCGTGTCCAAAGTTTCCTACTCTTTTAGTGGTTAGAGCATCTGCTCTAGAGTCGCGAAGTGAGGAGTTGATCCTTACATTGTGGGTTCAAATCCCACTGTGGGACGTGGAGACCGGTCCTGCAGATGAGACTATATAAACTGAGGTCCCCTGTTGCAGTTGGTGCTGGCACGAAAAAGATCCCTCCCTGCTCAATTGTTGCAGGTGACAAGTATAGGTCAGAATTTGTTGCCCTTCACTGGCAAATCGTGGCGTCTCCATACGAGTGAAAAATTCTTGAGAGGGACGTTAAATAAAAAACAATCTAGTAAAGTCAGAGTTAGATAATAGGTATTTTTCAGATAGTGTAATATAAGAGAAATCATTTTCAAAAGATTTTATTGTAACAGCATATATACATATATTTACAGCAATTCAAAATCATTGCTGTGGTCGGAATATCTTTGCTGAATACATTGTAAAAAGTATTATAATTTCAAGTTTGATTGTGCTGACAAATAATGCATTTACAAAAAGGAAATGTTTTTTTTACATATTAATATACATGGCAGACATTGGCAGTACATGTATTAAACATATTTCTGTAGAAACAGAGCAAATATTAAATGAATGCATGAAAGCAATAAATAAATAAATTATTATAAATGTAGTTTTTACATGAATGAAGTGCATTTTGATTGGGTCTTTAGAGTATAAAATGTGAAAAATACTGCACTTGGGTAAAATAAAACTAAAAATTGTATAAAAATATGTAAGCCAATTTCATAACACTGTAAAATGAGTCACAATGGTATGATCTATAAAGATATGTCAATGATTTTAAGTTCATCTTCAATGAAAAAAAGAAAAGAAAATTGATTTGTTTATTTCAAAAGAATCTGTGTTTTCTGTATTGCAGTTTTGCTTTGATCTCAGCAAAAAGTTATACCATAAAATAGGAGTATCTGGTTAATACCTGTATATTATCCTAAAAAAACCCTTTATAATACTTAGAAGTCTGTACATTGTGTATTTTATAGAAAGATGAAAACAATTTTAAAAGGGGGGGGGCTGTGAGTGCTTGGGCAAAAGTTCTGAAAAATGAGGGTAGATTGCATTGCAAATACATGTACAAGCTATTAAGTACAATATTATTATTAGGTTGCAAATATGACAATAATTTAAGAGAAACTGGGCTAATAACATGAAAGGCCAACTGAAGAAACTAGGTCATAATGAAAGGTTAACATGTTGTTCATAATGATGGATGGGCCAACTAAAGAAACAAAGTTATAGTGAGACCAACTGAAGAAACTATTATAGGTTATAATGAATGGCAGTATAGAAGAAACTAGTTCATAATGAAGGGTCAAGTAAAGAAAGTAGATCATGGAGGGGCCAACTGAAGAAACTTGGTCTCAATGATAGGCAAACTGTTTCTTTTTTAATATATATATTTAACCACATAGTTGTTTCTAAATTTTTTTGGTCAGGGGTTTTTCCCATTAATAATGACACAGTCCCTTAGTTATTCTGGCATTTGCCCTCAACATGCATTCTTTTAGGGGAGGACCCCTCCTTCTTTTTAAATGTCCCCTGTTAGTGCTATTTCAATTCTTAGGGACAATCCTGAGCCATGAAAGTTTCTGCCCCTTTTATTGCACTGGATTTAGATTTTGTGAGGGACAGACTCCATCTTGTTTCTTAATCTCATGTTAACATCAAATATTAACTCACAACTTATTAATACCAAAAACACTTGATTGCTGGTCATTATAAATAATCTTTGCATTGCTGACTGCAACATGAAGTTCATCACTAGCCTTTAAGGGCACAAAAATTGGCCCCACTTGACTTCTGGTGTAACTGTGTTGCCGCAACATAAACTTGTTCATGTGTACAAGGTCTTTGCCATTTTTGTATATAGCATGCATGGCTGGCTTTGTCTTGTCTAGAGTAGTTTCCCCTGTGTAAGAGTCAAACTGTATGTAACTGTAGACTACGTATATTCCAGCACTAGGGACAATGAGTTTGCCATAGTTTATCATGTCTTCATATTTTATTCCACCTTTTATGTAGGACGAACCATTCAATTGTGACCAGTGCAATCCTGCAAATTAAAAAAAAATATATCCATAAAAGTTTGATGTCTGGTTTTACCCTAACAAGCATATGCATTTCAGTAAAAAATTACTTATGTACTTGCAAATGTCTGAGTCTTTAGCAATCATAAAAAATATATTGATGCAAAAAACTAGAGTTACCCCCCCCCCCCCCCCAAATTCAACACACTAACAAACACACATGCTAAAAAAAAATGGATGCATAACTTTAAAAAAAATTCCACCTGACGCACCTTTGCTACATTTTTCTGTTTTGATGTACAGGAGTGCCCCGACAGAACTGTTATCACCTGCTGTAATTCCAAATTAAAAATTAAATAAGTTATTAAATTCAACACCTATACATGTTTTATAGAGGAAGTGTTTGAATTTGAGTTTTATTTACTATAGGAACGACCTTCAGGTATGTTCCTGCACAGTGTATGTGATTTCATTTCAAAATAAAATTTTAAAAAGCTGAATTTATATCATTTAGTCTGAAAATATTTTTATTGGTTTTCATTCCCTGGCATAGATAATAGATATGGCCAGGGTATGGTGTGGTTGTTATGTCTGCCCTCCCTTAATCTTTCTCAGTCCCTTGCTCTTTCACACTTTGTGAGCTCCGTTTCAAAGAAACTCTTCAAGATATTTTTGTCTACTGATATACTGAGGAAAGGTTATTGAACTGTTTAAATATTTTTGAACTTGACCTTTCTTTTTGGCCTCAATTTCAATTTTCTAAATTAGCATTATCTCAATTTCAATGAAATTCAAGATATTTTTATTAAACTTCAAATACATATGAATTGATGAGAGCTGTTTGACTGCGTCATCATTTTTTTTTCTTTACTTTAGTAAGTGCTTTGGTTTGGGTATACACTCGAATTAACTTTTACACAATCGGTTCATTTAAAATTCGACACAAGTATCAAGTTACTGCCCCTCTGCAATTTTGTAATCACCTGGAGCGCTTAATATAGGGAGAATACGGTACTGACCTCTAACCTCAAAATCAAAAATGCATGCATTTCTGCACAGCTAGTATGAGGCTAAAGTGTTAAACGATATTGATAAAATTTGAGTATAAAACAATGCTTTTAACCTTAACATTTGACATTAGATTTTTCATGTTCTTTGATGATTGTAGAAATATTATTTACTTGAATGTTATATATTTTTCCTATAAGTATATACATGTATACTACACCCTTTTATTGGAAAATTACCTTTGGCCCGGCACTCCTCCAATAGTTGACCTGTGTTTGGTACCTGAGGTATAGAAAATTAGATTGAATTCAGAATAATGCTTCAATAAACTTTACTGAAATCGGAAAAAGCCGAAGGCACGACAATAATTGACGTATTCATTTATAGATCGACTTTAATGATTATAAATTTAAATTAAAATAGATTAAATAAATTACTCTAAGTTTAAGATTGTACGTCCTTTTAATAAATTGATTGCGACTTTTTTTTTCATAGTTTGTGAAGAATGTCAGGCATCTCAAGTATTGAAGTTTAAACGAGCTAATCGCAAATAAATTGTATAATGCGTGAAAAAAAAGACAGAAGGGAAATTAAACAGAAATTAAAATTTTCCATATCAAAAACGTCTACAGTTACTATGCACAGTCGCCTAATAAATAAAGAAAACAAACCTCTAACTTAAGGTCCTTTTTGATCATTTTACAACACATGTATGAGGAATTGCCCGTGTTCATGTGCAAGACGTCTGCATTCTCGGCCTTCATCATTGGTGAACATGGTGAACACGAATAAAACACATCGTCAAGGGCTGATGTCGCCGGGGGCACGTGTCCCTGGGGGTCACCCCTCGTGTCACAGCTGTCCCTAACCATCTGAAGAATCACCCAACAGAAAATTAATCCCAACAGGAACACATTGGCCAAGAAAGAAAATATCAAAATCTTGGACTTTCGTCTTTGGTTTGACTTTGGAGAGTCCGTGGAATCATTACAATTCGGTGAAGAACGCATTACACCATTAGAATTCACTGAAGTTTTCTGTAAAGAGGGCGAAGGATTATCAGAATTCAGTGGAGTTTTCGCACAGTCGTCCATCTCCATCCTGACCAGTTCGGTTTTAGTCGGACACTACTGAATATCCACAGGTGTCCCACACTCCCACACACATACACTTCTTGATCAATCGGGGAAACCGTTAATTCTTTCCTCCCCTACGCACCGACATTTTAACGACTTTATGCTTCCGACAATTCACAAACCCAGGACAATTTTATCGGGAAGGTTTTTTTCGTTCGTTCAAACGAGAATAAGGGGGTGCTTTAATTCTTCCTCATATTTACCTGGGCAAACAGCGATGAATTAAACTTTCCCACGGAGGAAACAATACTGAATGCAATGGCCTTTTGTTATCTTCCTCTCGACAGATTACAGGCATGAATACTTCCTATCATAATAGATAAACAGTTACATAACGTAAAGAGAAGATGTATATTTTTTATTTACCGATTAATGTAGTGTTTGTATCTAAAATATTTCGGTTCGCGCATAATTGTTACCAAAAGCCATGTGTTTGGTATCAATTTGGTAAATGATACTGACAGCTCTCGGCCAGCAGTTCCTGGATGTTCGAGTGTGTATACAACATAGGATAACAACACAAGAAAATCACAGACAAAAAAAAAGATATCTAGTAAATGACTTTGCTTTATTTCACTCAAAATAATCTATGAAAATGACACCACCCACCACCACCACCACCATGGTCACAATTTTTCAATCTGGTAAATTCCCGTTCCGATTGGGGAATAACTCGTTTCATACATTTCCTCGCCGTCCATAAACCAAAAGAATGAAATAGGGGGGGGAAATAACGGAGATAACGAACACTGTTCGATCTCATAAAACTACAAACAATACACATCATAAACTACAAACAATACACATCAAAAACTACAAACAATACACACCATAAACTACAAACAATACACACCAAAAACTACAAACAATACACACCAAAAACTACAAACAATACACATCAAAAACTACAAACAATACACATCATAAACTACAAACAATACACATCAAAAACTACAAACAATTCACACCATAAACTACAAACAATACACACCATAAACTACAAACAATACACACCATAAACTACAAACAATACACACCATAAACTACAAACAATACACACCATAAACTACAAACAATACACACCATAAACTACAAACAATACACATCAAAAACTACAAACAATACACATCATAAACTACAAACAATACACATCATAAACTACAAACAATACACACCATAAACAACAAACAATACACACCATAAACTACAAACAATACACACCATAAACTACAAACAATACACACCATAAACTACAAACAATACACATTAAAAACTACAAACAATACACACCATAAACTACAAACAATACACACCATAAACTACAAACAATACACACCATAAACTACAAACAATACACATCAAAAACTACAAACAATACATACCATAAACAACAAACAATACACATTAAAAACTACAAACAATACACACCATAAACTACAAACAATACACACCATAAACTACAAACAATACACACCATAAACTACAAACAATACACACCATAAACTACAAACAATACACACCATAAACAACAAACAATACACACCAAAAACTACAAACAATACACACCATAAACTACAAACAATACACACCATAAACTACAAACAATACACATCAAAAACTACAAACAATACACATCATAAACTACAAACAATACACACCATAAACTACAAACAATACACACCATAAACTACAAACAATACACACCATAAACTACAAACAATACACACCATAAACTACAAACAATACACACCATAAACTACAAACAATACAAATCATAAATACGGACCCCTGAAATTTCCCGAGGTGGTTACTAATTAGGTACCTAGAGGAATCGAGTAAGCAACTCCATTGACCAGTCACGCTGGCCGTAAGCCTTACGTATCAAATAGATTCCGTAGTCAAATTTAGTAAAAAAAAAAAAAACTAATGTCTAACAATTGGTGTGGAACAAGTCAGCCAAAATACGACTCATATAGGTCAATATTTGCTAATAAGAAAATTATAGCGACCATAGAATTTACGCAATGCTGACGAGATCGTTGAAGTCCCTGTAACATCAACTTATATGTGAGTAGCCTGCCTCGGTTTGAAATTTGATTGTATCCAGAGCATACGCTTGCAATTGAGTAGCGAATGAGTTCAAATACATAAACACCATGCATATACAGGTGATAGACAAGTGTTACTACGTCTGAATACATAAAAATAAGGAAAGTTGACGATGGAGAAGCCGAAGTCATCTCGTCTGTCATACATTTGAGTGCCTTTCTCGTCTTAAGTCTGTAAAACATTCAAATATGAACAAATCACAAAGATCAATTCAGATAAACGTTTGCCGCCGATTAGGTACAAGTCAAGATTTCCTTTTATATCTCTCGCGTGTGTTGTCGATAGATATAGTTTTTGTAACACAATTTGCATTATTTCCTTTTGTTAATTGAATGAATTGGTATATATGTTTAAAAAATTCTCACGCGAAGGATTGTTAAAGTGACACGAAAGGTAACCTGCTTACTGATTTAAGGTTCATTGACCCTTTGATAAGAGAAATAACTCCCACTAAGATGGCTTTAAATGGTTAGGTTAAAAATTTCATTTTGAAAAAAAAGACCCACGGGATATGCTAAAATAGCATGCATTTTTATCATAATTGAGATTTTTGATTTTTTTTAAAAGGAAAGTTTTACTTGAGTAAACAAAGGGATGGCGACCCTTACGTTATTACATCCTGGTTTAACAAAGAGAAAGTCTGTTTGAAAACGGTGTTTATTTCTTCCAACTCATTCGCTTCTTTGGATTGAGTCCCACAGTACATGCTGCTGAAATATGAATGAAAAATGGGCAGCACAAAGCTTTGCGCATCCTTGTAAGCCCCCCCCCCCAATATTCAACACGTTGACGCTGGACATTTACTTCGCTTAGCATGTAATAAATGTACTAAATTAAAGGATGCACAACGCGGAGGAGCATTCCGTTTTTATATTTATCAAGACAGCATTCGACATTGATCCCGATGCAAATTACATTACTTCTGTTTCGAACAAAGAACTAGCACACACACCCTCACACTCACACAAGCGAAAACAGTTACTGTGATGAATGTGCATATTGAAAAATACCTCAGATTTACCATATAAATTAATAGTTAGATGCTATCGAAATCAGGATGAGCAAAAAGAAAGAATGGTTTCTGTCTGTAATTTTAGCACTTATTTTTGAAAATCTTTTTCATAAGTTTGTTTTAAGTTGATTCTCCATGTTGGATTTGACCGACAAACTTACATCATGCATTGAAATTTTTTAAACAAAAATAAAAAGAACTTGGTAAACTTTATAATCAGTTGCCCCTCTTATATGTTTCAACCGTCAATGTCAAAAAGAGATTTTATTTTTCCACAGCCTATTTAAAAGATGCTCTTTCTGAGAATTCAGATTTCTGAGAAAGGGTACAATGAAAATACAGTGTTTTGCAAATTTTACTACATAGTTACTGAGAATATCCAACAAGGAATTTAATATGAGAAAAAGACCACACGATCAAATTTCAACGTTAAATGCAAAAAAAGTTTCCAAATGATAAATTTTAGCTTTTCTTAACTTGAGTTTTGTTTTGTAATGAAAATTTATACTTTTTCAATGTAAGTTAGAAGGATTATTTTAATTGATTTTGGGGTCGCAATATCAAAGATCAAGGATAGAGATTCAGATTTTGCATACATACGTGTAGTTTTTTAAAATAACTTCTGTCATAAGCTTTAAAAAAAATGTTGCAATCAAACATAAGGTAATGAATTTCTTTACTTCGTCGTAGCATCGTTTTTGAAAAGAGCAGGAAGCCTCCCATGCCCTCCTTCCCCGATGCTACGTGCCTGCTTTACATGTAACTCAATAGCTAAAAGGTCATGGTCGACCTATTTTCATCTTACTCCTGATTCTTTTCAGGTATTCCAGCCTCTTCATTTCTCCATAAGGGGAAAGTAAATTAATTTAATAAGCTTGTACAAACTTGAAGTTGGATGTTGATAGTGATGTTCACAAAATATGAGAGGTATTGTCTGAAATTTCATTGTATCAGTATCTTCCGTTTTCTTCGTCGGGGAATAAGAGAAACACAAATAGAACGTGCCCCCCTCCTTCTGTGTCGTCGAGAGTGCGTTTTCGCGCGGGTAATTTTCTTGTCACAACTCCCCCTTAGTACCTGAAGCCCCCCCCCCCAAAATTAACACAAAAAAAAACAACACCTATAGGCAAGAGAGAGAGACGATGAAAATATTTTTGCGGAATTTATTTTAATTTTTTTTTAGCCTTCTTTACTAGACTCAATCTGATTGAAATCAGATCTTTGTTATACGCTCCGAAATTCTGAAAGTCACTGCACAAGATCTTTGGACACCGACTATAAGAATTTCGGAGCCTAACAAACATCTGACTTCCACCAGCGCTGAGATTTTCTCAGATCTGAGATTTTCTATAGGTTGGTGGCCCTGAAGCTCGATTTTAATCAGACTGCACTTGACTGTGCTTCGAGACATTTACCCATCACGTCATAGACAGTTTTTAAAATCTCTTGTCCTACTACTAGTATGCAGATCAAGCCCCTATATTAAGTATTCTTTGTTGGGAAAAAAATCGATGCATCCTTTTTTAAAGAAACTGAGTCCCAGAAGGTTTTCTGAACTAGATAAATTTTATATGGGACTTAAGGTTTAGAATATATATGCTGCATTTCCCTCTTATTGAAACAATCTTCCTTAACTTGTCAAATTATTTTATTAATAGAAAGCATTTTGAAACGTATTTTGAAAAAAAATATATCAACATTTAGAAAAGATTAAAGTAAACAATATACAATGTTACGGAAGCGTATTAGTGCCACTTGGACACTTCACTTTTTTTTAATTTCTACACTTTAATGTGTAAATTTTTTCACTGTAATGTGTAAATTTTACACTTTAAAGTGTAAATTTTACACTTTAAAGTGTAAATTTTACACTTTAATCTGTAAATTTTACACTTTAATCTGTAAAATTTACACTTTAAAGTGTAAATTTTACACTTTAATCTGTAAATTTTACACTTTAAAATGTAAATTTTACACTTTAATCTGTAAATTTTACACTTTAATTTGTAAAATTTACACTTTAATCTGTAAAATTTACACTTTAATCTGTATATTTTACACTTTAATCTGTAAATTTTACACTTTAATCTGTAAATTTTACATGTTAATCTTTAAATTGTACAGATTAAAGTGTAAATTTTACACTTTAATCTGTAATTTTACACATTAAAGTGTAAATTTTACACATTAATCTGTAAAATTTACACTTTCATCTGTAAATTTTACACCTTAATCTGTAAAATTTACACTTTATTTGTTTATTCACATATTCAATTTAGCATCTTCACACATCCTCAGTAACACATTTCTAAGCCAACAGACCGTGTTTCGTGCATGACAAAATTTAATTCTGATGTTTTATATTAAAGTAAAACTTTTCTTTGAATATAAAGTGAAGAGCATATCAAACATATATGCACATATTCCCGATCACAGGTGCTTGAGGACCCCTCCCTCCAATATAGATTCCAGGGCCTGTTAGACTTTTTTCACATAAATAATATATGGATGACACAATTGTGATATAATCTATAAATCCTATCAATTCAGAAAATTTGCTTAAACTAACATTTTATTGGCTTACAAATGTGTTACTGAGGATGTGTGAAGATGCTAAATTGACTATGTGAATAAACAATAAAGTGTAAATTTTTAAAATTTACAGATTAATGTGTAAAATTTACACTTTAAAGTGTAAATTTTACAGATTAATGTGTAAAATTTACAGATTAAAGTGTAAAATTTACAGATTAAAGTGTAAAATTTACAGATTAAAGTGTAAAATTCACACTTTAATCTGTAAAATTTAAAGATTAAAGTGTAAAATTTACACTTTAAAGTGTAAAATTTACAGATTAAAGTGTCGAAATTAAAAAAAAAGTAAAGTGTGCAAGTGGCACTAACACGCTGTACATGTATAACGCATGTTTCTACAGGTATGATATAGAAAAATAAAATGATGATGATATTTTATAATAATGAGACAAATTTTCTATACATACATATAGTATATCAAACAATCTAATTCAGGGGATCTGCTTCCCCTGCTTAAGGAGAAAAAAAAAACATGCGCGGATCTAGAGGGGGTGGGAGGGAGCCGTGGATACGACAGTTAGGAGGACTGCGGGGCCATAGGGAGTTACATTATACAATTTCATTACAAACGCTCAACAGGCTCTCGAGATACCCTCCGAAATGAAATTTTTACACACAAATAGAATGTATGAATTTTATTAACTTGAACTTTGACCTTTTGACCTCCAAACAAAAATAAGGTCTTTTTATATAGGCCATAGGGAACTGTGATAAAAAAAATTATTGCAAAAGCTTAAAGACTTCTCGACATATCGCGTGGAAACGAATGCATTAAACAGACTGAAATTATATATTTACGACCTTGACCTCGAAATCAATATGGGTCTTCCATATGCTACAAGGAGTTGATATGTAAAAGCTCAAAGACATCTCGAGATCTCGCGCGGAAACGAAAGTGTGACAGCTGCATGGATAGACAGACAGACGGACGGATGGACTTCATATATGGCCCTGACCCCCCCCCCCCTCTAGATTCGCACATGCTCTTCTTTTTTCCTTAAACGGGGACACGAATTCTCTGAAGTAACTAGCTCACGTGAAATCCTAGGAATATAATTCTATAAAAGAAACATGCGAGGGAAAATTAAAAAAAAAGTTTTAAAAAAATGTAAAATACACTGTACATGTGCAATTTTTATGCAGTGAAAACTGGGTAATTCAAAATTTTGCCACACTACGTATCTTATATTACTTTTATAAGCTTATGGTTAAGCTACGACAAAATTAGTTTGGACAAGTGAGACATTAATAATTTTGAAAGAAACTGGGTTAACAGAAAGAACCAACTTTAGGAAACTGGACATCATATGAAGTCTACTTTTTTATTTCACTGGGTTTCATCTTTTTGAGAGAAAGTCACTTCTTGTACTGGACTTTTATTTTAACAAGACGAGAACTCATAATTTATTAATACCAAAAACACTTGACTGTGGATCGTTATAGATTATCTTTAAATTGCTAACTGCAGCATGAATTTTATCGCCCGCCTTTAAGGGCACAAAAATTGGCCCTACTTGACTTGTGGTATAGCTATGTTTCCGCAGCATGAACTTGTTCATATGCACCAGTTCACCTCCATTTTTATACAGCGTAAGCATGGCTGGCTTTGTCCTGTCCAGGGTGCTCTCCCCTGTGTAAGAGTCAAACTGTATATAACTGTAGACTACGTAAATTCCATCACTCGGGACAATAAGTCGGCCATATTTGACCATGTCCTCATATATTATGCCACCCTTTATATAAGAGGATCCTGTTCCGTGGGACCAGTGCAATCCTAAACTATAAAATTTTTATGAAATTATTTCAGCTCTGGTTTATCCCCCTGACCCTACGATTAATTCGAGCAAGCTCATTCCAGTAAAAATGATAAACGTATCCGCTCATATCTATGACTTATCGCCTCACAAAATAAATTTACCCCTCTCCACACACGTATTTACACCCTTACTTATATAGTGAAACTTGAATAATCAAACCTGGCTCATCTTTGCTGCATTCATCTAGGTTGATATACAGAAGTGCCCCAATAGAAGTGTTATCACCAGCTGAAATTCCAATTGAAAAATTAAACTATTATAAAAACAGTTTTTGGTTATTACTGTCAAAAAAAAAAAACACAGCTGGTTTCTGCGTTTGACTCTTTTTCTTACCACATAGATTACAGAACGGGATAGCCATAATTGTGATTAACCTTGACCTTTTCACCCTGAAAATCAAGGTTCTCTGCCCTCTTAACCTTGAAACCACGGAAGCACGTATGACAAAGAAAAGCCTCATAAGCTGATATGCACACATGTAACTTGTTTTCATAGCAAAAAAAAAAAAAAAATCATTGATAGTTACTTTTAACCTTGACCTTTGGACTATAAAATCGTTAATTTCCTTCACTACCTAGCAACTGAGTGTCACTGAAGCAGAAATTGACCCAAAGACACACATTGTTTAATCCTATCTGACACTGACCTTGAACCCCCCGACCTCAAAATCAAAGGCCACTTATGTTTCTGAACTTAATAAATTTCTCCCAAAAGTATTAAATGTACACTATTTATTTAGAAATTACCTTTGGTGCGGCACTCCTCCAAAAGTTGACCTGTATTTGCTACCTGAGGGGAAAAATAAATTTATGCTGAATTCCATAAACTTCATTGAAATTAGAAAGCTCCGAGGATACAATAATAATTAAAGATTGACTTTAATGATTATTTTTTAAAAATTGATAAAGAATTTCGTAAATTACATCGTTTTACACTGCATGTTTTTTTCTATATTGAAAGTTTGGGTGATAAAGTTTTAAAAGGATTTTTATAAGTGTTAAATTCATTTGAAAGAATTTTATACATCGCATATTTTCTCAGAATTGAGCAATAAACAATTTTATAGCAGATCCGTGTTAGAAAATATAATGCCGTCTTTCCATTAGTTTCCAAGTTAAGAGTTTCTGCTGAAAAATGTTGAAAATGACATTGATCGTTCTCATAAAAATGTTAACATTACAAATCTGTGAATATGGCTTAAACATTGACCCCCCCCCACTTTTTTTGCAGCAAAGATATACATAATATAGGCATTGAAAATTGGGATTTACCCTTTCTTGTTGGTTTAGTCCCCCCTTTCAATTTGCTTTCGACGCCTATGAGTTGACTGTTAAAAATCTGTGAATATGGCTGAAACATGGACCTTAGGAAACTCAAGAGGAGGGTTCATATGCACAGGATGAGTAAGCACCCCCTGTTGACCACCACACCGCTGTGTGTATGTATTGATCCGTTAGAAGGAACATTCTGTAGTCAAATCCACTCCGCTCCATAACACGTATGTGGAGTGGAATTGACCAGAAACTCTTCACTTGGAATGATAACGTTACGTTGAAAAAAATTGAAAAGCTCTTCGAAACTTTCCATTTTTAAGGACAGGTTATTGAACAAATAAAACAAACCTCTAATTTGATGTCCTTTCTGATTGCTTTACAACATATGTAAGAGGAATTCCCCGTGTTCAATTGCAAAACGTCTGCATCCTCGACTTTTATCATAGACACGCATGATGAGCACGAATAAATCACGTCCTCTAGAGCTGGTGTGGCAACAGGTACATTTTCCCGGGGGTCATCCTTCCCCTCACAGCTGTCCCTAACGATCTGAAGGATGACGCAACATAAAATCAACCCTAACAGCAATACATTGACCAAGAAAAAAATTAGCAGAATCCTGTTTTTATATTCGCTTGGATGGCTTCCCATTTGATTCTGAGAAAAAGGATTCCTCTATAGCCTCGCCGTTAGTAGAATCTGGGTTTGACCATGAAAAGCAACCACACCTATTTTGTGCATTACCCTCCTCCGATACTGCTTGGCTGTACATTGTAACCCAGGTCCGTCCGACTTATATGGAACGCTAGTTATACGGGTATTAAATAAAGTGAATTTTCCGATTACGGGTCGTCTCCAGTTCCTGGTTCAATGATAAACTATTTATTTAAGGTCAAGATCTAGTAAATGAAAGGTGCCTACAGATTTATTAAATTTGGGAAATAAATTCCTTTATTATTGCTTTACAACTTATCAGCCTGTCAAATAATGTGTTTCAGTTGATTTTGCAGGTAAACAAGATGAAAAATTTTTTTAACTGTCATTTTCAATGAAAACAAAGAAAACCAGACATGAATATGGGAGTTTTTTTGAAAGTATTCGGAAAGGAAATGTATCCAGATTGAAAACTACAGTCTCTCAGAAAATGGTAATTTTTATGTTCATTGGCCTCTTCTTTCCAAATCAATATCAAATTTAATATAGCGTATCCGGTTTACTTTTCATATGATTTTAAATTGAATGACATTTGAAAAACCTCACATTTACATACATAATTCTGCTAAAGCCGTAAAGTTTAAATGAAAAAGAAAGTTGAAATTGATTATGACGTCATAATGGATTGTCACACCAAAAAATTAGTTCTCAAGTTAAATACTAGTATATTAAAAAAAATTTATAACATTTATTTATTTCAAAAAAGTTAATTGCGATCTACACCCATGGTCCTCTTTGCACCAGTCAAAACCTTTCTTTATTTGTGTAGCAATATACCCATATCACCTGCATACAGAGTTTAAGTTTTTCAGTTGATTCTATATGGAAGAGCATCGTACGAACGATTTCTAAACTGAAGCAAGCTAATGACAAACAAGTTAATGAAACAAGGATATAAAGTTATAAACAGTCTCATTTAAAGTCAACATTTCAAATTCAAATTTCTTTAACTTTTAATTATATATCTAGAATGATTATCGTATTAAAACAGATGGTAACAAAAATAATTACAAACAATTTTAAACATTACAAGGAACAAGAAGATATATTTCAGTTGACTAAACTTTACTTCAGTAGAGACATGTCTTCTCCCTATGATATTTTAGGTAAACACATACAGTAATCTCACTTTGTCTATTTTGCAATTATGCTTAAGCAATTTTTTTAAAGGAAACTTTGATGGTAATTATAATTAAAACATATTTGCTAGTTAAATTAAAAAAAAAAACAATGGTAGAGAAACAACAACAACAAAACAGGTAATAGCAATTTCAATAATAATTTAGTTGCCATGGTAATTCAACAGAGCAAAATACTTCCAACTCATGGATAGTGCATGGAAACTGCCAATATAACCCGGTGCATTTTAAAGATCATGTTGCACAGTCAGAAGTTTTTTAAATTAGTGCTTTATTATTGGTAACCATGGAGATAGGGGCATAAGGAAAATATTATGGTAATATAATGAAATAGGGCATAGGGAAATTTAAAAAATATTGCTTTGTATGATGGTTTCCATGGAAATGGAGGACATAGAGATACATGTTAATACAAATTAATGCGATATATGTCATGGTAATCATAGGTACAGAGGGCATAGAGAAATTAAGAAATCATTGCAATATATTACAGTTACCATGGAGTCCAGGACAAAGGGAAACTTAAGAAATGATAATTTTGCTATGGTAACCATGGAGACAACATTACAGGAGGTTTAAAGTAGATGGGCGTAAGCAAATTGAAAGGGGGGCTATAATTGAAAGTGTGTGTGTGTGTGTTATAGTGGGGGGGGGTTAAAAACAAAAAAAGGTAAAATCCAATTTTGAATGATTTTGATATTTTATGTATATATTTGCGTAAAAAAAAAAAAAAAAGATTGGGGGGGGGGCTAAGTGGTAACCATGGAGACAGGTGGTATAGAGAAATTTTAAAAGAATTTATTACTTTATTATGGTAACCATGGAGATAACACATTGCAGTGGTTTTTTAAGTACATGTACTTGCTATTTAATTTTTGACCACGGCTGTCGGCAGTCTGTGTAAACAGTAATAAGTGAACTTTGCGAGCGTAGTGAGCAGGTGACAGGGGTGTCTTCAGAGGCATTACAGCTTGCGAAGCTCGCTGATAAAGCGTGTACAAACTGCAACTGCCGACTCTGTGGTTCGATTTTGAGACACTAGAATGATGACATTCCCCACGCTCCATAAGAAAAAGAGGGCACCTGTCCTCAGAGGAACTGATAACCGGTGACGATGTAAGTCATTGACCAAGATTAGGTAATTTATGTTAAATATATTGTGTACCCATTTCAACTGCATTTAAATATAGACCACTTTGTCTGTAAATTTTAATAGCATATTGACACAAAATTTTGAGCTTTATGCAAATAGTGTAGATGTCACTAATTTTGAAGTACATGTACTTACATTCTATGGTAAATTGGCATTGCCTGAAATCAATCTTTTATTTTCAGTGACAAAGAATTGAAGAAAAGATCCTCAACAAAAATGGTGTCCAAAGTAAATTTTGCATTGTTTGGTTTTGGGAATATGGGTATAATCCTTTTTATCATACTGTATAAAAAATATTTTTAATAGTTTATGTTATACTTTTAATCAATGGTACATGAACATTATTTAGAGTTATTTACTCAAAATACTGAATCACCAGTTGAATAAGACAAAGTAAGATTTAAAAATTCTGTCAAATCACCTAAAAAATGAATAAGAAATAAAATTCAAATGAATAAACAAATAAATAAAAGGGGGGGAGGTTAAAGCTAGATAAGTAATCCACTGTACACATGTATTTCAATGACATGAGAACATGCATTAATACTGACTGAGTCACATGTAGAGGGCTACCCATGTTTTGCTGGACCAAGAACCAAACTGTTTTCTGAGGCTGTTAGGTCAAAGTCCCTAAAACACGTTTCGCTGGAGAAAGCTATCAATAAATGTTTGTTTGACCTTTTTTACACGCATGTATTTTGTACTAGGTTGGTTTAAACACAGGAGTTTGCGAACCTATCAATTTTACCGAAATTTTCAGTAAATAAAAAAACAAAAGGTAATACCTATAATAATTATAGGTATTATGTATTTTTTATTTACTGAAAATTTCGGTAGAATTGATAGGTACGCAAACTCCTGTGGTTTTAAAGTTCAAACAATTTTTTGGTCTAATGCAGGTATCTTCCAATTTTTTTTTTTAATCTATTTTGTACGAGGTGGTTCATCATCTCAAGCCATGGTCTGTAGTCTGCATAAAGCTTAGTCCTACAAATGGAGAGGATTCTGCATTTCAGCTGTTGTTTGCAATGATGTAGTCAAAGTGATAAAAAAAATTCAAGAGGACCACAATTACCTGTAATTGACTCAAATAAAATTGTCTTTAAATTATTAATGTTCATTAGAAATTATTCTAGAATGTATGTTATACAGCCAATCCTCATTATCTTGAACATGATGGGACTGAGAAATCCCAAGAGACATCTGAAGATGTGAGATATTCAGAGTAAAATACAGTTAAACTTTGATATCTTTGACATCAATTATCTGAATTAAATAGCATGTAATGTTGAAGTGATTTGGAAGTCCCAACCACTTTATTTATTAAGAAATATTTACCTTAGATACATCAAATCCTTGAAAAACTTTAAATTAAATTGTGTACCATTGAGTTCTAAATATTGTTTTTTGTGTGTAACCAGGTTTTACATGTAGCGCGCGATTACTTAATTTTTGAGAGGTCGTTGGATTCTTACACTGTACATTGTAGGTTAGAACCATTTCCAAATTATAATTGAATTTAACTATAATTGTTGTTGTGCCACGTCCATGTGATTATGGTACTGCCTGTCAAATGGTGAATGGATTCTCATTGTGTCTTGGTTACTAACAAAAAGTAACATCAGGATAAAAAAAAACTTTACAATATGTTTTTGACAAGTGCAAGCGCTAAAATTTATTTGCGCCACCTCTTTGCATTTATTTGCGAAGATACACTAATTGGTTTGCCTAAAGTTTTATCCAATGTCGTATATTTCAACAAAACAGGAAAGCTTGAATAAGTTTTTGTAGCTAATTAGTTCAGGAGAATGCCATGCCTTACTGAAAGTACATAACTGTAAGTGGTTAGGAATTACTTTGACATATCCACAGTATCTGGGACACTGAAGTTTAACTGTATAGTTATCAAATTGCAAAAAAAAAGTTTCATCTCTCAAGTAATCACAAAAAATACAATACTGTAATTATTATTTTATGGATTCTTCACTGGATAATGTACATTAACTCATACTTTAGGTTTGGCCCATATGAAGAATATTCTGACATCACCGAGGGCTACAGTGAAGTGGGTAGTCAGGAACAAAATAGAGGAAGCTAAGAAGTTTGTTCAGGATTACAACCTAGCAGCCCGATGTACCACTCCTGACAGCTTGGAAGGACTTTACAATGATCCAGAGTATGTAATGGTTATTAATATAAGGATTGAGAGGGTGGAGAAAAAGATATTTCTAATGTATTATCATTACAAGCCACAGATTTTTGTCTTCAATCTATATTTTTACAGTACTATATATGGAAATAGAAAGGACAGAAATAACATGATTCTGAACTGTTTACTTTGTAAACATATGTATGCTTTGGTTGTTTAGGAAGAGTTGTCTGCTTTGATCACATGGAAATTTCTCATATAAAATATAATTTCAAAGATCACTCAATCAGAAAATGTTATGCAAAGTGACAGCTAGTGTTTGATTCTCTTCTATTAAATTTAGAGTTTTATGTAATTTTTATGCCCCATTTTGAAGAAGGGAGGGTATATATTGCTGTGCTGCTGTCTGACAGTCGGTCTGTCTGTTGGTCCACCAAGTTTCCATTCATTTTCTTTGCAGATCTAGGTTGCACATACTGTAATGAAGTTTGGTATACAAATATATCATAAAAATATCTATTTTAAGTTCTTTTTGGGTTTGATTGAGCTATTTTTTACAGAGTTATTCCCCTTGAACTGATAAAAATTCCAATTATGCAGTTTCCATTCATTTTGTTTGCATGCATGTCAAAGGGGAGGAGGCATAAGTGTTTGTTTCACAAACATGTTTTATATGTAATGCCTGTACATGTACAAGAATCTAGATAATACTCCTGGTAAATGTAATTTATTTCTCCACAGAGTGAATGCCGTTCTGATTTGTTCTCCCACCTCTACACATGAGCCATTAATCAGGGACTCCCTACTGGCAGGTCAGTGACAATATTATTAAAAAATGATTTATAAACAAATTTTAATTAAAAATGTAAAGAACTGATGAATTAAAAATATTTTGTCCTAAAATTCTTTAACTACATGCAATATTTATTATATTATCATGTTTTATACAAATACATATAACAGTGCATGCATAAATTCTGCACAGTCGCTATTTTTCCTATCACACTTGTCAAGCAATGACTGTTGCTACGCTTGAGGGCTTTCAAATTAGCGGGTAATAGTGTTTTTTAACAAATGTTTCTCGATGAATCAGATTCAAGTAATTTACATGAAAGTATAATATAATAAATTATTAAATTCAAAAAATGTAAAGAACTAATGAATTTAAAATATTTCAACCTTTTTTAACTCTTGAATATTTCTCATCATGAGCCAGTTATTTACCTATCTTTTCAAAGGTAGAGTCACTGCTTCGGTCATGAAAAATTAGTAGGCGCAAAGTGAAACTGAAGATTCTCAAAATAAAAGATGTCTGGGTTAACATTACATGTAATATATTACTTTACAGGGAAAGCTGTGTTTTGTGAGAAGCCTATTACAGATGCTATAGATTCTACAGCAGCCTGCTATGATTTAGCGGAGAAACAAAAGAAACCATTGTTCAATGCCATGCATAGGTATATTTCTAATTGATACATGTATTTATATACACATGAATGAATAATTTTATGTAGACTTTACCTTATAACTATTCAAAACACTTACAGCAATAAATGATATGCACAAACATTTTGAGGAATGTACAGCAAGATAGATTCATACATTTATAAAACAATAATTGTACACTTTTTTTTATGTTTTTATGTTTTGTTAAGCTATATGGATATAGTAAATTACATTTATAATGAAGCAAAATTGCCCATCCCTTGCACTTTGATATACTGAATTTATATTTATAGCACAGTAGTTTTCATTCCCCATGGGTTTTAAACGAAGTTAAGCTATATGGAATTAGTGAATTACATTTATATAAATGAAGCAAAATCGCCCATCCCTTGCACTTTGTTATAAGCATGTTTTACTTTATAAATTTCATTTGTATTTGATAAAACCTGAGCCGAAGGCTCAAGGATGATTTTACATTATGAGGTTGACAGAACTATTTGTCAAACATGCAAAAATTTAAACGTTCAAAGTTGTAAAATGGCTGAGCAATCATAGTTAGAACTTAAATTATTAAGACGGATCGGAATTGTTCAAAAAAGTGACGTTTTCGGAATAAGTGGAGCAGTGAGCAGTGATAAAATTCTGCATAGACATCGGATAAACACCTACAGAGCCCAATACATTTTGTAAACAATCGGGAAAACATAGTAAAAGAAGCCGTACATTAGTATTTAAGTGGCATATTATATTTTGGGACAGAAGGAACAGTTTTCAGGATGACATGCATGAAGGAAAACCATCATTCTGAGATTGCAGTGGTGTAAAAAATGACTTTTGTAACATGACCGTATTTCCATAAATAAAATCATTTTTTACAGGTTGGAGAAATATATATGAAAATTTGTTAAATATTATTTTACTCTGAAACCTGAACATTTTGAACACATTTTTATGACTGGTTAAAGTGACATAAGAAATGTATTGAGTTAAATGGTGACTATGTTGAGAAAAGTTACATGGACTTGTATTATGCTTTTGACATCGGGTAACGTCAAAAATTTTCATTTTTACTGCTCTGGGTATGAGTGTTTATCATTTTTTAATCTGATAAAAATATAACTATTTGTGCTTTGTTTCTGTTGAAAACTTGCATGTTAATAAACTGAGACATGAATTTAATGAAAATAATAGTTTCATATATTTTAAAACTGTTTGTAAGTAATTAAACCAATTTCTCCTTTTACATGTTTTACCACAGTGCTCAGGGTTTGCTTTTGCCATTTTATTGTTAGTAATGCATTTGAAGAGGCATTTAGCTTTTTATAGTGTACTTAAAAATCAAGGGTTGTACAAAATTTGTTTATGACTTCAATTTAAAAAAAAGCATATTTTTTTCATAGGAGGTTTGAACCAAATTTTCGGGGTGTTCGAGAGAAGATCATGAAGAAGGAATTGGGCAATCTACGTTTGATTAAGCTGACAAGCAGAGATCTGGCTCCCCCACCTATATCATACATTAAAACTTCAGGTTTGTGAAAAATAAGGAATTTTTATCAGATTTTAATTTTTATATATTTTTGTAAGGTTGAAAAAAAAAACTCACCATACTTTAAGGTGATTCATTTTACATTTTACTTAGCATTTACAACTATATCCTTCACGATTCAAATAATTTTTTTTATCCCATTATACCATTAATCACAAATTAAAGGTGTGTAATATTTAATACAGATGTATTAACAGTGTTAATTGAAATCACTTTCCAATTCTTAGCTTGTTTTTATTTTTTTATCTCTATCCCAAGCTTTCACACATTGCAGGTGGAATTATATATGACTCCACAATACATGACCTTGACATGTCCTTGTGGCTGGCCGGGTCAGAACCAGAATCTGTGTATGTGAGCGCCTCAGCCTTTGACCCGAGTATTGCTGGTTGTGATGACTATGACCAGGTGCTGGTCACCATTAAATTTAAGAATGGAGTTGTGTCTTCTGTAGAGAATGGAAGAGTGGCTCCCTATGGTTATGATCAGAGGTTAGAGGTCAGTATCTCAAGGTCAAAGGTGAATAAGGTCAGATAAAGGGTAAAGTAAAAGACCTTACAACCAGATATTGGAGGTCAGTATCTCAAGGTTAAAGGTGAATTAGGTCGGATAAAGGGTAAAAAAAGACCTATAGATATATTTACTTTAGATTACTTGAGCCATTCATTGATCTATTGGTTCATAGAGAATTTATTTCAAGGATAAAGAAGTGTTGAATTGTTATTTATGTTTGAAATTTCAATTTGCATGGAGGACATGAATTCATACCACAAATTTAAAAAAAAAAATGGAAACTCAAATCGACGTGAAAATAAGTGATTTCATAATTTCACTAATTTTCAGTAAAAAATTTAAATCTGAATTTTTTTCAGGTTCTCTGTGACAAAGGTATGATCAGTGTTGACAACCAGACAACTGGCCTGATTACAGAGCACCTTGCTGGCGTGACGTCTGCCCCCAGGATAGCTGATCACTTCACGAGCAGGTACCCACAGGCTTACGCCGCCGAGCTGGAGCACTTTCTGGATGTATTGCAAGGTAAAAATAAATCCCAGGCTCTGGGGCCATAAATATTAACGAGTACATGACCTTACTAGTAATTTTGATCTCAATACTAAGCTGATATCTGCTTTTTTCTAGTTATTTATTCATAACCATTATACTTTTAACAAAAGTGATATAATTGCATAGAGGTGACATTTTCATGAGTAAATACCATTTGATTGATTAAGGAATATTTCCATTTCTAATTTTTTTTCTCTGTGATAACTCTTTGAAAGTTAGTGGAGTTGATTTCTGGATAATTCTACCAGAATGTAAATTAGGCAGGTCAATAGGTCAGGAGCTAAGGAGGCCTAATATGCATGTATAAATTTCGTGTGCATCTGCCTCTGTGTCTGATGCTGAGGAGGCCAAATATGCATGTAAATCTCGTGCGGCTGCCTTTGTGTTTGACGTCAGTGGGCGAGCACTATTGAATTGGCATGAGAGTCCTCGTGTAATTTAAATCTACATTTTTAAAGTCTAAATCTACAATTTTATTTCACAATGAAATGAAAATATAAGGAATCACTTACATTAATTGCCAGGGACATACCCGGTGACATTTTCATGTTTCCCACAATCATTGATGCCCTGGCATACTAAATTACTAACTAGACAGTGATTCCTTAAATATACATGTAATACTAATCACTTTGTTGAGCAGTATACTTTTTTGTGAAACTGTTGCAATCAGGATGAATTAAATGTTTACTTTCCATGTTTGAGCCAAATTTTTTTTTGCATAATATAATCTTCTTTAACCCTTTTTGCACAAATTTTCTCACATATATGTAAAAACTATTTATATAAAGTTTCCTGTCAATGATCAGATATAATAGGTCTCACAATAACACAGCTCTCACTGAATGATCAGAATAGCTTAATTTCTTCCTTTTTGCAGGAAAAGTAGAACTACAGGTGAAGAAAGAGGACACACTGAATGCCATGCGACTTGTACGTGCTTGTCAAAAATCTATCGCATCTAAAGGACCAGTTACCATAGAAACAGAAGTCTGAGAGAAGATATAGTTAGGCTTTAAAAAGTTATTGTATACATTAATTTAGTCTTTCAAATAATTTTTTTAAAACATATGTAGAATGTATCAGTATATTTACATGTAGCAAAGATTTGCTTTTCTGTGGAGATTGCAGATCAGGAATTAGTGAGTTTTCCATATGATGATTCATTGGCGGATCCAGAGGGGGGGTTCCGGGGGTTGGAACCCCCTCTTTTTTTGCCAAGTGGAGAAAGAGAGAGAAAGAAGGGGGATAAAACTTTTCCCGAGAATAAGTATTTGTACGTCTAACTTAAATATGTATTGAATAGATAGATTCTCACACATTTAGTTTTTCCATTAACTTTCACTATTACTTTTTATGAGTGAATGGTAGAAAATATTCTACTTATTTTCATATATCATTATCTTATATATGATATGTAACATGCGAGGTTGAATTTGATATTAGATTCCCGCGATCTTAATTTGGCTGTGTTGGCTATATACAAGAAGGTGCCGTTTTTTTTAACTAAATCTTATGAAGGAACTAAAATTTAATTCATTGTTTTATACCCAACCCAAAAAGGATTTTCAAATTCTTTGAGAAAATCCATTCAATTTCAATGCTTCAGTAGTTTTTTAAATGTGTTAATTTTTTTTATACCGACTGGGGGTACCTTTTCAAAGAAAAAAAGGATGTAGAACAAAGATATTTTCCACAATCTTATATTTTTCCATACATGTGTGTGTGAATCTTTGCCTAAGAGTGTGTAAGGGGGGGGGGGGATTAGAGGGACACAACCCTGGAACCCCCCCTTTCAAAAATTGCTGGATCCGCCCCTGTGATTATTGTTGATTATACATAATATGTTTTATAATTAATTAAATGATGAAAGTTTTGATGTAAATATTTGATGATGATTAATTGCTTACCTACATGATACCTAATTAATGGTTTAATATGATCAATGTTATTTCTCAGGACAGAATAAAATATCTCTATGGACATAAAAAAATTTCATCTCTTTCAAGAGGGATAACTCCATCATCTTTCTTTAGATATTGAAACCAAGTCAAAATGAAATGCCGACTTTAACACAATACTATGTGTTTTAATAACGATTTATACAAGAAAAAAATTGTTATTCTAACACATATTTAGCACAAATGCACTTTGTTCAAAAAGATTCTTACACTTCATCAGCTACATTTCCTGTAATATAACATCTTTCTTTGACATTTTCCTCCTACTTCAGATTTTCTGTTTCATGTGAAAGAAAATTTTCCTCTTTGCTTTGAAATTTAAATCGACTCAGGACTAGACCATTTTTGATAAAGGGGAGAAAACTCATTATCCAAGTCTTCGAAAATTATGAAACTGATGGATATCTGCAGCTTCTAGGTTAGTATTGCTGAAAAAGTCCGGTAATGAGTACATTCACGAGGGCACCACAAAGCGGAGCATCCTCTTGCAAAAGAGCATACATGTATCCATAAATCAAGGCAGCATTTCACATTGATCCTGATGCAACTTTAATCATTTCTGTTATGCAAACAAGGACAAACTCTTCACTTCCATTTCACACACAAGGACAAACCAACCCCTCCCACACAAGCCCATTACTATATCTCCTCCCACTCCAGTGCGAGGGGATAATAGGGAACCTTTGGATGTTAAAAAATATTTTCGTATGTCCTTAAGATGAGAAATGATATTTGGTTAATAAACAAGCAAAAGCAAAATAATACAGGTTTTACTGTTTTATTGTTCTGCTCTATCAGCAGATCTGTTTCCATTAAATACAGTACATTTATAGTTAGACCAAGGTCTCACTGTAAACTAAGTAGACAAGACAGAAATATTCAACCTACTACAGTAATTAAAGCACTATTAGTCGTCAATTTGCAGAATTATATATACAAAATGTACCGAAATCTACAGCATTGACTAGAGTCATATGACAAAAACAATTGTACAATATACCTGGTGGGACTGCATCTTAATATAAATACAGTAACTTTCTTTTTCTTGTAAGTAATGAAATATACATCAAGTAAACATTACAAAATTGGCATACTCATCAAAATAAGACAAAGTTTTCTGTATGAAATAGAAATTGAGGAGGAAATTATTACATGATTTTAATCTAAAAGCTGTCAAAAAATGAATTATTGGAGAGGTTTAAAAAATAATTGTACAACAGTTAGACAGGGAAATAGAAGATACATGTATCAGCCATATATCTAAGACTTGGCCCCCTGTTGGCAAATAATGAAGGCTTATTTGTACATCCCTTTTGGTCATCACAATATTGTACAAAGGACAACATGATTAATGATTTTCGAAAAAACTAAAAGGAGATGGAATGAAGCCACATGAAAGAATTAAACAACGTGGGCTGACATAATGAAAGATCTAGTGGGGGTGTACTTTATGGAACTTCTCTAAGTGTGACGAAAAGTTGAAGTGACCATAAAATATTTATAAAAAAAGGCAATGTGTACAAGAAACTGGTTTAAAGAGAGATTTAATCCATCTACCAGCACTTTGTTGGTGAGAGTTTTTGTTTGTTATAGCACCATTACATTTTTTACATATGTGTATCCACGATACAAATTATAAATGGTTTTAGAGTCAAGTTATTATGGAAGATATGGAAAGACTAAGGGCACACAATTATCAAATGGCAGAGAAAAATATTAACTCCATGATATTTTGTGATATAAAAAAAAAAGTTCATCTTCCACGAAGGTAAACTACACATGAAAATAAATATTAGTACATTTCATGTTAAAAAGTCAGTATCACATAATTTTCCACTCGCACGACAATGTGTATATTTGTAATCACACATAGACACATTCAATCCCAATATACAGGCTTGCATTATTTTTGGCAGTGACAAATCACATTGAGGGGCAGGGCCTGTCCATCTGCCACATGGACATATACCGTTAATTTCCTGTACGCGAAGAGCTCAAGTTCCTCTTAGCAGTGTTTGAGTGAAATCCTTGAATTCCTCTCGCACATCGTAGATGTCACTAACCCTGCGGTGACCGGCATGAGAATACATATCCTTATACAGAATAATTCTCATATGCAGTGAATTATGGGAGATTTTCACTGTTTGCTATGAACACAGTAATTAGCAATATAGGATCACTTAGTCTTCTTGTTGCCGAATCCAAACCAGCCCTTCTTTTTCTGAACCTTTTTTCCGTATGACCGCGGTAAAGTGGCATGCGAGGGCATCCCTCTTACAAAGTCTTTCTGATAATTCACCTGTCCGCCAGATCGCTGCTTTTCTGAAATTAAAAAAAAATGTTCATAAATTTAAAATGTGTTATTGTCAATAAATTAAGCATTTAAATACAAATTAAAATTTTCTCTCTATTTTTTTTTTGTGATTAAATATTACATTAAGATTTCTTGTTTTCAGCATTAGATCTCCCTCAGAAATTCTCACAAAATGTCAGGAACTACTGTATACAGAGTTATTCTTACCCCATGCTAATTTCGCCCTTTTGTACTTGCGTACAATTTTGCCCTGATTTAAATTCACCCAGTCATAGTTCTTTTAAATTTGCCTGAGAGAAAAGGGCAAAAATAGAACAGGGTGAAAATTTCCCCATGTATACAGTAATTTTAATAATTTTTTTTTAATAATTCTCCTCCTTTGTGCCTCAGAACATTACCTTGACTGGACTTGATTTTGTTCAGGACCATCCGCTTCCAGTAGAGAGGAACAAAATCTGAAAAGAGATTTACATTCTTGTATATAAATTCCTTCATTATTATTCTTTACATTTAAATTTTTTCATACATCAGTTCTTGTGAAACATGATAGATTCAATATGCATCATCATTTTAAAATTAAAATTTATGGTTCACATTTCATGAAAAGATTTTTTTAAACAAAATTTTCCAGATTAAAAACAGATAATTTTTTATTGCAGGATTTCCTTTCAAAGGGTGATATACACCATAATTTTTTGTTAAATGTTTCATAAGGAAAGAATTCAGCGAAAAACAAACAGTTTCTGACAATTAGCCTACACAGTAACAAAAAAATCTTGACTTTTTATCTCTTCCTGCTCTTGACATTTATATACCAGTATCTACAAAACATGAATAAAAAACTTACTATTTTCCTGGTCCTCTTTAACTCTTTTCCGTTCACTGGTGAAGGCTTTCATCCATTTTTCTTTCTCCGCTGAGCTCCGAGCCACCAGAAGGTACCACTTGTCTCGGGAAATCTCGTGAATTTTCCAAGCATTTTTCACTGTAACATTATATTGGGTATCTGATGTAGGGAAAAATGGGAAAATATAAATTTCTTTGAAAATTGAGAAAATTTATTTTTAAGAACGAAATAAAACCTTTGCCGGGAAATTCAAAACCAGGCTCATAAAAGAGTGCTAAAGAATAAATAACGATTTAAATGTCCATTATTACCTTTTCCATCCTCGATATCAATAATTTCACTGTCATCCAGATCTATCCTTCCCTTATAACTGTAACCATTCTTTTTTAATAAATCCTGAAAAAAAAAAGAAACATGTTCCATTAAATATATGGTTTTCAACTTTTATTTATACAGCTTAATGTTTCATACAGAAAGTGTTGTAGCTTTGCACGTGTCTATGTACATATGTTATTAAATTAATAAAACTTGTTTAATTTTACCTAAAATTTGATACTTTGAATAAAAATACTTATGTTTTGAGAAAATGACAATGATATATGTAATTTGTATAGTAATGCAGATTTATTTAGTTGTCAACATTTAAGCTTTCATTTGCTGAATTAGCTGACTTCATAATATTCCAATCAACCTTCATAAAACCAAATCCATCCAACACCTAGAATAAACACAAGTATTTACAAAGCTACATTTGATCTTGTACTTCTTTATTGACAGTTTACCTTTTTGCAGTACACTAACTGATGATCAAACAGGAAAAAGTTCCTTTCCTGGGACCAGCCCGCGGAGTTGACTTTGTTCATTTCTCCCGCGAATATCAGTTCTGAGCTATCCTCCAAAAGGTCGGGACCCTGAGAAAAATAAAATCAATGATAATCACTATATTATTCCTACATGACACCATCTACACAGACATGGCTGATTAATGGGGGCTTTATCATAGAGGCCCGTATAAAATCTATATTCCTACTGACCTGCCAATCTTCCACTGCTGTCTGCCAGTACGCCAATTTCTCTATGCTCTCCATCTTGCGTTTTCTTTCGTTGATCAAGGTGGCTATTTTCTTCATGGCCTCTAGCGCCCCCTTGATGTGGGCATGGTCGGGATGGGTCACCGGGGTGTATTTTAAGAGTTCATTGAGTTGGAGGGGATATTTACAGATCTTTTGCACGGGGGTTAATAAAAATCCTTCGAGGGGTATCTCGATCATTTCTTGTAATAATCGACAGGCCTGTAATAGACAAAAAAAAGAATTATTTAAAAAACATTGTGGCTTCCATTCCAAAATGAATTATAAAGTCAATTTTGCCTACATTTTTTTTCCCTTTCCAATACAAAATTGACAGAAATATAATGGGTGTAAGATAATCGAATTACGGGATTCCATACCTCGAAGAAATGCCTGTATTTTTTGTTCCTATATAGATCTTTGAGCTCCCCTGAAGCTGACGGATGGTTATTACAGTAATCAGAGTAGATCTCAAACTCCTTGCTCTGAAATCAATAAAATATTACATAACAAAAGAACTGGAAAATCATTACTGCATTCTTAACCAAATAGATTTCATTTCCTCAACAACCTAATAAATCTTTTGTGTTTGCCTGGAGAGCGCTTTGCAAATGAAGATGCAATCATTTTTTGTTAATTGTGCAAATGTTTTAACTTCCATATGGATGCCCCTATCTAATCACTACTTATAACAACTGATGATATTATGCTTCAGAAAGATCCTCAGAAAAGCTCCTTGAGCTTTGATAATAATCCATATAATAAAACGCAATGAAGAGTTTTAATTACTTACACACTCTAAGAAACAGTGCCCTAATTGACTCAGATGGGGATTGTCTTTCACAAAGGAAGTCTCTATTTTCTCTAGAAACTTTTGAGAAAATTCATAAATATCTTCCATATTGCCAAATATCACAGATATCCTATCCTCCGAAAACATGTCCTCTCTCTTTCTGGCATGTCGTATATAACCCTGGTGAAAGGAATTAGAACAACCATTAAATGTGTACAATGGAATATGCATTTTCAAATATTAAAGCATATAGAGTTGAATTTCAGTAACTTGAACATTAGTACATTCATAAAAAATTCTAAGGATATGTTTACAAGAATTCATGGTCATATGCTTTTTGAAGGTTTAATTTTTAACTTTGATACATCAAAATGTAAAATTTTCAAGGTTATTTGACAGCAAGGCATTTTATAAATCTCAGAAAGCATGACAACTTAATTGTTAGGTTTAATTTTCAAATTTTAAAATCAAGAGTCTCCATGAAGCAGACCTACCTCTACCACATCCTTGAGATGCTTGACATACTCCCTCTCTGCACTGATGATTTCGTTGACCACATTTTCCCTGGCCTGGTCCGTGTTGATCACACTTATTCGTCTGTTGGCTGGACTGGAATGTTCCAGGATGTCTTCTGTTGTGAGACTGAGATCTGAGGGCTCCTGGTTCACCCGTAACTACAATCAAAGTTCAAGGTTATTTGAAATACTTTTGGGAGACATACATGCCACATTTAATTGAAAACTACAATTTTTTTTTTTGTTAAATTTCACTCAATGTCATTAAAATCAGATATTTCATGCTACCAACTGTTGACTTCTCAGCAATTAAAATATTGAAAGACCTATTTTTAATTACATGTAGACTGATATTCTATTTGAGAAAAATTCTTGGGAAATATCAAAATTTAGGATAATTCTTACCCTGACAAAAGTGGCAGGGAACCAGCCTTCGCGGTCGTCAATGGCCCCCCACCACCAGTCTTTATCAGACATGTCCGCCACCTCTATCACATCACCCGCGCGGAATCCAAGCTCCTCTTGGTCCATCGTGATATGGTCCCATAATGCCTCAGCGTACGTTAGAGTGTCCGGTTCTGGTCTCTGTAAAGATAAAAATACTGAATTTACAGAAAATGTTGATAAGTTTACTGATCAAAATTGATCTAATACCTTTTTCTAAGAGACTAAAACTATACTGAAGAAAAAGTCTGTATCCTCTATTTCACCTTCAAAAATTCCACGCCATTAATGGCATAATGTTACAAGTTGTCATTATAAAAAGAAAGCTTGGATGAGAATAAAGAAGGAAAAAAAGATTATTAACCAAGATTATGCACATTAATCTACATTGTCAAAAGAGGTCTGAAAATTAACAAAGCATGTCAGAGTCACCTAGGGTTACATAGAGGTTTAAGGTTGTAAAATGTTTTTAGAATCCAGATTTCCACCTGAGCGGACTTGTTTCAGAAAGTCACACCTTTGCAGAAAGTTTGGTCAGGGTTTTATGACAGGATCGTTTTGTTATCTGCAAAGCAGGCATGCCCGTAAATCTCCACAATTTCAACTGACCAGGTCAAAGAAAAAATAAAAAGTTTTGAATGGGGATTAAAGGAAATACCCTGTGACAGATTTCCTCAATAGATACAAATGAAGCAAACCATCAATAATTATTGATTTTGCAATCAACTCAGACCTCGTTATCCAATTAACATCCCTCCAGGTATTTAACAAAAATGTAATTAATGCTATGCAGGTAAATGGTATGACTATTGTTATTTACCTTTGTATATAAATAGATATATTTAAATAGCTGCAGGGTTTTTTCATTACTTAAAAGTTGAAGTTCTCCATGGTTATAATTTTCCTTTCATAGATAAAATATACAAATTACTTCTCATAAAGTTTTCCTGTACATGCAGCCACAAGGAAAATCAACCTTCTCAAGTGTTTTATGGCTACCAGTATGTAAAATTAAATATTAAGCAAAAATTTGAAATCTGCTTTGCTGGATAAGCAACTTTCATATGCAGACAATCTAATGCAGAGACAACAATATTGATCACTCCCTAATGACACACATTCAGATTGACTGAGAGGATGAATTCATCTGTAAAATCTACTCACTTTTGAGAAATAGGTCCAAATGAGAAAGACCACCACACCCCACAGTAACACTTCCACAAGGAAGCACATTTTTAATTCATGCTGACATCCTTGGAAATGATGGGACAATGAATGACATTCTGCTTCGAGAGGAAAGCTTTCAGGATGCAGTATGTGTGTGTAGTCGCAGGCTTAGTAATGTAAAAGAGGCCCCAGGAAGGGGGAAGCGAACACAATGTGTGTTTACATAGTTGTCAATACCATTCGGCAATATATGACATTACATGTAGAGGGTTATCTACACAGGGTAAACAAACAAGCCACACTCATCGTTTGAAGTGTAGGGCAGCGTAAGAGAGGAACATTTGTTTATGGAGGAGTTACTTTGTTATCTTGTCTCAGTCAACTCTCTGCCAGCAATATAGGAAGCATGGGGTGATAGTAATCAGCTTAGTTAATGTATTAGAGAGATAATTTTCCTCTTTTAATTAGAAAATTAGGCAAAGGGTTGTGAAAATTGAACTTGATCTATACACAGAAGCCAAGGTGAATTTGAGGTGAAGTTTGAATCATTTTCTACTCTAAAAGTACATTTGTACAAATCAGATCCTATCCCTACCTGAATTTGGACTTTAAAAAATCGAACTTTTAACTGGACCATGGTAAATTTATGTCTTCACTTCTCAGAATACTTCAACAAACTGATGAGAATGATACACAGCTACTTGGTATTTATAGTGAAGACCAGACAGACAGACGGCCCAACTACCTGTCAGGTATCACAGTTGTAAGAGCCAGGTGTATTGCACAGGTAGATGGGACTAGCACAGGTAAAGTGGACACTGTAACACCAGCAATTACTGCCAGGAACAAGGTGCCCCCTGGTTACCTTTTTTAAAACTGAATTACATTTTTGGGCTACCATAATAAGATGACATGTGCAATTTACCACCATTCAAATTACCATACAAATTACACTGCTAAAGCACCTACCAGAACAAAACCAGTTTTTACCCTTGAATGTTAATTTTTTTTCTGATTTTAGGTTCTATAGAATTTTCTTTAAGCAATAACAACCTCTGGAGAGCGGAGGCGAAGTTCAGGCCTTTCTAAGGAGTTGTCCCTGCTTTGATGGAGTGTGTGGGTCACCCTCATGGATCCAAATCGTGTCCGGTCAAAAGTTCCCAAGTCCAGGGTGAGGGATTCCTGCCTCTCCCTATAAGGTAAGGCCACCGCCATCCTCTTACTCCCTTAGAAAACTTCTAACCCATTAATTATAACTACAAACCAGGTATATTACCATGTCTTTGTGTTCAATTATTTCTTTCTCTTCTCCTTCAAAATTTTTTAGTCACACCCGAAATTTACACAGTCACATATGAAGCATCCTATTGTAGCATGAACTAAAACAATCTCCACATTTTAAAATATTTCTGTAAAACTGAAATAATATATCCAAGAAATTTCACATTTTACATGTAATTACTCATAATTTATCATCATCAGTCATCATTTTCCTCTTAATATTTCCATTTTTACAGATAAATGCACTTGTTCGTCCATTTTCGTCATTGTACTAACAAAATCCTTGTCAGAAGTTGGCCGACCTCTCGTTTCATCAACATGTACGGCAGTTCGTTGTCGTACACCCTGATGTGTGTGTGTGACATCTCGTCATTATATTCTTGTCCACAGAGAGAACCTAAGGAGCCTTCGCTATGTCACAGCTGAACAAGTAGAATTACGTCTGACATAACCGTATCCTTGCCAGGGTTCGTCTTGGTTTGGCTTTACATATCCTGTTGGTGATCTATTGTCTGATTCATTCACACTGACCATTTCACATCTCTCTCTCTACAACCCGATTGCTATCGTTGGAACACTAACACTTCATTAAACGTGAGAAGCCATTCTTCATTCCGTAGACCGTCTGACACAAAGACCTGATGCCAGCCTATTTAGGCTTTTACCAATGCTTACAAGGAAAACTGCATGTAATCCGCACCAACACGACTTTGTGTTTCACATTGTTACAAAATCAATCTTTGCTCTCAAGTTTCAGATATAAAATTCATATTCCCACTGCACAAATGAAAAAAATATATAATCTCAACACGTCAACAGATCTCATTCAACCCTCATCTGAACTCGTATTACTGATCAATGAACTGTCTTTGATAGCCATCCAATCATCTTAAATCGGCTCAATATACACAATATCTTACACTTGAGTTAATCATCAACTGGCTCTTTTTAGTGAGCAACTAAGTATATCAATTTTGAAAGACCTGCAGTCCCAAAACCTAACACATTGATTGCTATTATGAGAGACCTGGTTAATTGTCTGTGTGATGCACTCTTCTCACCAGACCCCCCTTTTTTGTTGCTTTATCTATACTCAGGAGAATATTGCATGTCAATCAATATACCTTGTTTCCCTGCCGATTAAGAGCAATATCATGCTAGATTTTTTTTCTTTGTTTGCATCAACAGTAATTTTGACAGAAAAATTTGAACTTGAGAATGGTTATCAAGGGAAAGAACTCTTGTCTGAGCAAAGGAAAACTTCTTTTTGCTCAAGTGTGTTAAATATGTGTGTACTTACTGTAAACAGCAATGGTAAAATCTAGTGTAAAATACTAATGATTATTTTCTTTGAACAAGAACTGAGAATGTTAAAATATATTGGATGGTTAGAAAACAAAAGGCAAATGGGATAACATATACAGTCAAACCTCAATATCTCTTACTTGATGTGACCAAAAAACAAAAAAAAACCCTTCCGGATATCTCAGGATTCAAAATGTCCAGATTAAAAAAGTTTCAGGGACTTCTAACTCTCTTCAAAATATCTACAATATTTGAAATATTGGTGTTCAAGATATCGAAATTCGACTGTACTTCTTCCAGATTTTTTAATATACACATTGTATCATGCATGGGGGTGAGAATTAATTTTCTTTACCTCTCTGAGTGTGGACAGATAGCTGGCAGACAGACGCGATGCGAGACTTTTTTCGTGGAGACTGATCTGGTCCCCAGAGAATTCCGAACCCTCATCACTGCTGCTGTCGTTGTCGTAATGATACAGTACATCCTCACGGTGAAGGTTTGAAGAAGCTGTCAAAAAAATTATAACTTTAAAAATACACCATCTTTCATTTCAATATCCTTTGCTAAATATACATACACCTATACAATGAACACAATATTATGAATTTCTATACACTCAAAGCATTTGATTAAGATGACTTGTACATAAATCGTCAATTTTTTTTGGCATTATATGATACAAACACAAGAACGCAGCTTTCCAAACAATGAACTGTAATTAATGAGTTTGAACTCCGACCAATGGTACTGAGGAACAAGTTTGAACTCTGACCTATAGTACTGAGGAACTTCTTTTTCTTGCTGAGTTTATCAAGACTCTCGGGCATGCTGTGTGATCGGACCAGTGGATTCCTCCGCCTCTGTTTTCTGGGGGTTCGCTCCAGTCGCGTCTTGATGGGGTGGGGGGTTGACATCTGAAATACATCACATTTTGTCATAGTGGTGTCTTTCTTCTCAATATAATCATGTTTATCTCTAAAGGTCTCTTAGAAAAATGAAACAAATTTCAATGTTGCTTCAACACAGCTTTTATTATAATTCTTCTTAAAGAAGTACACATTCCTCCAAGTATAAGCTAAACTGTACAAACACACTCTCTCATGTATATTTTATGAATGTCCAGGTAAATTCAGGTATTGTGTAATTTTACATAGGGTAATGTAAGAATACTCAAAGGTGTCACTGAATTTTCTCATTCATAAAACCATTTTAACAAGTTTACAATAGAAATGTGTAAAAGCTGACCCGATAATTATGTCACATAATTAGAGGGCAGGTGACTAATTGGTTGATGGCATAATAAAAGGCAGGTGAGCAAATCCTCCCATAGTTGTAAAAGGTGTGAATTGTAAACTATAGTACTATCAATGTTTACATTCCATGAATTAACCAATCAAGTGGAAAATACAGGAAAATCTTTGAGAAATTTTATGGGATTTTTTTTTTATTGCAGCTATTATTAGACGTTTAAAGTTGACAATTAAAACTCTTTTTTTTTCTTGAATTTGTAAACAGAACAATTAGCTTTGTAATTTATATTTAAGTTTGTAAACAATTTCCTTAATTATCTCCTTAAAAAAATGTATTATCCCATTTGTAAGGCTTAATATTTCTCAATAGATGATGTTTGCTCATACTGCATGGTGCATTTAAAAAAAATCATGCTCATGTAGTCATGAATAATTACTTAAATTATGCAAATAATAATTCACAAAACACAACACTTCAAGTGATAACAATTCTTTCAACTCCTGTCTGTCATCTCTTTGAACTATACTGGTTTTACAAATCAATGACATAATGCAGAACATATTTAGTCAAAAAAACAAAACAAACAAAACCCCACATCTAAACTGCATTAAAAGAAAAAAGGATTTTTTGAAGTTGAAAGCCATCTACTTTTCCATATAAAATTCCATCATAAAAGTGGCCCCTACCAGCCTGGATCTGTCGGCCTTGTTCCCGGAATTCCTCCGAAGGGGAACGGAGGTACAGGTATCGTTCTCCATCACATGTATGACATTTATACCAAGTCTCACACGAATCCCATCAAACATACAATCACTAAACCTCCCTACACTTCTCCCACAATAATTATCTGGATCCATCTTTAAAATCTCAAACATAATTTTCCGCTCTCAACAATAAAATCTCCAGAGAAATAAACAGACAAAAATATGAAGAACTTCCTTCACACATAGCATGTCACAGTGAAACTATACAAAATCTTTGTGGGGACACACATATATTACACAAGTAGTCGGTCGACAAAGTGGTTAGGCGACTTCGGAAGCTCTCCAAACAAAATAGTTAGAAGTATAAAACCCACAGGAAGGGGCGAACAAATGTTAAATCCAGTCTCGACAGAAAAACATGACCTAGAGTACACTGAAATGTATGCAAAACATCACTGAATGAAGTTCTGTCTTGTTGTAATGAAAAAGTGCCTCAGGGGGGAAAAATTTTTTACCTGTTGAGTGACTATTACACAGAAAAGGACAAAGAATGTTTATATTTTTCTTTGGACTGGTTTTTAACCTTTTTTCTGAGGACAGGTTATTGAGAGAACCTGTCTTCATAATTAAATACCAAATCATACATGTATTTATCTGATGGTAGCTGGAGGAATACCTAAAATCGGAGCTATCTTGAACAAGTTTTTTTAAATGCGCACTTAATTTTTCAATATTTACCTGTTGACATTCCAATATTGACTATAGCAAAATTATTGGATAACACTTGGCAACAATAGAATATCTCTCTTCAGAAACTTCCTGGCATTACTACCTGGGCTCACACAACATTGTACTTCTAAATCAATTTTTCCTTCTTGTGTACTTAAATAAATGCTTTCTAAGTAAGAAGACCATGCTACTTTTTCACATTATTCACAAGAAAAAGGGAAGGAAATTGTGTAAAACAGAACCTTAGATATTTACTAAATTTACTAAAGGCAACAATATAATCTTTCAATATTCTGCAAAATCACTCATTTCTTAATTTGTATCAAATTTTTGTGGTTTGAAGAAAAACTATGGGCTCTTTTTTGTAGGATTGTTGAGCAGTTACATATATGATATTCTACATTTCCTAGTGGATAGTAATTTAATTGTGGCTCTCTTCATACCTCAAAAGTGATGAAAATTAAACTGCCATGAAACTAAGAGATTTCACAGAAGTCAATTAAACTCTGCTGCTTGTAGCAATGTAATATAATGTCATCTTTCTCTAAACTCTCTTTGAATACTTAAGTCAAGTAATCAAAATTGAAACGTGTCAAGAAGGAATAAATTGTGTAATAGAATGAGATGCACCAGGCCAGTCCTGAGATCAACACCTCCCCCCCACCCACCCCTTCACTGTAGACATTTATCCTACTGAGCTAATCTCATCAGTGTCTTTCTACTGTTTCCACTTTTTATCCCCTCGCAACAAAGTAGAAGCTGCAGTTATAGTAACACATCTGTATGTGTGTGTGGGTGAGAGAGTTTATACATAACAGTTACATTTTTTATTAGAATTATAATGTAACTTTTTGCAAGAAGATGCTCTGCTTTGCAGTGCTCTTGTTAAAAATCACCACTCTTTCCCCACAAGCTATAAATAAGAGTATAAAAATAGATCTTTTCTTGCCTACATTTTAAAATGTTGGAATAAAATTTATGAAACATCTTCCTTAAACCTACCTGACCAACACACAAGAAATCAGAAATTACTTGCACACTGCCAATGCAGGCCTGTTAACAATGTTTTTTTCCTGTAAAGGTTGATTATGAGTGAACTATATATATTTACATGTAAATGTATTTGTATTCTTACATGGATATATATCTGCATACTCATGCACAGAATATAAAACATAAATATACACATCCTGTGCATATATCATCAGCTGTGCATGCATCTTATACATGTATGTATAAACTGCAAGTCATTGTTACATGAATTTTAAAAAATGAAAATGTTTCTTGATTTAAAAAATGTAGAAAATAAGAAGTCTATTTTATTTAAATATATATGCAACACTCTTTGAAAGAAATTGAGACACACCATGCTTATTACATTATATTAATGCAACACATGCACACACTCTTTAGAGTTATCTACCCTTGATCACTACAACAACTTTGTGTGTACAGTATAATATATGCTATAAATGTATCTTTGAAATATGTTCTAATAATTAAACAGAGAATGGGGAAACACAGAAAACAGATTCAAACATCACTCAGTTAGAAGAACAGAGGTTTCAATATATAATATATGATTCAGAACTTAGAAAGAAATTCAAATCAACATTCTTTGAAAATTACCTGCTTTACCAAATTTTTCTACAAATGCAAGGAATGACTTTTTGTTATTTTAGAAGTTATTTTACATGAATTTCTAAACATGCACATTTTAATTTTCTCTTCTTGCTTTAGTAATGAAGTGTGCATCAAATACTTTAAATTCATACTGCAATTATGTGCTAGCATTATAGATTCTCAAACATCCCAGTATATATCTATCAGTTCATACAAAAATATTCAAATTCAAAATATAAAGTTCTTATTTCTTAATTATTTTGCAATAATTGATTGTTTATGCTTCTAATAAAGTTCTGTGTTAATTTGATGGAAATTTTTTTTTAAAACCTGTGCAAACCAGAGACAAGCCATACGGTCAATGTTTCTGTAAAACATTCCCAATGCATCTAAAACTTCTCGACTCATGAAGGAAGCATTACAACACAATTTCACTCGTTCTGCTATGTAACAGTCTACATGAAGAAATTCTAAACTGATTACCAATTGGTAATTAGCAGCTACACCTGTTCATGGGAACAGCATACTTCTCCCTTACAATTATCTTTCTCTTTCTCATGCATATTATGGATTGGATATTCATTGTTTACAAATAAAACTGAATTTACTGAATTACAGTCTTCCAGTTTTTAAAAACCTTACCCGTCTCATGCTCGGTTTTTGGTCGTAACTGTAGAGTCGTCCCAGTTTCTCCAGATTTTGTAAGGAGCTGTAGGGAAGGAGACAGATCTGGCTTCCAAATGGTTTGTTTTCATCCTCGCCAATGGAACTTCCACCTAAAAATATCACGTAAAATTTATCAGTTAAAGTAATCATGTAAAATGTCTCTGTAATTTTTTTCCAATATAGGTCTAAAATAAATCTCTTAAAAAATATTTCCTTGTCATGAAACAAAATTAGATATATTTAAAAAAAATTTTCAACAAACATGTCATAGATCGAGTTTATATAGACATATTAACATCACTTATTTCACGAGGTGTTAATATTTTCTTCTCTATCAACATGATAATTCTTAATTACACACAATATAATGAAGGATAATGATGCCAAATAAATCTGCCCATACAGCCTGATGGCAATAATAATGCATATCCAGACACCTTATCAGCCAGCATTCCTTTATGATAAGGAGGGTCCTGCTAAGCTGTGTACATTATGATGCACATTTATTTACCGTATACACAAAATGTATACAAGACATGTACAAAATGGTAAGGGGAGTTAAGTAAGCTGCATGGTGGCAAACACTTCGTTAAAAATTTGATTGATGTAAATTATTTAAATTCAATAATTTGAAATATTCCTCTCTTCCGGTGATTTTGGATTCTAAAATAGAGATTCCCCTCCCACATTTTCATAAAAAAAAATTAATTATCAAAAATTTAAACAAAAAAGAGTCATAAACATAACATATGTAGGCTCTTCTGAATCAGGAACATGAAACAAGTAAATTTTATTGGCTAGTTGGGAGTTTATCACTACTGCATTAAAGCTGTTAAAAATTGGTTAACTGTTAAAATAGGCAAAAGAGCTATTTTCAGAAAATGTGCATGGCCGGCACTTCAGACACTTATTTATATGTCATATTTATCACTGAATTAAAACATCCCCTTTCTCACTGAAAAGATATAAACCAGTATATTGTCAAGGGAATGGGGTGGGTGGGTCATAAACATTTTTGAAGCTGCATGTTGTTTGATTTTTTAAAAAAGGAACTTAATTAGTTCTATAAATAATATATAACTACATGTATGACTGCAATGATGGCAGAATAATTAAACCAAAATCCCCTTGACAAAGCTTAAAATTTTAATTCATTTAAATTAAAAAAAGAATAAAAACAATACAATACCAGCATAAGAAGCTGGACGCTCCATTTTCGGAATTTCCAGGCATTCCATTAAAAGTCGATTTATTTAATCCATAAAACATTCAAACATCATCGTTTGACACAGATTTGAAAAAAAAAATGATGTCATATTATCCCTACTTTGAACGTGCCGGAAAAACATTCACAATGTCCCATTAACAACTTTTTCCTGTGCAAGTTCAAATATGATAACTGAATACGGTTGATATTCCCTTTATAATCGCTGATCCCCCTCTTTGCTGGTCAACACACTCCAAGCATTCCTTTCTAATTACATCGCTCCGATAAAAACTAAATGTTTTTTTTTTATATATATTGCGTTATCAGATTGTACCATCTTAAATGCTAAGTGGCGAAAAGAGAGATGATGAATTTGCACAGGTTTGTCAACACTGACGGTAATACAAATCCAAAAGCAAAACATTCGGGAAAAAAATATTTTTAAAAAAAGATCAAACTGTTGCAAAGCTGGAGTCATAGAGTTAAATGGGGTGATAAGATTAGCGTTCCATATTATCTATTACCTGGCCTATTCATTGTTTGGCAGGTATGAAAGCTTCTTTAGATGTAAGGATAAATTTGATATTCTGGGGGTAATATTAAGAAAAAACAAGCCAGGCTGTTATCTCTGAAATAAATAAAGCCCTTAATCTTGTTTCCAAGTTTTGCCAGGTAAAATGATTAGAAGAATCCCTCCCCCTCCCCCTTTTAACGAGATAAAATATGTGGATATATACACTATATAAAATTCTCTTTAAAAAACTAGTATTTAAAATAACTATATTTGTTTTTGAAGTTCCTGAATTCCAATGATGCAAGAACAAATAGCTAGTATGATTGAGGAATAAAACACATTTCAGAATTTACATTCCAATATAATTGATTCTAAATACATGTATTGATAAATAATATACAGTACATGATAAACATGCCTCACATGCTTATAAATATGGGAATTCAAAAAAAATCAAAATTTAAATACAAAATATATGTTGCATGATGATAATTTATGAGGGGGAAAAAATCAAAATACCTGAAAGTACCATTTGCATGCTAAACGAAACCATCAAAGCTACATATATATAAAGCTAATGCAATATATAAAATGAAACAGAACTGAGTCTATAGCTTGAGGGGAAAATACTCAGCCAATGAAAAATTAACAAAAAAATAAAATCAAAATTAGAAAAAAAAGCCAGGCTGATTTTCTTTCAATAATTTCCACTTACTACCTGTCAGAAAGTCATAGTCGTCAATTACGTCTTCATACATTTCATCAAACAACTGGATATTGTCCTCTGAAATATTTCCATAATATTGTTATATTGCGTTATATTGTTATCCCTAGTCATACAGGCATATTTAACCATCAACACTCATAATCCCTTTATACTAAATCTTGCCACCACTATAAAGGGGGAAGTGAGTAGCACTTACATAAAAGGACACTACAAGCTAGTACTCATTTCTGATCTATAAATATCTGATATTTGGTTTACAATAAATACAAATCTTTTTCTTCTTTCTTCCATGTGTCTAATTTAATAATTATGTGAAGCACTTTTCTCCATGTGCTGTTTTGCAGTGCATTCGAATGCTGTGTTTGATGCACATATAATAATATGCATATTATCAGGATATAAATTCCTGTGTACAGAAAATTTTGCAAAAGCTGATAGATAAACCATGATGGTGCTTGTGACCTTGATTTTTTGGCAGATAAAAATGTACATCATTATGTTCAATTAAAATCATACCTAAGTCAGATTTGGGTCTCTGCTTGCTTCTCCGCGATGACTCCCTTCGTTTGACTGGAGTAATCTCCCTTGATTCCTCAAGGTCCGCCCATCGGACGCTAATTTCTGATTTCGGTCTTTCTGGTCGCGGAGAGGGGGATTTTCGCCTTCGGACCACATTGCCTGAAGAATCTTGTGCCGTCTGTAAATACAAAAGTTTAATCGTGAGATTACAATACCAAAAATACCAAAACTGCTAAAGCCATGGATATTAAAAAGATAGGATCCAAAAGAATAATTTATTTCTTATGCCATTCCATTACAACTGATCATTTCTACTGATCTCTGCTATCTTGAACATGCTCCACCCTTCACATTATATACAAAATAAATTTAGCTGAAACCTGATGATATGTATTTGTAATAAAAAATATTTGAAGAGGCTTTAAAATGGACTTTAATCTAATCTGTACAATGATCAATGTCCTTCATATTAAATTAAAATGCTTGATTAAAGTTTAAATAATTTTGTAACTGCAAAAAGCTTAAACACATCACTTATGTGTAAGCACAGTGTGTGGTGGTTTGCTCTTATGAATCTGCTTGTAAAAAGATCTCAGAGAGTCGTAGGTTGACAGCAAATCCTCAATCATTACTCATGACATGATTAGTCTAATATCGCTTGAAAATATATCTCCTGTTGATATAAACCCAATAAGAGCTACCACTTCCCTTTCTAATAAATCTAAGACATATGGAAATATATTACAAACCAAATTTCATTTCTCTCTTCCTTGCTCAAAAATCCCTTGAACAAAATAGAAACCAAGACTTACAGTAACCAATCTGTCCTCCATATAACCCATATGACATTAATCTCATTTCTATGTCAAGTACTAACCTCCTCTTGATCAGAGTTATCTTCCTGTTTTTCAAAATCACTTTGATCAGCATTCTCAATAGTTTCTGACTTGTCAATTCTGTCACCTGATTGGACACTTTCTTTGTCCCCTGATTGGACAGTTTCATTGTCATCTGATTGAAAAGTTCCTTCTCCATCATCTGATTGGATAGTTTCAAATATGTTATCTGATTGGTCAGTTTCAGAACAATTTAATTCAACAAATTCTGCAAATGTGATTTTGTCACTTGCTTGGACAATGTCACTATTTTCAGAACATATTTCAAATTGAAAAGCCTCCTCGGGGACTTCAGGAGATTCTGACCCCTCCCTCAGTGTGTCACATGATTCCTCTTTTGGAGTGTCTCTTGACTCCTCTTTTGGGGTGTCACACGACTCCTTTTTTGGGATGTCCAATGACCCCTCCCTGCTTATATCTGCACAAGCCTCTGCTTCACTGAGCACCAAGGCATCCAACTCATCTCTCTGGATAATATCAGGTTCTTTTGTAACCTCTGAATCACTTTCCACACTGTCTTCATTTTTGCTTGTTTTGGAACTTTTCCTTCTTGGAATCCCACTGCAACCATATGGCAATAGATGCTTTCCATTGGAAACTGTGTACTTTTCCTCTAAGGTTTTCCAGCACATCAACTTATTCTGCACGAGACTCATGCCACCAATCCTGTTGAGTTCTCTATATAGACTTGATGGTCTCTCTTGTTGCTCAGAGCTAGATTCCTCCATACTACCTGTGAAACTTGTGGTCAAGCTAGCAGGGACACTGTTCACTTCTCTTGGCTCCATGTCTGAATCTACTAGTATTTTGCTTGTAGTATGAATTTCAATGTCTGTTTTATCACATGAATTTGCCTTTGAAGTCGTGCGAAATTTTATTTCAACTTCCTGATTCCTCAGAACATGAAAATCATCACTTTTTTCAACAAATTCAGCCTTAGTGACATTTAATGACATGGTTGAGTTTGGTAATTCAAGCAATGAAGTATCGCTTTCCGTGAAATAAAAGCAAGCCTCATTCTCATCGACAGATTCATTAAATAGATTTTCTTCAAAATCATCTTCAAATTTGTCCTGTACATTTGACTCTGGTGATACTTGAGGTGTTAAAGGAAAAACCTCTTTGCTAGCCCCTAATAAGGAAGTGTCTTCTCCAGTAAAATAAAAGGATGTGGTTTCTTGTCCACCACAACTTTCAAACCTAGTCTCGGTCCCTATCTCTTGCTCCTCATGGATCGGCACTTCATGGCTCTCTTGGTAGCTATCAAACCCTGAGCTAGGTTTCTCTTCTGTTAACGATTTGGTTGAAGCTAGAAGTGTTCTGCTAGATCCACACACCGTAACAGCAGTGCTAGGAAGACTTTTGGATCCACAAAGATTGGTTTTGCTTGCATTATAATTTTCCTCCGTATACCTGAATGTAGCTTCTTTCAAACTTTCCGACCGCTTGACCATCCATGCTAGTTCACAGGAACAAGACTTATGGATGCTGAGCGTTCTGAACTGATCGGAGCTGACGGAGGAGCAATTGCAGGTATACTGCTGCTTGCTCCCACGTGACTTCTTGAAACAAGAGAGAAACATGGGTCCTTTCATTACCAGTGCAAAAATACAATTACTGTTGAACAATTACGTCAAAATTATTAGCAGAACCCTTTGCCACATTCTAAACATATTTCAACAATCAAACACTTTGGAGGATCCTTCCAAGTTTATTTTCTTCTCTTGAATCCATTAACACTGTCTAATAAGCCAAGGTGCAGTAATCCCATTAGTTTTTCATCAGTTCCTTCATTCTCGTTGAAGTCTCCCAGACAAAGCAATACAAACACTTCTGATTTTTTTCTTTCTAAAGAATTCACTTGATAATCTTATCTCCCAATTTATGCAGTTTTAATCCTGATTTATATTTTTACCCATACTTCCACTGTCCTCTAAAGTTTTATCAGATTGAGTGTAATTTACTTCATGCTTTCAATGAAGTAAAAATTTTCCTGTACAGATGATATTATATCATACATATTAAAGTTTCCTTATTGAAAATATGTCCCAATAAGCAAAATTTGTCCAGTGCAGTATGTAAAACTAAATCTTAATCCACCAATTTTTATCCGTGAAACACTGTTTTTGTTGACAATAGTCCGGGAAGCCTTAGTAATATTTCCTGTGTATGGTCAATGTGTATTGCATCACAATGTCTTATCCCTCATTAGATCATTCACCCCCCAGATCTACCGTATGCAGAGGTGAGCAGAATCAATTCCATATCCTTGTGTGTATCTTTTCCAGTTGTCTATTTCCAAGCGAAGTGATCACACATTTTTCATCATGTATTCAAGTTAACTGACCGCTGGTAAAATGAGACATCTTAATACATTGTACTTCAAATAAATAATGACTTCTCTGCCACAGAAACAATACTGCCTCCAAATATGCCTATTTGAGATAATTCAAAATAAAATGTGCATGTCTCATTCTATTTTTCCAGGATTTTTTCTCCCATGTGACAATCAGCTGAGAAGGGAGGGGTCAGTGTTCCTAACTGATATGTTTAGCTCCCAGGGACCATGAAACACTTGACTTGTGACTTCAAACACAAAATCAGACACTAAAACCACCACAATTTATGGGTCCCTTCTCACCATCCCTGGTGGCTACAGACACATTAATATATAAATCCTCTAACCAAACCAACATTCAGCTCAGGGTATATTTGCTGCTATACACCAACGCATTTTCTTCCCTAGAATCTTGACTAGAACTCAATTCAAAACCAAGAATTCCTTTCAATTTCTTTTCTTTATAAAAAAAAAAGAATTCTTATTGCCATGGAAACTTATTGGAGTCATTATGTAACTTTTACTTTTTTTTGAAAACAGGAGTTTTCTTTTAATTTACTTGTCATGTAAAAGAGCTGCATATGTTTTTTGCTGCATTCCAAAGGTGAAAATAATTACTGCAATTAAGATAAACGATGCTGAATATGAAATTAATCTTTATATACTTAATTACAATGCTACTACAAGCAGACTCCAAGTTGTTATTGCAGACAGATAAAAATTTAGTAAATCTTTATTTTACACATTCTTTAACCCCAGATAATTATGATAAAGTAAAAGAATGCCTTTGAACCTTGAATTTCGAAGCAGCACCAAAACACTTGAAAGGTATTTATAAATCAACAATAATTTTTTCTCATTAGACTCCCCCCTTTCCTCAACGCTTCAATCTTGAAGCAATAAACCAAAATACTTTTTCATATATTGCACATAGAGCTCTGTTAAACCACACCCAATTAGTGCTTAAGTCTTTACTGGTGATACTAACGGCAGCCACATATGATTTTTTCTCTCTAATGCTTCTCGACAGCTGAGTCAATTTCTTTATTATTCCAAACATAATTGGAAAAAAAATTGTAGTGTCATCAACCTAGGATTGAGAGCATGACTGTTAATTACAGGTAAGTATGGGCTATAATCATTATATTAAATGACTATATTTTCTATACCGGGTATATGATAAAAGAAGAGCATATTCAAGATCAACATGATCACTGTTGTGTATATTGTACTATAAACAAGCATTGAACATGTAGCAAACAAAATCACACCCATGTTGTTTTTTCAAGTACATGTAGCTTGTATAAAATAAGGGATAGACATGTACTCTACTTCAGTAGCATTGAAAGAGGAGAGGCAAACACTCACATTACATAGTGAATTATGTTACATGTATCATATAGTACTTGATATGCATCTGAATCATGACTTCTTTCATGAATTGGTACAGATGCACTCAAGGACTATAGAATGTGAACTTGTGAAGTGACACTTTTTCTATATATCTGACTATCTGATTATGAACACATACTTCCTTTAAGTGAACATGAGTATTAATTATGTCAACAAATATGTCACACCAAAACCTTTCAGATAATGGATAATGTGATCATCACAGGTGATGTTCACATGTTCACAAGCAGTCAATCAGAGTTTTGAGTATGTACACCACCACAAGAGTTCAACCTACTGAATTTTGACATAAGGGGGTTACACTTATGCTTCACATAAACTCACTAAATGTTGACATAAATAAACTTAAACATCAAACTCACCTTAACTGACTCATTGCTGGAGTGGAAACTGACGTCTCGCTGGATTCCGCTGTCATTACTGTTGCTAGGGGTCATCTCACTTTCTGGGATATGAGGCGGGTAGCGGGAAGCATCCACGATGGAGCTACCCCCAGAACATATAGAGGCAGAGTCCGACGAATCTAATTTGGAGGTGGAGGTTTTGAATGGTCCGTCATATTGGTCTCTCACTGGGGAACTAGGGAGACTAACGTTAGAGTTCCTTCGAGGCAGTAACACGTTGGGTTTGGGACTTATTGGTCTCTTTGGATGGTTCTCCAGGTTTTGTACCGCTAATAACCTGGAACTAGAGTTGCTTTCACTGGAGAGTCTTTGTGAGTTTTGGTAGGCAGTTGCTTTTCTGGGCAGACTATGGGCTTTGCCATCATAGATTTCTGCGGAGGTGTGCCTCCTTCTGAATTGACTAGAATAAGGAGAGTTAGGGGCAGAGTCCACATGTATGTCCATGTCACCTTGGAACACTGCAATTGGTGGTGAAATATTAAGTTCCTCTACACTCCTCTGAGTCACAAATTCCCCTTTACTCTTTTTAGTGAATAAACCTTTTAAAGACATTTTCCTTGCCCCAGAATCTTTACTTCTGTTTGCATCAGTACTTTTCTCTGTTGGCTTATTCTTTTTGAACACCTTATGAAGAAACCCTGGTCCTTTACTCCTACCCGAATCACTACATGTTGAATACTCAGATGGAGTCAGTGATAAATTTCCAACACTATCATTTCTCTGACTGTCTCGCATTGAGTGAAGGTATCCTCTTTCCTGAGCTTTCCGGAAACTTGAATTTCTCTGTAACTTTGCGGTTCCTAGCTCCCTGAAACTAGCACTTCTGCGTTTCACATTTTCACTGGGTCTCTTTCTCTCTTGTATGGCGATAGACTGTTCTTCTGAATCTGATCCCACTCTGTGAGTCTGTAACTGACTCTCGTCCACGGACAAGGGTCTAGACTTCCGATTCTCACTGTCATGGTCCTCAGTTTTTGTTCGACGTTTCACCAGCACATGCCAATTAGGAGAACTTCCATCGTTATTGTTTTCGATCACAGTCACATCATTTTCATTCCTCATGAAAACATCAATGTCCTCATCCTCATCAAATATAGCAGAATGCGGTGAATGATAACTGTTGGTCAAATTGGCCTCAGAATAGGACCGACCACTGTTAAATCTGGTACTCGTGTCCTCCACTGACTCTAAAGATAGATCCTCATCTGGCTCCACAAAGGTCTCTTCCCCTGTGTCCTCATATTCAGATTCAGTCTCTATCACAAAGTGTCCATTTCTGTAAATGATTCTGTGCTGTCCAGCATTGGTAAGTGAAGTTGTGGGCAGGCTCTGGCTTCTGTTGAAGATATTCCTCTGTGAGACAGGACAAGACACTGCAGGTACATTTTTATCTTTCACTGGGTTCAGACAGGAATCACCACTTTGTCCTCTCTTGTTTAGATTGGACCCTCCATTATTTCCATTGACTTCTTCATGCTCTGTTATCTCCGAGAGCAGCTGAAAAACACATTCAGAAAACACAGGATAAATACATGCTCATAGTAAATCAAGTGAATGAAAATCTTATCAATGTCAAAATCATCTCAAGCATCTATACATTAATGTAAAATGTTCCCTCAGACACATCTTTCATATTTTGATGATTACTTTGAAGGGTATTAGATTCTATATGACTGAATATGATCCAAATGGTGCTACTAACTCCTATATTTGATTTGTCTGATAAATGCTTCTCCAGCATAAAACTGAATTTCCAAAGCAGGTGCTTGGTTGGGTTCAAGATTTCACTTTTTGATAAGACCTAGTGCTAATAAGATAAGCGATATCTATAACCATGTCTTTATTTTGCAACTTGCTACCACCAAAAAATTGAAAAAGGGGTAAAAAGAAACTGGACAGGAAGTGTAGGCCATCAATTAAGTTAATCCATTATCAATTTGATATCTTGTATTATTCCAGTATTCAGTAGACAAATAAAGCAGTTGACATGATGATTAATGAGCGATGCCCTCAGTGACCTTCTGGTACCCTCTAGTGTACAAAGATACATAAATACATACTCGTTAATTACCATTCTGAAGAGAGAGAAATTTTCAAAATGTTTTTGGCAATTGGAAAAGGCATGGCCATTTTTCAATATTTTCACATCAAAACACACAACAACAAAACAATATTGAAGAGAAACCTTAGCTTTGTTTGATAATGAATCTTGCACCTTAATTCAATGCAAGAACACAGAAATTACAAAAAAACCTAGACAGCTATATTTTTTTTTTACTTTTGATATTTAATTTCTTCTAATACTAAAGCATTAAAAAAGACAGTAAGCCCAAAATCTCTGCAACAATACATACACAAAGTTTTCATGGTTATTGGGAACTCATTACGACCAAATGACCATGCACAGACCAATTAACTTTACATATGTTCCGTTTAACACATTCATAATCACCTGTGGACAGTCTAAATCCAGTAAAAATTGTTTAAAATCCCCATCAAAAGTACACAGAGTGGACATGGTGGACATACAGAAAGAATACCACCCAAGTTCATGCACTTCCACTGCATCCTCCATATAGAGATAAAAAAAAATATTCCAGAAATTCTCCTAGCTCATTAACTGTTCTCTCATTAAGTCAGCCTTCCATCAATGCACAGAAAACCATCCATCATCAAATCTAGATCACCAGCACACTTGATCAGGGTGCGTATCAGTAGTGTACACTGGCCACACCATCCTATCATCACACTTTACATAGACCTCTTTTTGAAGTTAAGATAGCAATATTTTCATAATAATATCCTGGATGATAAGATCAAGATTATCAGCTTGAACAATAAACTATTAACTGGACAATGGTCAGTTCCTCAGGTGTACTGCTGTAACCCTCTGGGCATCAATCTCCGGCCATGTTACATAACCCACAAAAACAAGAAAACATTAGGGACATCCATTAGAGAGCTGCAGACTCATGAAGATTGATTTGCTCTGTTTCCATTCACTCTTATTTTTTATATCTGTCTTTTTTTAAATCCTCACATTTTTTGCTGCCAAACCTCCCAAAATTCAAATTGAAAGTCTTGAGAGAGAGGCACCCAAATGGGGTCAATGTTTTCCACAGGAATTTCTCAATGAATAGTTCTACAGTATGGATATTTTCCTTGAATGATTAACTGTTTAAATTAGCCTTAACAAAGATGGCAGCTAGAGCAGCCTTTTCCAAAAACTCTGAGACATGCATCTTGAATATTATTGGACTGTATGACACTTAATATTTGCTCTGCAGTTTCTCAAGCATCTGGCTCCGAGAGGGAACACCCCTGTCTGAATCAACTGGCCCCCCTTATCAGTAGAATTTCATCTGTTGGAGTGCTATCATATACCTTCACAGAGGAAACGGATTCCTGCTGGGACACATTGGCTGACAAAAGGATGATCTCACCATTTGCATGCTAATTATTACTCATCTTTGGGGAAAAAGTCAGAATTAATGTAGTGTCACCATACAACTTTTGAGTTTGTTACATTTGTAATTATTACAGCACTAAAAGCAGTGCTATGATATCTCTAGCACTGATCAAACTGTATGAGACTTTTATACACCTACTCTGCTATGAGAAACTGGTACATCAAAGAGACATACCATTCAGAGTTAAAAGTGTCAAAACCTTTACAACATGCAATGCTCTTAAAATTTCAAAAAACAGGGTACTTTGTTCCCAAAGGCTTACCTCCAAAACATTCATATTAAGGCACATCAGTAGGGCTTTATCACTAAGTGCAGACCACTTGATGTTATTTAAAGCGAAATCCAGTCAAATGAACTTGAAATCCAAACATATTAATTTAACTTTAGTCAGGTTCTATAATCTCTCAGACCTTCCCTATCAAACAAGTGTATCTTTTTTTTGTAAAAATGGAAAACTTTCTAATAGGGGGGTTTAACACAGTGGGATGACAATCTAATGCAGGGCTGAGCCAACAGACCCCTATTATGTGCATTGTTAGCTTAACACCTCAATTCTAAATAAACCACAAAGCAAATGGGTCAATAATAAAATTCAGGTCTCAGTAAAATAAAACTGGCTCAGATCAATCCTAAAAGCACACAGACACTTTTGCATGAACAGAGAGATATAATGGCATGTGAAAGAAGACAGGGTGAACCATGAATGCATCTTGTGTGAATGCAGTCAAAGCAATGCTAAATTTCAAGTCAACAAGAGTTCTCTTTCCTGATTCATGGATAAACCAAATGACAGCTGAATAAAATTGCAAAAATAGAATAAATTGATTAAAAAAAATTACTATTATTTTCCTTTTATTTTTATTAAAAACTGCTTATTTGTATTTAATAAACTTAAAATTTTAAAAACTTTCCCATATTTAGATTTTAATTGGTACAACTTTACTTATGGTACAATATATAAGACTGTATTGTACAGGGAAATTATAAATATAATAAAAATCCAAATTAATAATTTTATTGTGTGAGAAATGCATGATGTTCCATTTCAAACCCTTCCCTATATCTTGATAAAAAAACCAACCCATTTTAGCCTACAATTTTAAATATAGACAAACTAAAAGTGAGTAACACACAATCTATTTTTAAATGTAAAGCAGGAAAAAGTACCATAAAATTTGTCTTACGTGCAGATACTTTAAATCTGTATTAAAAGTCTAGGATTTATCCTTTTATGCCTAAGACCCTAAGTATCTCTTAATAGTATCTGAATCTGATTGAAATACAGATCTCTATAACAGTTCAAAGCAATGATTAAAGCTACTTTGTACAGTCAAATCTCAATAAATATTTAATACATGTATCTCCAAACATGGTACATGTACTAGTATTCAGAATCAAATTGAAAACAGGGATTAAAAAAAGTTGAGTTTTATATTTATATTCAAAATACATGTATTAAAGGTCTGGAACATGTATATATCTCTTAAAACATATAGCTCTAATATTTGACCTATTGATATTAAAGATAGGGAAATTCTGCGAACTGTATACATGACTACATGTATCTTTACATATTTCTGTTTAATTCAATCAACATCTTTTTTAATGTGTGCATGCACTTACATTGCATAGTAGATCTCTGTCTATCATCAAAATTTCAATATTTATTTTTATTTGTGTGGAAGTGACATACAGATGTTTGAGATTAGCAGAGCTCAGCTGCATATTTATCTCAGAGCACATCTTTATACATGTAATCACTTAAAATCAAATTGTTTAGACACGGCTTAGGCACGGATTCCGTTCCAGAAACCCGTGCTTATAAAATTCCTGCTCCTATGTAAAGTATGTATGGAAAGCCGTGCCTGAAAGTGGTCGAGGACACAGGAGGGATATTGGCCGAATTATTTAAATGAGATCACACGGTTTTACAAAATCCGTTCGGAAAGCCGTGCTTGTTTCCATATATGGACTCACGGAAAACCCCTGAAACCCGTGTCCTTTTCCATATATGGAGACAGATGGAAACCCGTGTCAAAAAAGCCGTGTGACATACCATATATGGAGTCACGGGATCTGTGCTTTTGTCTAGATCTAGGTCAGGGCTTGTAGAGAAACTCCTGATGTAACTGAATGTGAATGCCAAAATGGTGACTGAAACCAAACTTCAAAATGCTTTATGTTATCTTTATGCTTGAGCTTTAGAATTTTAAAAGTTGAAAATCTTATATAAATGTGTCCTGATATACTTTCTGTTAAAGATTAAGATTGCTTTATCAGTTAAAATCCATGCTAGTTTTTAATTAAGAATTTAATTGATAATGTACAATTCTGGGAATTGTAATTTTATCTTAGTTTGATCAATCTGAGAAAGAATTTGATTTAAATAAATCTTTTTGTAGCACAGTGATGACACATAAAATATTTGGGGATTAATTAGTGAGAGTACAACTTACGAATCATTCAAATATACAGAGATGCAGTGTTTCATCATGTTCAATATCAACATTGCAAATACAGAAAGATCATGAAAATTGAAAATGAACTAATATTTATTCTATCTTAGACTTACTGCATTTAGTTTAAAAGTGAGGAAATCCTCCAAGAATGACAAATATACAATTCCAAATGACATCTATTTGTTCAATATCCTTTAACTAGAGTAAAAAAGACACATTCTTAGCTCATGACCATGAATCCCTCCAATTCAATATTCAAATAAAGGAAGTTATGATTGAGCATGCTCAGTAAAAAGCCTGTGAGATATATAAATAGTTTGAAGCAAAATTAAACCGTCTCCCAGGGACACACTGTTCACGGGTTTCTCAGTGAGCGAGGATTCCTGACTTTGTCAAAAGCCGTGTATGTCTTGGACATGCAGAACCCGTGCCGCTTTTTAAAAACCCGTGCGGATTCCGTGCCTTAGCCGTGCCCAAGCCGTGCCTAAGCCGTGCCTATTCCGCCTCGAACTTTCGTACGGGGATCATGCATTTTGGCAGAATATATACATTTATAGCATTAAACTCT